GTGTTTACAAAACACTCACAACTCACAACCCAATTACACCCAGAAGCTAAACTAAAACTCTCTAGTTTTTCTGCCTCTCACTGGTGCCACTCTTTCTTCTCTAAGAGAAGTAGTATTTTGTGTGGGATGGGGATGCATTTGCTTGCAGGAAGAAGACCAATTTATAGCAAAAATTGGTACTGTGCATTACCATAAAAAAATGCCTCGTGGGCACCTCATGCTTGCATAAAAAATTTTGGCAGCCACCCTTGCCCACTTCTTTGACCAATGGCAGCCACCCTTGCCATATATATATATATATATATATAGTCTTTACTAATTTCAGATTAAGCTTTCTAGCTTTAAAGAAAGAGAGCCTCAAGAATATTGTTCATACATCATTCAAAAACAGTCACCATCTTATCAACCAATCACTGGTTCTCTGCGAGTCACAAGGTTAGAAAACAAACTAATTAACTTAAGTTCCTGTTTGGTAACTGGAAAGTTTCTTTATCATGGAAAAAGTGGTGAAAAAATAATATAAAAGTTTCTTAATATGATCATGATTGAAGATATTATTTTACTTAAAAAAAATAATTAATTAGGTATAAAATAAAAAATTTAGTAAAAAGAAAAAAAGTATGATGATGGAGCTAAAATTTTTGGAAACAGCAAGGAATGCAGTCCGTTGATAAAATAAGTGACTTGAAAAGTGATTGTAGGTGGTGCAAAGTGGTTGTTTGAAGAAAAATGATAGTGGGTACGTTTCTTTTTGTCATGTTCATTGGGGCTATTCATCTTTTCCGTGTATATGCCATTTGTCTTGATAAACTACTAATATCTTCTTCCTCTATTTTATTAATTTTGATGCTTTTTTGTTTGGTAGTGCCTTCAACCACAGGGCTAATTATCTTTAATTTGGCAAATGGTGTCCTATAAAATTTAATACTATATTCTGGTCTTTATGTTATGGATGACCAAACTTGATAATGGAATCTTTCTTTATAGTATTCAAAATCATCGGCTTATCCTTCTTCCATTCCCACCCGTTTTCATTATTGATGGGATTTGCAGGCTCATAGGGCCCCCAAACACGACTTCCTACTAAACCCTATTAATTAATTGGATTATAGTAACAGTGAAAATGATCACAAATGATACTGACAAATTGAAGGGCTAGTCCTATCCTCCTCACAATTAATGACAAAAATAATAAATAATTTACGTCACTAATTGCTTGGTCTCGCTTTTTTCTCTCTTTGAGTCATCATCATGAGTGAGGTGAAATACAATGAAAAAGATAATCAATCATATACATATGGCTCTAGTTGTTGTTATTGGATTAGAAGTATTGCTAACTGAAAGTGATGACTCCATAAACAATATAATGTGAGAGATTTAGTCCCTATTTGCGTGCCGTGTTTGGACAAACTTCTATTTGGTTGATTAGAGACTTCATCTTCAACATCAATTCTGCACCCTCTACCTTTTTCCTACATTTTATACTATACACTCATATTTCGATCGAGAAATATATTTTAATCTCACCTATTGCAGTAGATATCTTCTTAATCGAGAGAAAATATGAGGGAGGATGTTGTTATATTATCTGTCTCAATTATTTGATTATAATTTATATATTTATTGTGTTGTTTATTTAATATAAATTAATAATTTGATAAGATTTTTTTAATAAATAAATTAAATTAATCGTATATGTGATTTGAATAGATAAATGAATAAAGCTGACTTTAGCATATCTAATGATATATTCCCGTGCAGATCCTTCAGTTTCAACGACCGAATTAGTTAAAAAACAAACATTAATTATTGTAATGTGACATGTGATAAAATTTAAGTAGGAATTTGATAAAGTTCTTCCAACACAGCATATGGTGAATATATATCTATCTAAACCCGACCAATCATGGAACTAACAAAAGTCAGTAACAATATTATTAAACATGAAACAGATTTCCAAAAAGAAAACGTAGGTTTCTATATGTAATTAAGTCAAATCATGCAAATACGACATATCACAAAACTGTAATAACTGTCGTTTAAATGGCTCATCGTTGTGGATAGTAACAAAAACTACAATTCGAAACCAATATTAATTATATGAAAAAATCAATTATATTTAATAATATATTTGTTTGTTATATATGTGTATTTCTTTTGCTAAACATTATTGGTGGTTGGTTAATTATCTTCAATAGTTGAATGTGATAGAAAGATAGTGACTGGTTCAGTGTTTGGATAGGTTTTAAATTGTTTTTTTAAGATTAACTATGTTTTAAGTATTTATAATACATTTATTTTTTATGATTTTAGTTCTTATAAAAAAACTTACCGGTTTTGATTATGCGTAAAATTTTGTTTCGCACTTAGAATAACAAAGTGACAATTGAGTATATCAGCTTATAAATACAATCTAAAGAACACTTAAGTAATTAAAAACATATATCCAAAGGTTATATCCTCTAAGCATATCCGTATTTTGTGTAAGTATATATACATTCTCTCAATGGTTAATATCTTTTTATTTATGATGTTATAAAATTAAAAGAATATAACACTAGAAATTAAAATCACAAGAGAAAAAGTTATAAAAATCAAAATAAGAAAAACATATAAGAACTAAAATCATAAATGAAGTAAATTCTGGATATCATAAACATATTAAACAATTTTTTTATTATATAGTTTGCTTAGGTTTTTCAGAACTTGTTCTTTGTTTCTGATAAAAATGTAAAGTTATTTATTTTATTGTTTTATAAATTATTTAGTCATGAAATTATACAATTACCCTTTAACATTACTTTGCAGGAAAAAGGATTCAAATATAATTATATCTAATTTAATGCAAACCAAGTACGATAATTTAACAACCTAGGCTTTATTAGTTGGCTAACTTTTTAGGATTGGGAAAGCTTGAATACTTAGGTATAGTCTTAATCAAATTTTAACCCAAATGATTATACTAATTATTTGATATTTGACCAAGACACATGTGTATGATGTTAGATATTTACATTTGGCACTAATGGAGTATCACTATGAAAAAATCATTAATTATCGACGGATAGTTACCAATAAATATGCATTTGTGATAAAATGAATGATTATCGATGAAAATTACCAATGAATTTAAATGTGGAATTTGATTTTATCGACAGATATAATCCGTCAATAAATGAACAATTAATTACCGAATGATATATTCGTTGGTAAATTAACAATTAGTTACCAACATATATATTCGTTGGTAAATTAACAATTAGTTTTAAACGAATATATTCAGTCGATAAATTAACAATTAATTACTAATGGATATATCCATCGATAAATATTTAAAATATATAATATATTTATATTTATATATTTATATGGATATACATTTATTTGTATATAAATATAATTTATTTGTAAGTTATTATCGGAAAATTATAGTAATTTAGTGATTGGAGTATCGATCTCTAATTCTAAGGTAGTGGGTCCGAATCTCATCAATTACAATTTTCTTAATTTGATAATAATTTAAAATATAATAAATAGATAAATATAAATATAAATGTTTTGTTTAAACATTACCTACGAATTTTGTAGGTAATATATCTCTATGAATAATTATCGACTCTAATTTTTCTTGTAGTGTATCATCCTTTCCCTTTTTGAAATTATGATATTCTCCCAATTTTTGTCTCCATTTCCGGCTTAATTAGGGTCATTTTTCTTCCTAATCCTATTCCAAATTCCCACGAAATAATATATATATATATATATATATATATATAACTTATATTTTAAATTCACAATGAATGATTTAAAGTGTGAAGTAATATTATTTTTAAATATTAACCAACTCTCCTAAAAAATATGTTTGAGATTTAAATTAGAAATAAGAATAAAAAATTGAAAATGATGAATAGTAATTGAAAGATCAAGTACAAAAATAAAGATATAAGAAAAGTAGTTTAAGATAGCGAGAATTTTTTTACTTATTGCAGAGATAATATGTAAATTGCACATTCAAATGTAAGAAGATAAAAAATGTTAAAAATGTATAATAAAGCAATTGACAAGAATGGGAGACTTTAAATTATTTATGGTAGTTTAGTGTGTTTGTTTAATCTTTTGAAGAAAAAATCAAACCCCTTTTAAAATGATATTTTTTTATTATTTGGAGTTTTTTTTTATGCAATAAGAAGCATAAATTATAACTACTTTTGAAATAAAGAAGAGTTTTTGCTTAGACTTGTAACTAAATAAAATATTGCTTGTAATTTGCATAAAACCTCTAACATTAAACCACATTATGTACACAAAGACTTTTTTTGTTGAGTGTGTAAACAAACTGCCCCAAGCCTTAAGTTGAAGAAACAGTAAAGCCCAACAAGGGATGACTTCAAAATTAAAATCACACATTACAAGTAATGCTCGCTTGTGGTTTTCACTAACCATTGTTGGATTTATAATGTTGCTGGTGCTCCTCTGTTAATAAACAAATTCGATGAGGCTCGTCTTAAAATAAATCTCCCCATCAAGTAATCAAGTAAAAATGTCATAATGTCCTCTCTCTCTCTCTCTCCCCATGGATAAGAATAACACTATATCTTGTACATATATTTTACCAAAAAGATGTGGGTATATGAAAGATATCTGCCTCCGTTTTAATTTTGTTGAAACAATTCATGGCTAACATGTCATCATTACTCTCCCTCTTTTAAAAGACTTTGAATTTTTAATACAAGAAAATCATTTTGCTCTCATTTCAGAATGATTATTTTAAAATATAAAATATTTTCCTTCCTATAATGATCATTATTTTATTTTATAAATTTATTCATGTCCACATTTCATACAACGTGAAACGAAGAGCGCGTTTGCGACCAGGTTTTTCCAGAAACAAGGTTCACTCCGAAAATACGAAAGGAGAAAACAAAAAGAGACATAGTTTAATACACACTAATACTATGAAATAAAGAGAGACATAGTTTAACTTACGCTAATAGCTAATACTAGGAGATAGATTGCATCCGCACAAATATCTGGCACAAGGAGAACATGTAGACCAAGAGCTGGATCCTCGCAAGATCAAACTTGAACTTATCCTGAAAATGAATTAACCGTCAACTGAATACTAAAGCCAAAAGGAGGATAAGTGCTGATTTATGCACCCTTTCATCTTCCTTCAGAAGGGCACTTGTTCTGGCTCTAATGCGGCCACCAAGGGTTCTTGCAAATCTCTGTTTACGGGAAACAGATTACACTGTGCATATTGTGCCATCAACTGGTCCACAATAACCAAAGCTACCATTGCCTCTACGATGGGTACAGCTGCAAACCCAGTCCAAATCAATTTTTCAGAACTTTTATTTTCTAGAGATTAAAATTCAAGCAAAAGAGTCTAAAACTTGAAATATTGTCATAATTGCAAATCATGCACGTACACATAACACTCAAATTCTCCTTTCTTTCTGACATTAGACTCAGATGTCATTTAATGCTTCCGTGTAACAAATTATCTTGCCCCTCAAGATATCTTTAAAATTGTTAAAAGTTCTAAAGATTGTCCTCTCAGCAACTTAGATGAATTTTATCAGAGATGAAGTTACAAAAAAGAAAAGAAAAACACCAAAGATAATACAAACATCACTCTTAACAGAAAAAAAGCCGGGTTATTAACCTCTCGGGACAATACAAGCATTATGGCGATCACGGGCTTTCAGCACTGTTTCATTTTTGTCCCGAGTCACAGTACGTTGCTTCTTCTGCAAAAGTGTAATACCATGTTGCTCGTGTCAAATACATACGGTAGTGCAAAGTAATTGTCATGTGTAATGAAATATGAAATAAATCAACCAATCAGGTAAAAATGGAGAACATGTACATGCAAAGGAATGGGTGTGACCAAGAAGACAAACACCAACTTTCCCTCCATTGCCAACATAAAAAGAAAAAGACTATTTTTCAAAATATTATGAATAAACCACACATCTTCATGTACAGCAATAAATTATGTTTTAAGATTTCATTTACCATGGACTTATCCCTCACAAATACGGAGAAAGGAAACCAAAGAAGCACCTTCATTACCTTGAGTCATTCTAAGGTTTGATAAATGCATAGGCCATTTCTTTACTGTGTATTTTATGCATAAATAAGATGAACAAATCATGTATAGTCAACATGTCCCCCCAGAAAACAAGCATATTCTGTTTTCATGGTCTTCCACTTCTGAGGTTTGCAAAGTTTTATACTTAGTATCCCAAACGACAAATTACAGACAGGAAATATATCATTACATATGAGTCAATTTACAGACATGGCAACATGTAATCATTTTACACTTGTTGTTTGCTCAAACATACAAGGACATGAATGTTGAACTTACATGGAAGCTTGTTGATTTTGATGATGATTTAAAAACAAAGGTCTTAGAGACTTGAAAGACTTGTATTCTTGTGTAATAACTCTGTTTTGATGATTTTGAGTCTGTAATATTAGAGTCTAAGATAGTCAGTACATAGTCTACTTTTTAGAAGCTTCAAAAACTCATTTTTATCAAAAACACACTGGTTTAATCGATTAAAAGGCTAAATAATCGATTATTACAGAGAAAAAAACCATTTTCTGTATCAGATTTCTGGAATAATCGATTAACAGCTGAAATAATCGATTAACAGGGTTGTTAATCGATTAATAGCCTAAATAATCGATTAACTGGCGTGGTTATGGGTTTCTGTTGATTTTGGCTCTGTAATAATCGATTAACACTCAAGATAATCAATTATTTCAGTCAGATATGCATTTTAAACTTCAAAATTAGACCAAGTTTCGAAAACCCTAGTCCTAATACACCGGGTTTCAAAAATCCCCAATTCCCAAACCCTAATTTGTCTACTTAAGGTTCTCTAAGGCTCTCTGCAAAGTGAACAACCTTTTTCAAACAAAAGTTGAGAACTGTTACTGTCAGAGAACTGTTTGTTGGAGGAAAAAGGGGCTTTTGGAACCTAGTGTGGGCTAGAAGCGATAAGAATCACTAAGTGGGTTTCTTGGTGGATTGTGTGCTGTACCGTCTCTAGGGAAAACTGTTTTTCATCTCTTGTATGACTCAAGAGAGGTGTTTTCGTTACCTTATCTTTTCATTTGTAATCTGCTTGTATAACTTTGATTATAGTGACATCGTTAATCCTCTGTTTGAGTGTTTAGCAACTGGACATAGGGTCTTTTGATCCGAACCAGTATAAATATTTTGTGTAAGACTCTATCCTTATTCTATTTACGTTTACACAACACTTTAATCGGTAAAATTTGGGAAAAATTTTTAAAACCTAATTTTTGTTAAGAAACCAATTCACCCCCCCTCTTGATTTTTGTCCGTTCAGGCAAACATTCCGCTGCACGATTCTAACAAGTGGTATCAGAGCTTGCTTTGATAGTTATTCAAATTTTCGAAAATGGCAGGACAAAATCAAACGTTTGCCGATGGTGCTTCTATCAATAGAACCCCACTTTTTGCGGGTCAAAATTATCCTTTCTGAAAAGTTAGAATGCAAATCTTTTTAGAGTCTGTTGATAAAGGAGTTTGGGACGCTATTTTAAACGGTCCCTATATTCCTAAAGTTTTTGAAAACGGAGTAGATGTTCCTAAACCATTTTCTAGATGGACGGCGGAGGAAAATAGAAAAACTCAATTTGATGTTAGGGCTAGAAATATTATTTCATTTGCGTTAACCCTTGATGAGTTTTACAGGATCTCCGTTTGTAAAAGTGCTCAAGAGATGTGGGAAATGTTGAGAGTAACCCACGAAGGTATTGATGACGTTAAGAGAGCATGGAAAAATTCTCTAATCCAAGAATATGAGATGTTCCGAATGCAACAAGGAGAAACAATATTTGACGTTCAAAAGCGTTTCACACACATTGTGAACCATCTCACCAGATTAGGTAAAATTTTTGATGTTGATGAATTAAATGTGAAAATCTTGAAATCTTTGGATATGAAATGACAACCTAAGGTGACGGTCATCTCGGAGTCACAAAACCTTGCCACAATGTCTATGGCGGCGCTCTTTGAAAAGTTGAGAGAGCATGAACTAGAACTAGGAAGGCAAAATGATGAAGAAGGTCAACACCAAAAGAGGAACTTAGCCTTCAAAACTGAAATTTTCAAAGGTAAGAGTAAAAAGGAAGAAGAAGACTCGGAGAATGATGAAGAAGAATTGAGTCTCATGATTAAGAAATTTACCAAATTCATGAAAGCCAAAGGAAGACATCCATTCAAAGGTAAAGGAAAGGTAAGAGAAAATACTTCCTTAAATATCAAATGTTATGGTTGTGGTGAAACAGGACATGTGAAGACTGAATGTCCAAATAAGAAAAATGAAGATAACAAAGGCAAGAAGTTCTTCAAGAAGAAAACCTACATCGCTTGGGACAATAGTGATTTGAGTTCAGAGTCAAGTGATTCGGAAATAGAAGCTAATATTTGCTTAATAACAAATGACAATATATCTTCCAATTTTGAGGTAAGTGATTCCGACTCATCTTCAAGTAATGATGAAAATAATTTTGATGAATTACAAAATGTTTATGAAGAATTGTTTAATGTTTTTAAGGACTTGAAAAATGAATACAAAGCTGTGAAAAAGATAGATCCGAAAAGGAAGTGGAGTCCTTAAAAACGAAAATTGTATGTTTAGAGAAAAAGGAAACCTTAGAAACGAAAATTGTATGTGTAGATGAAAAAGATGATAAGAATGTAGCATGTGCATCATGTAAAGAGTATGAATATGACATTGATATACTTAATCATTTGCTAGATAAAACCGAAAAGGAGATAAGTAATATTAATAAGGATAAAGTTGTTATTGCTCAAAATAGAGAAAACCATCATGTTCCTTTGAAAAAGCCTAAAATGAAAAATAGAAGAGTATGAGTTGAAAATGGAACCAAAGAATCTATTGTTAGAAATGTATCATATTCAAAAACTACATCTAAAACATGTTTTTATTGTATGAAACATGGTCATACTTCAAATAGATGTAAAATTAAACATTTTGGTGTTCCTAAAGGAAAATATATTTGGGTTCCTTTAGTTAAATGAATTGTTTGTCTCTAACACCAAGGACCCAAAAGTTATGGGGACCTAAGTCTACTATGTTCTTGTGTTGTAGGAAACTTCCAAATCAAAGAAGTCTATGTGGTATCTTGATAGTGGATGCTCTAAACATATGACCGGAGACAAAACGAAATTTGTGAGTTTCAAAGCTAAAGAACAAGGATATGTAACTTATAGGGACAACAACAATGAAAAGATTCTTGGAATTGGAAATATAGGTGGTGCAAACACTTTGGAGATTAAGGATGTGCTTCTTGTTGATGGACTAAAGCATAATTTCCTAAGTATAAGTCAACTATGTGACAAAAGATTTAAGGTAATCTTTGAAAGTAAGTTTTGTACCATACACTTGATAGATTCCGAAAATGTAGCATTGAAAGGCATTAGACATAATAACATATACTTGATTGATTTGGATTGTATACATGATACTAGTATAACATGCTTAGTTGCTAAGGAAGAGAACCCATGGTTATGGCATAAGAGAGCGACTCATATAAATATGCATCAATTAAACAAATTGATATCAAAGGACTTAGTTGTTGGTTTGCCTAAGTTAAAGTTTGAAAAAGATAGATTATATGATGCATGTCAAAAAGGTAAACAAATAAAATCATCATTTAAATCAAAGAATGTTATTTCCACATCAAAACCTTTTAGAATTATTGCATTTAGATTTATTTGGTCCTTCTAGAATAAAAAGTTTTGGTGGAAATTATTATGCTCTTGTGATTGTTGATGACTTTTCTAGATATACTTGGACATTTTTCGTAACATTGAAAAATGAAACTTTTAAGGTCTTTAGGAAGTTTGCAAAGCAAATTCAAAATGAGAAAGACTTAAGAATTAAAGTATTAAGAAGTGATCATGGTGGTGAGTTTCAAAATGAAAGATTTGAAAATTATTGTGAAAAAAATGAAATATTGCATAATTTTTCTGCATCTAGGACTCCCCAACAAAATGGTGTAGTTGAAAGGAAAAATAGGTCACTAGAGGAACTTGCTAGAACAATGTTAAATGAATCAAATGTTCCTAAATATTTTTGGGCTGATGCTGTGAGTACTGCATGTTATGTTTTAAATAGGATGCTTATTAGGCCAATTATAAAATCAACTCCTTATGAATTATTAAATGGTAAAAAGCCTAATGTTGCTTATTTGAAAATATTTGGATGTAAATACTTTGTGTTAAATAATGGAAAGGACAATTTAGGAAAATTTGACTCAAAAGCCGATGAGGGCATTTTCTTATGTTATTCATTAACTAGCAAAACTTATAGAGTGTTTAATAGAAGAACCTTAAATGTTGAAGAATCTGTACATGTTACTTTTGATGAAATTGTAGACCTTGGGGAAAATCCTCTTGAGTAAAATAAAGAACTTGCAGGTGATGATGAGTACATAAGAGAGACTCTTGAAGAATTATATTTGGAAGAGAATGAGCCTTCTCAACCAACTGAATTAGCAAAAGAATGACAATCACCAAAAGGACTTTCAATGGACAATATTATTGGTGATATCTCAAAAGGGGTAAGAACTAGAAATATGACTAATTTCTGCATGTCTGTAACTTTTGTTTCACAGATAGAACCCAAAAATGTTGAGGAAGCACTTAAAGATGACCAATGGTGCATAGCAATGCAAGAAGAACTTAATTAGTTTGAAAGGAATCAAGTCTGGGAATTAATTCCAAGAGAAGAATCACATCAAGTAATTGAAACAAAATGGGTATTTAGAAACAAACTTGATAAAGATGAAAATATAATAAAGAATAAAGCCAGACTTATTGCCAAAGGTTACTGTCAAGAGGAAGGTATTGATTATGATGAAACTTATGCTCCTGTTGCCAGGTTAGAGGCTATACGGCTACTTCTTGCTTATGTATCATTGATGAAATTTAAATTATATCAAATGGATGTTAAAAGTGCATTTTTGAATGAGTTTATTAAAGTAGAAGTATATGTGGAGCAACCCCCTGGATTTGAAGATTTTAGTTATCCTAATCATATTTTTAAATTAAGGAAAACATTATATGGTTTGAAACAAGCTCCTAGGTCTTGGTATAAAAGATTAAGTAGTTTTCTAACTTCAAATGATTTTTTTTGAGGAAAAATTGATTCTACTTCGTTTATAAAGAAAGTAAAAAAACATATCTTATTGGTTCAAGTATATGTTGATGATATCATTTTTGGATCAATTGATAATTCTTTATGTGTAGAATTTGCTAAGATAATGCAGGGAGAATTTGAAATGTCTATGATGGGAGAATTAACGTTCTTCCTTGGACTTCAAATCAAACAACTTAAAAATGACATTTTTTTCTCTTAAACCAAATACTGCAAAGAGATTCTCAAAAAGTTTGGAATGGACACTTCAAAGGAAGCTAACACACCCATGGGAACTTCATGCTATTTAGACAAGGATGAATCAAGTTTGAAAATTAATCAATCTATGTATAGAGGTATGATAGGTTCACTGTTATACTTAACTACAAGTAGACCTTATATTATGCATTCTGTCTGTGTGTGTGCTAGATTTCAAGCATGTCCAAAAGAATCTCACCTAACTACAGTTAAACGTATTTTAAAATATTTAAAAGGAACTACTGATTTTGGTTTATGGTATGTGGTTGGGACAGTACATTTCAAATGGGATTTTACCTCGAGAATTTATTATTTTGTGGTTCGATCTATTGGTGTCTGTTTTGTTGGTGAGGGATATAACAACATTGTAAAATGTGTCTTCTAAGTTAAGAGGGTTGTAGCATTCTCGATAAAAGTTTTCAAATCGAGATATTTGAAGATAGTGAGAGTATTTACCTTTCTTGGTCTTCGATTTATCCTGCACAATGAGAGAAGGATGCTCAGTCAATTTTGATTGGATTGTATCAAAGTCAGAGTGAATTCTTGAAAACCAATCATTCCACCATTGGGAAAAATCAGGAGTAGATAAGTAATTTGACTCGAAAGCATAAGGGTAAAAATGAAGTGGACTTTGTGGTAATAATTTGGTGAGTTCCCTTCCTACATTCGATTCATTAAACTTGAGCCTTGGGGGACTATCGATGTTGAAAAAGGGGGAAGCTTGACTTAAACCAAATTGCCTTGAGAAAAGTTGAGGATAGTAGATGATGAGTTTGATATCTTTCGATTGAAAGCCCGACACCAGAACATCTTGGGTTAAATAATTACTCCATACATCAATTAGTTCTGATTGTAGACCTGGAGTAGGAGCTGAGAATCTTGACTTAAACCATGTTGGTCCTCGAAGCCTATCACTTATTTTTCCATGATATGTAATGAAAGGAGTCAAACATGAGTCGAAATAAAATCGAGTAAGTAAGAACTTCAGATAAGTTTTATAATTGGCTTTATCGGAGGATTTTTGCTGAGAATGTCGGGATGTTAATCGGGCACCTTCTAAATTAAAATTTGGGGGAGCTTTGGATGGTGGGGGAAGGATACTTTCAAAAATCGAAGTTAGCCATAGTTGGATGAACCATATGAGACCTGAAAATTTTCCTGAGGGTTTTTGAGTATTCAAGATATCAACTGCCTCATCAAATGCTGTATAGACATGAGCCAACAAGAGTTTTGCCAAACAAATTCGAGGTTGACCGGTATGAAGAAGGTAGGCAAGATTATAAAAATGTGTTGAAATTTGGATAGATCGAGGACAGAAAACATGAGTGAAAAACCAATATACCAAAAATGCAATATGTTATTCATTGGAAACTGCAATTGATTGGTCATCGATAAAATGTCTCTCGATGAAATGACCATAGGCCTTCGCATCCCAATCGATTCTTGCTTTGAGAGAATCTTCAGAAGGGAAAGCAGTCTTAAATTATTTTTCCCCTGTGTGGGCTTTAACCCAGTAATTGCAGCAATCTCGAAAAGAGTAGGGGAAAGAGGACCACATCGTAGCTCCATAGCGTGTAAATCCTTATTCCATAGATGAACGGCGGATAAGAACATGGGCATATCCAAAGATGATAAATCACATCGAGATAAGTGGAGAAAATTGAAAATCCCTATGTCTTTCCAATGATTCCCAAACTTGGTTTTCACTCTATCAAACCACATGATATATAAGGGTTTTTTATGGGGAGGACCGGTTCGGTACACTTTTGAGGTGACATTTAGGAAATCAATCTTTATCTTAGTTTTGTGAATAATGGCTTTGCTTTCAAAAGGCAGACAAACAGTAGAGGAAGACGATCCACCAAAATAACGAATAGGACCACCGAATGCATAATCAACATTATCAATTGTATAAGGTATAAGTACCTGTGTTTCAGCGATTTTTTGCGAAGCTTCTTCCAACAGCAGGACCGGGGCGAACTTTTGGCCGTTTATCTCTATTAGATTTGAAATCACCGTCGACAATGGCGGGGTGGGAAGGTCAGAAGATTTGGAGGTTGCCATGGCAGCTGTGTAAAAGATGGAAGACGAAGAAGAGGTAACGAATGAGGAAGATGGGTTAGGTTTAGTAAAGATAAATGTAAGTTGATTTCAGTATTTTAAAGGAGTCAATTAGGGCAGTTGAAACGACAGACGTGGAAGGGAGTTAAATGGAGACATGACAGATTTTTTGGAAAAAAAGGGACGAGTTTTTAGGAGAAATCTAGTAACATTAATGAGGAAAATGCTTTGATTTGACATTTAATAATAAAAGCATCCTTTTGGCTTCAGAACATTTAAGAGTTGAAATAAATATTTTTTGAAAGAATACAAAATTTCGCACAAATATTTTATTCTTTCAAGGGGGCATTTTGTTGGTGGGAAAAATCGAGAATCTGAATCGACAATCGAAAGAAGGAATTCGATGATTAGGAAAATCAAGAATCTGAATCGAAAATCGAAAGAAGGAATTCGATGATTATTGTTGAGGAAAATCGAAAATCGAAAGAAAGAATTCGATGAACGTGATTGAAGAGGTAAAAAAAATCGATTATAGGTATTGAATGAGAGGCTAAGTGGGAAGTCAAAAACAGTTTAAAATACTCTATGGTTGAAGTCAAGTATTAATCAAATAAGGAAGGAAATTGTTGGAATATTTAGACAATGTCTCAGTATTAATCTCTTTACTTCAAGTATCTTTAGAATACTTTTGGATACCTTGGGGGATCTATAAGAAGAGTTAGGGTTAGGAATTCTTACGTGTTAAAGTAAAATAAAATCATTCATATCTTCACCTAACATTTGGGAAATCCAAATGAGTCCAAGTTCCACATTTAGTAAAAATGAGGAAATTAAGCAACATAAAAGGAAGAAGAATCCATAACCCAATATCTTAAGGTTTTAGGTGGAAGATGATATCAATCCCTTATGTGAGTTAAAATCATATCTCATTACTTATTGGTGTTGTCTCTCCTTAACGAATCTCCTCCCGAAAACCCAATAGTAACAACTTATGCTTTTGAAATAATTAGCTCTTGATAAAAATTTAAAGTTTAGCACAAGTTAGATGGACCTCGTGCATTGTCAATACTTTAAGCTCATGATAGGGTAGGGGATATTGCTTTGTGTTTTGTATCACATCATATTACATCACATAAATAAAAATACACGAGAATATTATTCACAATCTCTCTTATCCTCTTCCTCTACCTAGATCCCTAAACTACAGCACAATTAGTGAAAAACAAAAATCACACTTCAAGAGATGACTAAAGATACTCTAAAATATCGTAAGATACTAAATATTAAAAAACATTTCCCAGATATTCTAGCAAGAATAAGGATTGTGAAAACATATCAGATTTTCTAGTATCTGTATTTAATGGATGAATGGGATAGTGATGAAGACAGAAAGAGAAGAGATTAAACTTACTCCAATAGTCGCTGTGGGCTTGAAAGCTATTGTCATATCAATGATTTCCCCATTGGAAATTCCACCCTGATTTCATTACAAATATTTTAAGTAAAACAAATACAGACACATGACCATCATAATCCACATCTAGAACCAACTAATTAGTAATATAATTGACCAAATACCTGTATCCCACCAGAGCGATTTGTTCTTGTTCTTGTCCTTCCATGTTCATCTATATAGAACTCATCATTGTGTTCACTCCCAGTTAAAAAGGTTCCTAAAATGATTTCATTAGGCCATCAGAACACACCTCAGACACAAGTGATCCAAGAAAATACAGTTGGTACCAGTGTAGTCAGATCAAAATCACAAGACAACAAAGATTTAGTACCTGCAAACCCAGACCCCAACTGAAAGCCCTTGGTTGCAGGCACTGACATAACAGCTTTAGCCAGCTCAGCCTCAAGTTTGTCAAACACTGGTGAACCAAGACCCTGAGAAATACTAATTATTTAAATATCATATAACAAGCATTGTTTCAAAGTAGAGTGTTTTTTTCTTCCATTTCTCTTTATCATGCTAATTATTTAAATATCATATAACAAGGTCAAAATGTCTGAAAGAGCAGTCTTGATATTTATGGCATGATCTACAACTTAATTTTTTGTCAAATTAAATTATAGTATTCAAGGAAGGGAAGTTCTGAAACTCATACATGACTAAAGACTACAGCTTTTCAGAGTCTAGTTATGGCCAAATTTTCACCATTTTCTAGTGTTGCCGAAAGCTTCAAATCCACTCTATCATACAGTGGATAGCGTCACGAACAAATGGTGGAAAAATAGCAGGCACAATTTTTCGTATGAGAGAATAAGAAGAGAAAAAAGAAGACCATTAAAGGGAGTATATCATACAGTGAAACTCAAAGATTGCATGGCCTGGAAATGAAAAGGCTCATGTGGGGCTTATTTTAAAAGTAAGGAAGCCCAAGTCAGGCAATCAGTAAAAGTAAAAAGTTGAATACTATAGAATGAACAAAGACCATTAAACAAAAGCACTAGAACTGTTACTGCACCAACACCGTATTTAAGCCAAAAGAAAAAATTAAAAAAATATTTTTTAGAGAAAGTAAGTGACCAATATATGAAATACAAGGAAGCAATATACTTTTCAGAAATCGGATGAGGGGATACACTATGATCACCCCTGATTACAGGAGATTTAATTTTATTATCTAAACTTTTGTTTTGAATTGTTTTCATCGTAGTTGTATTTCTGTTTAAAGCCAACTAGCCATGTGATGGCAGGAGTTTACTAATAAAACCTTAGCGGTTGTAATCACTTTTATCTCTACTTGCTATCTTGCCAAATTATTTCAGCTTGATCGAGACAGGTGGAAAGACTTACACGAGGACAATTCCTCACAATGCATGTTACAACACCACCAATAGAATCACCTCTCACTTGTATAGCATCAATTGCAGCTATCATCTTCTCTGCATATTCAGGGTCTGGACATCGAACGATATTACTATCAATCTGGAAAATTTCCACAGAAAAGTGACGAACCAGGAATTTAGCCTCAGAATAGCAAGAATGAAATAATGATAATAACATCAATAAAAAGAAATCTCAATATAAGTTATAACAGTAAGCAATCAATTTGGAAGAAAGCATTCTGAACAGCACAGTATCGTGGCACCTGTTCAATAAAAGTGCAAACCAGGAATTTGGCTTCAGAATTGCAAGAATAAAATAATGACAACAACATCAATAAAAAGTATTCGCAATATAAGTTATAACAATAACCAATCAATTTGAAGACTCCATTCTTTACAGACAGTATGATGCCACCTGTTCAATATAAGAAATAATAGGATATTCACACATTAATTATGTTAAATCGGTGTTAGATTACTTATTTTCCTTGCAAGTGTATAACATATTAGGTCACTGTATGAATTCTAGGAAAAGTTAGCACCAGATAGACAGTTATTTGGAAAATAACAACAGGAGTCTAGTGCAGATTAAATTCATAAATATTCTACTTAAAGGCATTAGCCATGTTTTCATCATAATGAAAATTTATCCGTTTTATATGAATTGTCCCCCTTTTTTATCTCAATAATTCATCATTAGTTAAAAATAAATAGATTTGACATGTAACTACCATTAACTTCTGATCGGCTATTCGTGCACTGATTATAAATCTTTATTCTTTAATATGTACTTGTAAGATCAAATTTACAAGAACAACTTATGTGCATATGCATATTGACCAGAAGTTAAGTTTTGTGCCTCGAGATGGTAAAAGTAATTATCATCCATTTCCTTAGTAATGAGAAAGTCATTTCCATAGTAATATTCACGGGTAATGCTCAAAATGTATCTATCAATTTAAATCAAACAAGAGGCATAAATTGCAAAGGTATTCCATTGCCAATAAGCGAGCTCAATCAAAATAATTGTTAGTTAGCTTGGCTATATTCAAAATCCATTAAAAAAACAAAATAAATAAATAAAACAGGTAATCATTTCCATGTTTGGAATACACGAAATTTACTTCAAACAGCTTTAGAAAGGAAGCACCGTGGCGCTATAGCATAAATAACTAGGAATATTAACTTTAATACCTGACCAAACGTCAAAATGTCATGATCAATAAGGTCCTCGGGAAGAATAATGTTATGAACTTGAGACACATAGGCAAGAATCTGAAAAATAGGAAACCTTTAGCTCGGATCTTTCTTAAGGAATTGGCAAATAAAACATGTTACATGTATGTACATTATTATATCTATATCAACCATCTGTAGGTGAAAAAAGATTTGCATTTAGTAAAAAAGAAAACCAGAATGGGTAGAGATTAATCTGGCAAAGTTTGGCTCTGACAAACAAGTACAAGTTGACTTTAGGTATGATCAGTGGGGATAGGATGCCAACCCAGTAATCAAAGCAATATGATAGCCTTTGAAAGTTTATTTCTTAGGGTAATGTCTTTTTAAATTCATCAAACTCAGACTAGTACACGTGCACTCAATGAAAATTACATAAAAGATCAGTATGGATAGGATGTCAACCCAATGATAACTGCAACTCACACTAGTCATTTGGACATTTATTTCTTAGGCTAATGTTTCTTAATCATCATCTCCTTAAGTTTAGGAGATAATAGTCATATTGTGTTTTGCAGGAATTTTGAGTGAGGAATGATTCTTTCTTAGACGCTTTTGACACCTTTATCAACAGTTTTCCGTACATAAATAACCATTTAGAACTTTTGTTTCATTTCAGCAGAAGCTCGAGCGATAGTTAGGCGTGTGAATTAAAATCCTTATACTTTTACGTGAATCTAATCCAGATGGAAGGGATAGAACTTTGGATTCTTCTGCTTTGTAGCCCAAAATCATGAAAGTTTCCTTCTTGACAAGTTCATTTGCATATCAAGAGGTCCTTTAAAATCAAGTCTTTCACTTTAACAGTGGTATTTAATAGAATTAGCATACATGACATCTGCAGCTAATAAGCCTCAAAAAGACTTGTTATATGTAGATCTAATTTAGAAATAGAATGCTGATTATTTTTGTATAGAAGGTTAAATTCATATGAAAGGTTCTTGGTGGTCACTGAGTGCATCCTCTAACTTTGGAGCAATATATCATGATTAATTTCAATGGCTAAAACTTGCAGCAATCTGTATATAAGCAAACAAAAGAACCAAAAACCAAGAAGAAAAAATATGAATATGTAAAATCACAATATAAATATGGATATAGAAAGGCTAAGATGTTCTTAAAATGATATATCCTTCTTGACCAGGTATAAAAACAAAAAGGAATACGTCAAAGAATAATAAAAGTAACACACCTCAGTTCCAGAAAAGTCTTTAAGGATTTTCTTAGCAACAGCACCAGAGGCGACCCTTCCAATTGTTTCTCTTGCAGAAGATCTACCACCACCCTTAAGTACAATAGAGTTCAGATGTATGAGCTTATTACATATACATATCCCATTGAAAAAATGTTGGACTCATTACAAATAAAAGGTCAGTCAGTACCTGAACTGATCTGACACCATACTTCATGTCATAGGTAAAATCAGCATGGGAAGGCCTATAAGCTAATAACATCTCATCATAGTCCTGAAAAAGTTTCCCAGAGTGCAATATTTTATCAGCATCCCTGAATTATGATCACAGTTGCTTTGCTTGTCGTAAACAAGCTCTAGCATTAGGTACTCACATTTCCTATTTGATCAGTATTGGGTACAAATACATGAATTGGAGTTCCAGTAGTAAGTCCTGCAGTTAACAGATTATACTTCAAACCTTTTTTCAAGAAATTCCAAGCTAATAATTGTCTGAAGAAATATCGACCTTCTGAGACTCCTGAAAATATTTTGCATGTATCGGTCTCTGTTCTAGGAGTTGTAATTGGGCTCTGACCTAGCCTCCTACACATAAGAAATCTTGCAGTTGTTATTCTTTGAAGACATGTTGTATCAGAAGCAATCACTACCTATCATTCATAAATGTTATATTCCCTAACTAGCAGTTTAGCACAGATTTCAATCCAAATTTCAAAGTGTTTTATCACAGTGAAAGTGGTTGAATGAAGATAAATACATTATTTCAGAGGTATGTACCTTCTTTCAAGATCCACTTGCATATCAGCTTCCGAGAGAGAAATGCGAGGAGGACATCCATCGATGACACAACCAACACCTCCTCCATAAGATTCTCCGAATGTTGTCACACGGAAATGATTCCCATAAGTATTCCCAGCTGCCTGTATATCTGTAATATGTCAACACAAAGCAAAAGCCAATCTTTTCATGATAGGATATTTGAGGTTTAACGAAACAGAGTTTAGAAACAATAGATTTAATAAAATTATTATTAATAATAATTTTTATAAAAAAATTATTACAATAATAATTAAAATGGTTATCATATCATTATAAAAAATAATTAATATTTAAAAAATATAAATCTATTAGAGAATTAAAATTATTATTATGATATTATAATAATATTATTTAAAATTAATGACTTATATAAGATAAAAAAAATTATATATTTATTTTAAAGATTTCACAGATTTTATAAAAATATATATTTAATTTTTATAATTTTATCAATTTTATACCAAATTTTTATATTTTCATACCAGTTTAATTAAAATCTAACTATTTAAAAATAGCATATTCATTTTCAAACCAATTTTCTGATGCCATCCAATTTTTAAAATAATGTTAAAAATTCAGCCATCTCAATTCCACTAATTTAGATATAATTTTTTTATATTAATTTCTTTTAAATACATTGGCACAAAATTCTTATCCAACCTCGGCTATTATTTTACGTGTTTCTTCTTAAATTTTTTAGGATGATAAAATTAAAAATTACTAATAACATTTGGTAAATTTAAATGTATATTATGCTTGGATATTAATTATCAATATATTAGTAAATTATTTAAGAACAAGAGTGATAATGTTTTTTATATAAAATATGTTTCAACCAACCTCCATAGTTTACCAATTTTTTATTGATATGTTATCCCAGTGTAACATATCACACTACAATATAAATAAATACAAAATATTTTGATTTGTATTATTTTGCTCAAAAAATAAGATTAGATAATATTAAATTCATAAGTATAATTATTTTATTATAAAAGAAATTGATGAGAGAATTCTTTCAAAATAATTATTAACATTAAAATATATACTTATTAAGTAATTATTTTTTTATTGATTCACATATATTATTATTATTATTATTAATATAATTAATATTTAATCTTTAAATAAGGTGAGATTGTATATAAAATTCATATATCTCATAAATTTTATTACCTACAACTATATTTTTTATAAAAAATACATCTCTCATTATTTTATTAGGATACATTATTATTATTATTATTGTATGATATTCAATATTTAATTTTTAAAAGTATCATATATATATATATATATATATATATATATATATATATATAATTTATAAAACACATAAATTTCGTTATACACCACAATATTTTTGTTAATAATTTTTTTTATTCAATACAATATTATTATTATGTCAAAATTTATATTCAAATAATGATTATACATGAAATTTATATATCTCATAAATTTTTATTCATATACAATAGTATCATCAGTGACTTTTTTGTTGTTAAGGAGGTCACAGTTTTCCTAAATTTTCTCAATTTTGTTAAACTAATTATATATGTAATTTTGCTCCCTCAAAAAAAATATTATATATAGTTTTGAGTCTATTTAATTTTTTCATAAATATTAAAATAGATAATCAAAGATATAATTAAAAAAAAAACTAAAAGAAGAGATTTTATATTCTTACATTTTTTTTTTCAATAAAGGTTTGTTATAATATTTATTTGATTTCTCACTTTTAAATATATTTTTTTTTATCTCTCCCTCATCTAACTCAATAGTTACAGTTACATATTAATATGTTATTTTGACTACCCAAAATTGTAGGTCAAGATTTACCATTAATTGTATTATTATATGATACAATGATAATTATCAAACTTGTAAATTTCATGATTTTGAAATTTTTTTGATAGATATTAAAAATTATTGAAAATTTAATAATTTAATTGATATAAATATTTTGATATTGATAATTTTTTAGCATTACCTTAATATAATAAAATATTATATAAAAAATATAACATTTTTTTATACAATCACATGATAAGTAGACAAACATTTTAATAGAGCCCAGACATTACTTAAATATCTTATTTGGGATGATTAAGTTGCGTCCCTTCTTTGCTTAAATGAATCATATATCTTGACTCATCGGATCAATAGACTAAGCGACACAGGTAAAAATAGACTAGACTACTTCCTAAGAATGTCTAACCTGTTTTTCATCCCTAATTATCCTTCCTAAGAATTAAAATATAAATGAAGAAAAAAACACTTAACACTAAGAATTAATTGAAAATAAAACTATTAGCGGAGAGAGAGGACTGACGGAGTCTCTTAGGAAGACGACGGATGAGATAACCGGGGATGAGAGATCGGAGATCGGAATGGAGAGATCCGAAGGCAGAGAGACAAGACTCCATGGAAATGGTAACACGTGCTCACAATAATCTTATCTTTTTCCTTAATATGTTTGGTGTGAGGGGACACAAACCACCCTTGTCCATTATAGTGTTTGGTATAATTCAAGTAAGTTTCAGGTGCCAATTTATATTAAAATAAATAAATAATAACTTAATTTTAAGAGATGTTATATAAATCTTTACTTTTAAAAAATATCTATTTTTATAAATATTTTAAAAAAAGTAAAAAATGTTTTTTGTTTTTAAATAATTTTATTTATGTAAATACGTATTAAAATAGACATTTATTCATTAAAAACTAGACATTTTAAAATAAGTATTTTTCAAAATTTTTGTTGTAATAATCACTTTTTAAAATAATTTTTTTTAAATAAATGTTTTTTAAAACAAGTGTGTTACTAAAATAATTATTTTTTCACATAAACACTTTTTGAAATTAATGTTTTTATATGATCTTAAGACTTTACACAATAATCACTTTAATTTTGTTATCAGGAAAACATCCATTTACTTGTAGAAAACAAAATTTTAAAATTTACATAAATTTTGTACGTTAGTTAAACATTTTTTTATAGCTAGCTAACAGAAAAATAAAAAGTAAGTTAGTAAAAATATTAATTTGAAGTTTTTTTATTTTCATGTATTTGTCTTGTCTAAGTACAAGATATCTAGTAAAAGTTTGTTTTTTTTTTTTGAACGGAAGTTAAGAGAGATTAAGAGAAATAATGTATAGTGTATTTTTTATGCATGGAGAGAGGGAAACATATATTTTAAATATGACAGGACAATGCAATACATGTTTTAAGAAAATAAAAGTGTATTTTACGCTTAATATTATGACATTTTTAAATTAAATGAATGATGTATGTATATTCAGCTTTACTTGATTACTTTAAAGGCAGATTTATTTTAAGACGAGCCTCATCGAATTTGTTTATCAACAGAGGAGCACGAGCAACATTACAATCGAACAATGGTTGGCTAGTAAGGGTAATTGCATCACAAGAAAAGAAGTCTTAGGGCAGTTTGTTATAATTCTAACTACTTCATATAAGAAAAGAAGTAGAAATTAGAACTGCTTTTTTCATTATTTTATTTTATAAACTTATTCTTAGTGAAATAAAAATAGTTAAAAGAGACCTTAAATTTTAAAATATATGGATACAACAATAACATGAAAAATTCTGTTGCCACTAATCATGTCCACATATCAGACTACGTCAAAGTCAAAGGGGCGTATGTGTAAATATGTTCAATCCTAATTTTGTGATATTTTATGACTTACATTGAATTTCTATTTCTTACATGCCAAATAAGTCAAAATATTGTGTCCAAACACGTTAAGGAATCAGCCACTGCTATTTTTAAACTTTGCCAAAAATTTGTTAATTTAAGAACATATAAATAAGCAAAAAGAAAGCCATAAAAAACTAACAAAATTTAACTTGTTATTTGTAATCAATCACAATGCAGAATATATTATGAACAGCTCACCTAAACTTCAGAAAGCTTTCATTTCTTGAAATGCATAGCAACACTTGCTAGACCAAAAACTGTTACATTTCTTACAGTATACAATACCAGTTCATTAAGATACATGTTCTCGGAGCTTTTGCGACCAGGTTTTCACGAAATAATGTTCACTCTCAAAATTAAAAAAGAAAAAAAAAAAAGAGAAAAAAAAAAAAGACATAGTTTAACTTAACACTAATACTAGGAGATAGATTGCATCCGCAAAAATATCTGGCACAAGGCGAACATGCAGACCAGGTGCTGGATCCCCTCGCAAGAGGCAAACTTGTTCTGATTTATGAAAATGAATTAACCGTCAACTAAATACTAAAGCCAGAAGCAGAAGCACAAGTGCTGATTTATGCACCCCTTCATCTTCTTCAGAAGGGCACTTGTTCTGGCTCTAATAAGGGCACCAAGGGTTCTTGCAAATCTCTGTTTACGGGAAACAGATTACACTGTGCATACTGTGCCATCAACTGGTCCACAAGAACCAAAGCTACCACTGCCTCTACCATGGGTACAGCTGCAAGCCCAGTCCAAACAAAAATTTCAGAGCTTTTTTTTTTTTTTTTTTTTCTATCGAAAACATGAGATATCATCACGATTGAAAACCATGCACATACACATAATGCTTAAAATTCTCCTTTCTTTCTGACATTAGATTTAGGTGTCCTTTAAGCAAAAGCCGTCGTGTAACGAACTATCTTGCCTTTCAAGATATCTTTAAAATTGTTAACAGTTCTAAAGATTCTCCTCTCAGCAAATTAGATGAATTTTATTAGAGTTAAAGTTAAAAAAAAAAAAAAAAAACACCAAATATAATACAAAAAGCACTCATAACAAAAAAAATGCCAGGTTATTAACCTCTTGGGACAACACAAGGATCATGGCGACCACGGGCTATCAGCTCTGTTTCTTTTTTGTCCCGAGTCACAGTATGTTGCTTCTTCTGCAAAAGTGTAATAGCATGTCCACTTCGTATCAAATACATACGGTAGTGCAGAGTAATTGTCATGTGTAATGAAATATGAAATAAACCAACTAATCAGCTAAAATGGTGAACGTGTACACGCAAAGGAATGGGGCGGTTGAGTGGGACCAAGATGACAAACACAAGTTTACCTCCATTTCCAACAAAAAGCAGAAAGAATATGTTTCAAAATATTATGAATAAACCACACAGCTCCATGTACAGCAATCAAATTATGTTTTAAATTTAATGATTTCATTTACCAATGGACTTATCCCTCAGAAATACAGATAGAGGAAACCAAAGAAGCAGCTTCATTAGCTGGAATACTATTTACTAAAGAGTCATTCTAAGGCTTGATAAATGCATAGGGCAATTTCTTTATCGTGTATTCTATGCATAAAAAAATTGAAGCATAAACAAGATGAACAAATCATGCATCGTCAACATTTCCTGCAGAAAACAGGCATATTCTGTTCTCATGCCCTCCCACTCATGAGGTTTGCAAAGTTTTATACTTAGTCTACCAAAGGACAAATTACAGACATGGAAATATCATTACATACGAGTCAGTTTACAGACATAGCAACATGTAATCATTGTTACACTGGTTGTTTTCATATATTAATTTTTTATATTCTTTAAAATTGTGTAAGTTATGATTTCTCTTTGCAGATTTTTATGTTTAAATAAAAATGTAGTACTCCATCGATTCATTAAGGTATAAATAATTTCGGTAGTATAAATGTTTCTCCATATAGGGAAGAGTGCTAACGCACTACTTCAAAGCTCAAACAACTACGCTCAAATGAGGAAAAAAATGTGAGGATGTCTATTAACATGTGAAGATAATTACAAATAGTTGGGAAGGATCCTTTTTAACATATGAACAAAACAAAGAGCAAAGACTGAAGAAAAATGACACTAATGTATACGAGTATATTAAAATATATTGAAAACATTTTCAACATAAAATGTCATACTGTAAATGAGTAGATAAAAAATCAAGATCGTATTTCAGGTTGCAATTCGTCAATGCTAGTCAAATTACATGGCGTAATCATTGAGTAATAAAATTGCTGAAATTATGGGGATGGCGTCAAGTTAGAAAAGGAGGAAAAGAAACATAAAAGCATGCCAATTCGGTAGATGAACAAGGGGGGAAAGGGTCTGAGGCAGATCCATTGGCTCACAAACTAGCCAAGGCACCCATTTGGAAGGTTTACATTACGTGGGGTGGGAAACAACATGAGTAACTGCCGGGTTTAGGTTGCAAAAGGGGAAAAGAGATAAAAGGGACCAGATAACATTTTAATAAGTATAAAGATGTGATGTGATACAAAACGTACAGAACTAATTCCTATTTATACAAGCACAAGTATATGTTATTCAAATAAAAGAAAATTGTTGAAATATTTAGAAAATATGTCTCAGTATTAATCTCATTATCTGTAGTTAGTATCTTTAGAATATTTTAGGATACCTTGGAGGATCTCTTAGAATTGTTTCCACGTTTCATTATATCCTTATTTAATTAGGATTAGGAATTCTTACATGTTAATGTAAAATAAAATCATTCATCTATCTTCACCTGGCAACTTATGCTTTTGAAATAATTAGTTCATGGATAACATGTTATTAGAGGTTAAATGATCAAGTGGTTTAAAGTTCGATCCTGTCAACCCCCTTTGTCTAATAAAAAGTTAAAGTTCAGAAGTTAGATGGGCTTGTGCATTGTCAATACTTTAATCTTAAAAGACTTTTTGCTGACTATTAGTTCACGGAAATACAAATAGTGGAAATACTTTCTATTTTGTATCACATCATATTGCATCACATTAGTAAAAATACACGAGAATATTATTCATAACCTCTCTGATCCTCTTCCTCTACCTATATCCCAAAGCTCCAGCACAAATAATGAAATACAAAAATCACTCTTAAGAGATTACTAAAGAGACGCTAAAATATCCTTAGATACTAAATATTATAAAATATTTAACAAGAATAAGCATTGTGAAAGATATATCAGATTTTTCTAGTATCTGTATTTAATGGATGAATGGGATAGTGATGAAGACAGAAAGAGAAGAGATTTACTTACTCCAATAGTCGATGTTGGCTTGAAAGCTATTCTCATATTAATGATTTCCCCATTGGAAATTCCACCCTGATTGTCAATAGAAATAATTAATGTAAAACAAATATAGACAAACGACCATCATAGTCCACATCTAGAAACAACTAATTAGTAATTATAGACCAGCCGAATACCTGTATCCCACCAGAGCGATTGGTTCTCGTTCTTGTCCTTCCATGTTCATCTATATAGAACTCATCATTGTGTTCACTCCCAGTTAAAAAGGTTCCTAAATTGATTTCATTAGACATCAGAACACACCTCAGACACAAGTGACCCAAGAAAATAACGTTGTTTAATTTGTACCATTTTAGTCAGATCAAAATCACAAGACAAGCAAATTTCAGTACCTGCAAACCCAGACCCAAACTGAAAGCCCTTGGTTGCAGGCAATGACATAACAGCTTTAGCCAGCTCAGCCTCGAGTTTGTCAAACACTGGTGAGCCAAGACCCTGAGAAATAATAATGTCATTTTTATTCTAAGTGGACAAGTAATAGAAAAAACTGAATAATATAAATACAAATTACTAGGTGTTAAGATGAGAACTAAGAGGTGCCTTAGAAGATATTAAGGGAGATTCAAAGTTGCAAAACAACAAGCATTGTTTCAAAGTAGAGTGTTTTTTTCATCCATTTTTTTCTTTTGCATGCTAATTATTCAAATATCATATGACAAGACCAAAATATCTTGAAGAGTTTTGGGCATGAGCTACAACTTTATTTTCTAAAAGTAAGTTCTGCTATACAAGGAAGGGAAGTTCTGAAACTCGTAGATGACTTAAGAGTACAGCTTTTCAGACTCTAGTTATGGAAAAGTTTTCACCCTTTTCTAGGGTATGCACAAGACTTCCAAAATATTCATGCGTAGTTATGATCATTAGGTACTATTACAGTTAGGGTGAAAGCTAAAATTTAAAAAGATTCTTAGAAGAGAAAAAAAAGGCTTAGATACGTTTTATCTTCCCTGAAAAATTAACAGATTTTGATTTTTCTACCTAAAAAATATTTTTTTCATTTGACCCCAGATTTTAGTCAAATATGCATTTAGTCCCTATCACTCCTGATTAATTCTCAGCATCACTTAACAAAGCAAATCTAGTGACAGGGACTAAAAATATGTACTTTTAACGAAATTGGGATTGAACCAAAGAAAGGAAACAAAATCAAAATTGATTAACTTGTTCAGACGAAAATGGTATTTAAAAAGAGTTGTCAATAAAAAGTTGTGGAAAATCGTGAAAAGCTTAAAATCCACTATATCAAGCAAGGTAACCACACAGCGGGCACATTTTTATTGTATCAGAGAGAATAAAGAGAGAAAAAAAACTATAAATTTGGAAGAAGGTGAGGTTGAAAAACGAAAAAGGGAAAAGGAGGAAGGAATTAATGAAACAAGGAAGAGATAGATTTAATCAAAGAGAAAACAAAAATTAAAAGAGTACGATAACCTGTAAAAAAAGGGGTGTTGTTAGATTGGAAGAGAATGTTGGAGCCTTTTTGAGTTTTGGGAGAGAAATGTTAATGTCAAAGTTTAAGAAGAGGAAAGGAATTTAAGTGACAGGGTGATACTCAAAGGTTCCTTGGCCTGCCAATAAAGAGGCTACTGTGGGGCTTATTTTAAAAGTAATGGAGCCCAAGTTAAGTAAATCAGTAATAAGTAACAGATGAATTGTATAGAATACAGAGTCCACTAAACAAAAGCACAGACTCTTACTGCAAAACTGTAACCCGATATTTAGCAACACTGTATTTAAGCCCAAAAAAATTTGTTTAGAGAAAAAGTGGGTGATCAAAATATGAAAATACAAGTAAAATATATTTTTCAGAAATCGGATGTTGGGATACACCATGTTCGCCCCTGATTACAGGAAATTTAATTTTATTATCTAAACTTTGGTTTTGAATTGTTTACACTGTAATTGTATTTCTATTTAAAGACAACTAGCATGTGATGGTGGAGTTTAATAATAAAACCTTTGCAGTTGTTATCAGTTTTATCTCTTCTTGCTATCTTGCCAAATTATTTCAGCTGGAGACAGGTGGAAAGACTTACTCGAGGACAGTTCCTCACAATGCATGTTACAACACCACCAACAGAATCACCCCTCACTCGTACAGCATCAATAGCAGCTATCATCTTCTCTGCATATTCAGGGTCTGGACATCGAACAATGTTACTCTCAATCTGGAAAATTTCCAAAAAGAAAAAAGGTGGCAAACCAGGTACTTAGCTTCAAAATTGCACGAATGAAATAATGATGATTGCATCAATAAAAAGTAATCTCAATATATGTTATAACAATAATCAATCAATTTGGAAGAGAGCATTCTGAACAGGACAGTATGATGACTATTGTTCAATAAAAGTGGCAAACCAGGAATTTGGCTTCAGAATTGCAAGAATAAATAATGACAATAACATCAATAAAAATTATTCTCTATATAAGTTATAACAATAACCAATCAATTTGGAAGACTCCGTTCTTTACAGGAAGTATGATGCCACCTGTACAATAAAATAAATAATAGGATATTTCACACATTAATTATTTTAAATCAGTATTAGATTACTTATTTTCCTCGCAACTGCATAACGTATTGGATAAGTCAGCTACTCAAGCACTAATTATACATTTGTATTCTTTAATCTGTACTTCTAAGATCAAATTTACGAGAAAAACATATGTATGTATGCATATGGACCAGAAATTCAGCTTTGTGCCTTGAGATGGTAAAATTAATTATCACCCATTTCCTTAGTAATGGTAAAAGTCTTTTCCTTAGTAATATTCATGAGTAATGCTCAAAATGTAACTATCAGATTAAATCAAACAAGAATCGCAAAACGAATTCCCAATAAGTGACCTCAATAAAATATTTGTTAGTTAGCTATATTCAAAGTCCATTAAAGAAAACATGAAAAATGTAACAGATAATCATCTATAGGTTTAGAATACACGAAATTTACTTCTAACATCTTTACAAAGGAAGCACTGTGGCACTAGAGCATAAAGAAAAATGAAAATTAACTTTAATACCTGGCCAATTGTCAGAGTGTCATGATTAATAAGGTCCTCGGGAAGAATAACCTTATGAACTTGAGATACATAGGCAAGAATCTGCAAAAGAGGAAACCTTTAACTCGGATCTTTCTTAAGGAATTGGCAAATCAAACATGTTACATGTATGGTAAAGAAAATCAGAACAGATAGAGATTGATCTATCAAACTTAGACTCTGACAAACAAGTACAAGCTGACCTTATGTATAATCAGTAAGGATAGGCTGCCAACTCAGTGATCAATGCAATATAGTAGTCTTTGGAAGTTTATTTCTTTGGGTAATGTCTCTTTAAATTCATCAAACTCAGACAAGTAGACAAGTATATGTGCACTCAATGAACATTACATAAAGATCAGTATGGATAGGATGTCAACCCCAGTGATCACAGCAACTCACACTAGTCATTTGGACATTTATTTCTTAGGTTATTTTTCTTAATCATAATTTTCTTAAGTTTAGGAGATATTAGTCATATTGTGTTTTAGAAGAAATTTTGGGTGAGGAATGATTCTTTCTAAGACGCCTTTGACACCTTTTTCATCAGTTTTCCGTACATAAATAACCATCAAAGAACTTTTGTTTCATTCAGGGTCCAAATTTACTTGGAAGTTGAAATTTTCATTTCAGCAGAAGGTTGAGTGATAGTTATGCTTGTGCAATAAAATCCTTCTAATTTTCCGTGAATATACTACTAATCCAGATGGAAGGGATAGTACTTTGGATTCTTCTGGTTTCTAGCCCAAAATCATGAAAGTTTCCTTCTTCAAAAATTCATTAGCATGTCAATAAGACATTTAAAGTCAAGTCTTTCACTTTAACAGCAGTATTTAATAGGATTAGCATACATGACATCTGCAGCTAATAGGCCTCAAAAAGACATGATATTTTTAATTTAGAAATAGAATGCTGCTTATTTTTGCATAGAATGTTAAATTCATATGAAATGTTCTTGGTCGTTACTGAGTGCATCCTCTAACTTTGGAGCAATTATATAATCATTAATTTTAATAGCAAAAACTTGTAGCAATCTGTGTAGAAGCAAACAAAAAGAACCAAAAATCAAGAAGAAAAAAATATGAATATGTAAAAATTACAATATAAATATGGGTATAGAAAGGCTAAGATGTTCTTAAAATAATATATCCTTCGTGGCCAGTTATGAAAACAGAAAAACACAAAGGAATACCACAGAATAATAAAAGTAACACACCTCAGTTCCAGAAAAGTCTTTAAGGATTTTCTTAGCAACAGCACCAGAAGCAACCCGTCCAATTGTTTCTCTTGCAGAAGATCTACCACCACCCTTAAAGGTGATAGAGTTCAGATGTATGAGCTTATTACATATACATATCCCATTTAAAAAATGTTGGACTCATTACAGAAAAAAAAAGTCAGTACCTGAACTGATCTGACACCATACTTCATGTCATAGGTAGCATCTGCATGGGAAGGCCTATAAGCTAATGACATCTCACTATAGTCCTGAAAAAGTTTCCAGGGTACAATATTTTATCAGTGTCCCTGAATTATGACAATAGTTGTTTTGCTTGTCATAAACGAGCTCTAGCATTAGATACTCACATTTCCTCTTTGATCCGTGTTGGGAACAAATACATGAATTGGAGTTCCTGTAGTAAGTCCTGCAATTAACAGATCATACTTCAAAGTTTTTTCAAGAAACATACAATTTCCAAGTTAATAATAGTAGGAAGAAGAAATACTGACCTTCGGAGACTCCGGAAAATATTTTACATGTATCAGTCTCCTTTCTAGGAGTTGTAATTCGGCTCTGACCTGGCCTCCTATACACAAGAAATCACGCAGTTATTCTTTGCAGACATGTTCCATCAGAAGCAATCACTACCTATCATTCATAAATGTCATATCCCTATGTAGAAGTTTAGCACAGATTTCAATCCAAGCACCAAAGTGTTATCTCACAGTGAAAGTGGTTCAATGATGATAAATAGATGATTTCAAAGGCAAGTACCTTCTGTCAAGATCCACTTGCATGTCAGCTTCAGAAAGAGGAATGCGAGGAGGACATCCATCGATGACACAACCAACACCTCCTCCGTGAGATTCTCCATATGTTGTCACTCGAAAGTGATTCCCATAAGTACTCCCAGCCGCCTGTATCTCTGTAATATGTCAACAGTATAAGAAAGTTAAAAACCCATCCATCTCAATCCAATTAGTTTAGAATTCTTAACATGCAATGTAACTGGCTTGGGAACCAACTATTTTCTTTAATTTGTTGTGTTTATCATAGACTGCAATCCTACGTATTGAATTTGAAATTATAAAGAAAACTGAAAAAAAAAATGGTTTATAAAAAAATTCAGTTCCTACCAGCTAAAAGAAGATATGTAACAAAACATGTCTTTCAGACTAACCTACATCATCCTGCGAGCATAGATGTTAAATGGCAGCGACAACAAAAGGTATGCAAATACAAACGACGGAGGTTGGAGAAATGTGACATCCAATTTCATTTAACACGATTTGTTTCAGAATTCTTCCGCGAATTACATACTAACAATCTCACGACACAACACACTCCTTACAACAGATTACAACCGGAAAACGAACGATTGGAAATATTTAGCAGATAAAGTCGATTCAGCTAAGCAAATGAGCGAAGAGAACAGAGAAACACAGACAAATAACGAGGAGCATATTCTTAGTAGCTGATGTGTCTCAAAATTAATTGAGAAATCACGTAAAAAAAATAAGAATTAAAATATAAGCGATGAAGAAGAATCACTTAAAACTAAGGATTAATTGAAAATGAAACTATTAACGAAGAGAGAGAGGACTGACGGAGTCTCTTGGAAAGGCGAGGACGGAGCGCGAGTCGGAGATAACCAGGGGACAGAGATCGGAGATCGGAATTGAGAGATGCGACGGCGGATAGAGCTTTGGTTGAGAACGGTCTGGCGGAGAGCGAAGACGCCATTGGAATTGGAACAATAGCAATCACAGAATTGGATTGAATGAGGAACAAAAGCAATCACAGTGATATGATTTGGTGGTACTCTAAAGTTTGGTTGTTGAGTTGAGAGAGAAAAAGAAGAATAGAGGGAGGTTGGTGTCTGGTTAGTTGGTGGCAATGAGTGTAATTATGAATGGTAAGAAACCCAAGTGGCCATCACCTACCCTCTCTTACATATCATGTTTGGTATGCGGCCAGCTAGTCCAATTCTAGTGTTTGGTGCAATTCTAATGCAACTTTTCTACTTATTGATATTTTATATATAAAAATTTATCTATTTTTAAAAAAGTCAACAAATATTTTATTTTCTATTTCTCTGCTTTAAAATAAATTCGTCTAAATATCTTAAAAATATAATAATAAGTGATTATATTTATTAAAAATGATACATTTTGAAATAAGTTTTTTAAATAAATATTTTTTAGTGTTTTATGAAATAATCATTTTTTTTAAATAAGCTCTTCTTTAAATAAAGTATTTTGTTAAATAAATGTTTCTTTAACACAAGGTTTTTTCAAAAATAATAAATTTAAAATAAGTGTTTTTATATGGTCTAAGATTTTGCGTTAATTTTATTTTGTAATAAGCATTTATTTACATGTGACAAAACAAAAATCTTCAAATTACATAGTTTTTGCATATCAGTATAATATTTTTTATATAGCATATCTAATACAAGAAAAAATATTCGATGTGAAACTAAGCTAGTAAAATCTTTTCATACGTTTGTCTTGTAAGTTATAACTAAATTTTATATACATTGAATTTGAAAATTCAAGTGTCCAAAGAAATAAGTATCTTTTTTAAGCAAGTGATATTTGAAATAAGAATTGTTTGAAATTCGATTTTTTTTTTAAATAAGAACTTCTCTAATATGAAGTACTTATTAAAATATTTAAATAAAACACTAATTATTTAAAAAAAATCATTAGATAAGTTTATGACAAATTGTTAAAATTTTAATGTAAATTTATATGTCAAGTAATTTATACAAATATGATAATGACCATTCATTTTATTGGAATTTTTTTTAATGTATTTGGGTTGAGTAAATCATAACTAAAATTATAAATATTGGATTTTAAAACTCTAGCGATCTAAAAAAAATATCATCAATTTTGTCTCTCAAGCCTAATTTAAAGCATTTAATAACAAAAATGTCAATTAAAAATATAAGTTTTGTAAAAAAAAATTGGGTGCAACTTAATTACACATAGAAAATGACCTTTTTTAATTTTGTGGGGCTATATTAAAGCATATATTACTTAAAATTATCTCTAAACTTAGGTTAAGTTTATTGTTCTACAAACTTTAAACTATAAAGGTAACTGTAGTTTCAATTCAAGCAAACTCTTATTATTATAAAACTCTAGACTTTCTCTAAACTATCATTCAAGTTTTTATTAGTCCATAAATTTTTTTTTTTCATTTTTGTATCTAAGTACTTTAAGTTCCTTTTTTATAGTTTTAAATTAATTATATTTGATTCAATATAATATTTTTTATTTTTTCAATTATCCTAGCGAAATTCATTATCGATAAATTCAACTGTAATAAAATGTCAGCAAATTTGTCTTTAATATAGCAAGTCAAAAAGTGAATAATCTTTTCATCCGTTTGAACTTCTCTCCCAGAGAGGTAGAAATTTCTTTTTGGATCCCTTTTTATTCCCTTTTTTTTCCTAAGGTAACCAAAAATGCACAAATTATTTTTCTTCTCACTCAATATATTTTTTGTAGTTTAAATTTGTAATCTAAATCAATACAATCAATTTGACGATTATCATACTATTTTAAATTGGATGATCAAAATTATTATTCAAATAATATAAAATGAAAAATAAAACTACCAACTAACTATAAAGTGTGTATTTAATATGTGAGTGTAAATAATGAATTAAATAAAATGGGTTGAAGAACCCGTGAATTTTAAAGATGAATAAAAATATAAAAATTAAATTATATGATGAAGGTAATTTTGTTGTTTAGATCTTGTTAAAAAAATTTGTAATTAAAATAATATAATATTAAGAGTAGGGATTTTTTTTCATAAATAATATTATTTTAAAAAATATTTTTCAAAACAACATCTTTATAATATTATTTTCTCATCTAACACTATTTATTATTCACGTTTGGGATTCGGTTCCTAAGAAACCGAATTTTAAACTACCATTTCTAAATTTTTTTAGTTTTTATTTTTGTTTTATTAATTTTATAAATAGATTTTTTTATAATTATAAATATAATTTATTTTTAAGTTTATAATTATTATTTTAATTTATGTAATATACAATTATAAATACAATTTATGTAATATATAATTATATATATAATTAATTAATTTGAAGTTCATATATATACAATTTTAATTTATGTAATATATATATATATATATATATATATAATTTATTTAACATTAAAAATAGATATATTTTTATTAATTTTATAATTATAATTTTTTTAAGGTTATAATTTTAAATATAATTTTTTTAACTTTATAATTATAATTTATATAATATATATAATTTATAAATAATTATTTTTTAAAATTTTAATTTGATATATATTTTTTATTTATAATTATTTAATGTATATTTAAAGTAATTTATTTATATGTTTATATATAATACTTTATAATTTTATTTGTATGAATAACAAATAATTACTCTAAATTAATTAATAAAGTAAAGAAGAAATTTTATTAATTGAAAAACTCCTAAGTTTCATAGTACATTGAGATATTTCTTAACTAACACAATTTAATGATGCAAAGTAGATGCACATACAACATTTGGGCATGTTCTTTTGATATGGGGGTATGACAAAATGTTCTTCTCCCAACTACTACTATTACAACATATTGAGACAATGTGACATAAAAACTGTTAATTGGTTGGATGAGATACCTAGAGAAAAATAAGCACTTATATGAGATAATGGTCGGCGTTGGGGCCACATGATGACCAACATAACAAAGTCTATTAACTCTGTTTTGAAAAAAACAAGAAATTTGTCCATTTGTTCCATGGTCAACGCAACGTACACTCACTCTAACAAATTTTTTATTGAAAGAATGAGACAGATAGATGTCATGATCAATCATGTAAACTCTAAAATTTTGGTCACAAATTTAGAGGAAGCACAAACACAGGCGAACACGCATAGGATCATAACTTTTGACAAAACTACCACAAAATTTGTAGTAGAAGAAACAAAAACCTGTGTGAAGTTCGACCAGCAGGGAGGTTTGCAATTTTTCTTGATGAGTTATGGTGTGACTGAATTTCACATGCCTTACTCACATGTTCTTGCTGCATGCAAGCATACACACCATGACTTCAACACCTATATTCATCAAGTATATATCTTACAACAAGTTTCAAAGTTATACGAAACACAATTTGAATCAATTTCTTAAATAATATGTTTAAAACAAAAAAATTATCTAAATAAAATCTTTATAAGTTTATTTACCTAGCTAAACTTGTTTATTATTTATACACAAAATTCAATAATAAGAAATAAATATCTAGTATAATATAAGTATTTTGTTCTCTTTTCTCAATTATTTTTTTATTTTTATCTCTTTTCATTTATTTTTAATTTTTTTTTTCTATCTTAATACTTTTTTTCTTTTTTTCTCTCTCCCTTTTATTCTTCGATCACTCATCTTATTTTTCTACCTAAAAATATTAAATTAAAAATTGATAGAATGAGTTTTTTTATTATTTTAAAAAATAAAAATATTTAAATTATCTAAAAATATTATAATTTAATATATTATATTTAAAAAAATATTATATTATAAGTTTGAGGTATTACAAATTGTCATGTTATAATTATTAAGAAAATTAAATATTCATTTTAAAGTAACTTTTAAATAAATATTTTTTAAATTACCAAATATGACTAATCTTCGTAACTCCACCTAATTATAATTAGATTAAATTATTAAAATAAATACATTTCACTCATAAATATTTGATATGTTTTAATTAGATGAGTAATTAATTTATTATAATAAAATAATTTAAAATTATTTATTTATGTTATCATATATAAAATTATTTACTCTTATAATAAATAAAATTATTTATTATTATCGTAATTTTTAATAATTAGTTGATTTTTTTAGTTTTAATATTGATTTAAAAAAATTTATATATATATTTTTTTTACTTACAAGGAGAGACATTATACATTAGTAAAATAGGTTTTTTTACGTCACTTAATTCTCGTCGTACCAAAAAAATAATTGACTTCAAAAAATATAGTGACATTTTTGTAAATAAGGGACGCTACTTTTACGTTGAACCGCTTAGAGACTGATGTAAAAGCTATTTTTTACGTTGATGACTCTCTAACCGACATAAAAAGTGACTTTTACGTCGGTTCCTATGAGGTCTGAAATAAAAGTCGTATTTTAATTGTTTGAGGGCTTATTTTTTTCTTCCCGCACGCGAGGATTTTTTAGTGACAAAGACGACAACGACCAAACCAACTCCTGTCAAGATATATTTCAGCTATAGTGAGTGACAAAGATATTTATATTGTGTCTCATTTGTTATGGTTGATGTTTCTCTTCTATTGAATTCGAGTTTTAGAGCATTTTTTGTATATTTGAGGTTAATGTTCTATGTGTCTCATCTCCTCTTTTATGTTGAAATTGAATGTCTTCACTAGATTGTTATTGAAATTGAACTATTGTAGTTTGTGATTATCCGGTTATGCGTTTGAGTAGATTATCTGTTTATGCATTTGAATCTACATTTTTTGTTATTATTTGTAGTTTGTATATTACAATATATAGAATTTAGGATTTTATGATGAAAAAAAAAACGAAAAATGTTCTAAGCAAGATAAGTTTTGACTCCTTAGCACATGTAATAAACAAAATTAGTGAAAAAGAGAAAAATGCTATATTATTATAATATCTATACTCTTGTATTTAAATTTTGAAAATAATATTATGTCATGTTTTGTTTCTCAATTTAGTGTAATAAGCATGGTACTACTATATCATGTATTGATTGGACGAAAGTCATAATTTGTGTGGGTATAACTGATTATTGGACAGAGTTAATTGCTTTCAACACTTATTAAGTTTATTTACTTTTATGTGTATTGCATGTTAATAGGTGTCAAATTAATGTTTCAGGTATCTCAATATCCATTTATCTCCATTATTAGGTATTTTCGAGTACTTAGTTTGTAGGTTATTGTTTGTATTGTATTATATAGTTTAACTTTAGTTTTTGTACTATAGTTTAGACTTTATATTAGTTTAGTTTTGTAATGTTTACCTTTTAAATGGTTTAGTCTTTGTACTAATTTAGCTTTGAATTATTATTTATTGAAAATCTGGAATCTGATCGACTGTCTATCAAAAAATAAAAATAAAAGGATGAAATTTACGTCAGATATTTCCTAAGCCCAACATAAAATTACATTTGGTATGTTCCAAGCCCGACGTAAATTTACGTCGAGTATGTCCCAAGTCCGACGTAAATTTACGTTGATGATTTTGTTTGACGTAAATTTATATATCTCGTATTAATGTTTGACTTGTGCCTGACGTAAAGATACCAAAATAACATACGCAAAAGTCCTATTTACGTTAGTGATATGTATTTTTAAAATATAATATATTAAATTATAATATTTTTGGATAATTTAAATATTTTAATTTTTGAAAATATGAAAAAAATTCATTTCATCAAATTTTAATTTAATTTTTTAATTAGAAAAATAAGATAAGTGACAAAAAAGAAAACAAACACGAGGATAGAAAACAATACAAGAAGTAAATGAAGAGAGAGAAAACTAAAAAAATAAATGAGGAAAGAAAGCAAAATACTTGTATTATACTAGAAGAGTTTATTTTCTATTATTGAATTTTGTGTATAAATAATAAATAGATCTAGTTGGGTAAATAAATTAATAAAAATTATATTTAAGTAATTTTTGTTTTAAATATATTATTTTAAGAAAATGATTCAAAGCAGGAAACTAAGAAACTAATTAAAAATAGTAAAATACAGTCTTAAAGAAATATTTATATAGTGTCTTAAAAACTTCAATTATTTCTACTACATAGTTATAAAGTCTTAAAGAAATATTGTAAACTATAATTTGAAAGTAAAAACAGAATCAAAGTGACAATTGAAATGAAATTAACTAAGAATTGTGTAAAATACAATAGATAAATTGTGTTGATTCTTCAATTATAAACTTGTTTTTATGATTATCATTGGTTTATAGAAATTGTGTTGTAATCATAACATCAAATTTTCAACAATTCCAATCAATTACAATATAATTGAAATTTGTAAACACAGTTTAATTTCTAAATTAAGCAATCACTTCAACTTATATATTGAATTATTCGATAAATGAGACATTCAATTAAATAACATCAATTATATTGATTGTAATAGATTATAATCGATAAAAACCAAATATAAACCATAGAAAATAAGTTTTAATCGGTTAATCAACAATAAAAATGAATTAAAGCATGATGAACTGGTGGAAAACAAAAAGAAAACATGAGAACAATAAATAAATAAAGTGAAAGAAGAAGAAGGAAACAAAAATTAAAGTGAAGAAGAGAAGAGAAAACAAAACAAATTTGATAAAAAACAACTTGAATTGGTAATCTTCAAGGCATTATTCCTACAAGGTGTTCCATAAAAAGAATTGGAAGTTAAGCATTACAAAAAAAAAAAAAGAAAAATAGAGAGAACTTGAATCTAAAACATGAAAATCAGAAAAATGAAACCTAACTTGTAACTTAACTTATGTTTTTTGGCCTTTTTATACCTATTTATACAACAACAAAGGTATACGAATCAAAGAAGACTCATTAAGGACCCATAATTACATGATAGAACTTAAACAACAATATGCAAAAATGAGGTTTTGCGATATATTTGTTTAGGTTTCTTCATGTGTCGAGCGAAATTATTACATGATATTCAACTTGATTCATTTAGTGGATATGTGTTCGCTCAACGGATTGCTTGATTATGAAAAAAAGTTTCTTGGACTGACTTTGTTGAATAAATTCCTTCGATTTTGCTTTTATAAATTTTTATTTTATTTTATTTTTGCAAAAAATAAACAAATAATTAACTAAAATGTATGATTTAAGCAACAAATTAAATTAAAATATATTTTTTTATGAAAAATATATTAGCAACTAATAATTAATTAAGAAGATAAAATATGTTCATCAATATACTGTATGATTAGATGCATCATATCAATATATGTGTTCAAAGTAAAAAAAAAAAACTAAATTTGATTAATTTTTTTAATTTAAACTAAGGTTTGTGTATTCATTTAACTTATCCTTATTATCTAATCTTACACTTATATATATATATATATATATATATATATATATATATATATATAATTCATTTTGATTAATCTTTTGTATGCTAAAAAAAAACCATGATTTCATATTCACGTGATATTATTAGGATAAATTTTCATGTCTTAAGTATTATTCGCTTTGGAGTCCTAGTCCATCATAGTTTGTCCTAAAAGACATCTTGATGGATTAAGTGAGAAATGTGTATATAAAATATTTTTAGTTTCGACTTGTAAGTGATGTGAGACTCATGAGCAAACCAGAATATTAACCCCCAATCGAGAATTAAAAGTATGTATGTGTGAAGTGATACTCTACTTTTGCTCTCACGGTAGTCGTCAATATTTCATCTAGAAACGAGAATGTCTCGACCTCATGTCCATTATGATAACATCGTTAACATTAATTTTTATGTTTTACTTATTATACATTTTAGAACTCTTAACTGTTTGAAGATGTTTAAAAAAAAGTGGATTGTGTTGATAAAGCTTTTTAATCTTATAACTATACTTTGGTATAAATATTACTCTCATGTTTTAGTCCCTTTTACATTTTAATAATGTTATTTTTTTAATTTTCCTGTATTCATTTAATTTTACATATTTATTCTTTGTATTATTTATTAAATAAAAAAATAACGAGTTTTATGTTGCATCATAATTATAAAAAAAATATGTTCAAATATATATATATATATATATATATATATATATATATATAATAAATAAAAGATGTGTATAAAAACGAGGAAAATTACGTTGGTTCACTCAATAAATGAATATATATTAACTTTAGTTTATATTTTTTTGAATATGTCAGAGTCATTAGAAAATATATTTATATATTAATGAAAAACGATATTTTACGCGGTTAAATTGATAGAAATGGATGTAAAAAGAAACATAACCATAAATCTATAATTATTTGGCCTTATTCTACATTAGTTAGTCCTGTACTGATTTAGATAAAACTAATAGTTGGACTTTTCTTAATTTTCACTCAACAAGTATACATTGATGTTGAAAAGGTTGTAGTACATAGAAAGTTGGATATTCTAGGTACTCATTCGAAACTATAACTACTCCAGAAATCACAAAATCTAGTATCTAGTAATTGGTATAGATAGAATACACTTTTAACTCTAAGATTCGCACAAATCACAAAATCTAGAAATCACAAATGAAATTGTGTGTTTTATGTCCGGGTTTGCACTCGTGACTTGCGTGCTGTTATTGTGAAAGAAACAACATTTGATAACTTACAAATGTTTTTAAGTCTAATGATTATTTACAAAATATTTTTATTAAGATTTTGTAAACACTTGAATATATATTTTTTTAAAATATTTTGTTCATAAATTCTTTAAAATGGGCCTCAATTCTTTAAAGGCCCATCTTTTCTCATTTATATTAATTATCTTTAATCTCCATTATTGAATAAATTAGAGGGACCACAAAACAAATGGAAAAAGAGACTATGAAAAGAATTGTCTGAAAAAAAATTTAGAGACGTTATAGTGCATACATTTTGTTCATGATTTCGAAAAACAGAATCACCAATAACATTTAATCTGGATTTTGTTTGTTTTGTTTTTTTTTTCTCATTTTGCCTCTTCCTTGAGATGTGAGAAGAAGACAGTGAACCGTGAATGTCCATTGGAGGTTGTTGGAGGCAGCAGGGTAATCATCTATTAGAGGGAACCAAGATCTGCGAGTTTACAAGCTTCTAACTTTTTTGTTTTTGTTTTTGTTCTTTCCGTGCACATATTTTATCATAATTCCTCCATTAATTTTATCTTAAAATTTGAGGTTTAATCATGTTACTACTGATATAAAATATTTATTGATAGTTAATATATTTTAGAGAAATTTATATGCAAATATAACTTTTTAGTTCTGTATTATCAAAATTTTAAGATCATAAAAATAGATTTATTACAGTATCTCATTTCATTGAGATTTGTCAGTGTAGGTGGTTCCATTCCATGCAGCAATGGTGCTTTATTCATTTAGTAGCAATAGACAAAAGTGTGAATTGGTAGGAGTGAAAATTGTCAGTATAAGTGATTCCACGTGAAAAGAAAAATCTGAATTGGAATCAGAATGTAATCAATCCATGAAGGAGAGTTGCTGCAAATAATACCACTTGCCACCTCTTTTTATACCTTGAATTGGCAACTCCCTCTTCTCAAAACCAAAACAAAAGACATAAGCTTACACTACCCTCTGTTTCTTTCTTTAGCTGCTCATGCAATTCTTTTTCCTTCCAATTTGCTTCTACTGTAACTCTTCTTATTTCAGATCTAACTTTTCTTGCTGGTCACTAGAGGAATCACGCAATCACACTCACAAACACGGTGAAAGTTGAAACTTACTTTTTTGTAGTCCGCGTTTCAAATGCGTTTGGGAAGGATTTTTGAAACCTTTTTGTTTGCATAGAATTAACTACCTGCTGATTGATAATTAATTTTATGCATATTCATCTGCAGAAGGTGCTTGGTACGCTCTTCCTTGCAGAACATGAATTCGTCGTCTATGCGTTTGTTTTCTTCCGAGCTCACATGTCCTGCGACTGAGTCCGTGCAATACGCGAATATGAACTTTCTTCTGTCCAGACCATCGTTAAGGGTTTCTTGTTTCATTAAGAAAGGTGGTGATGCGGGAGTATCTAATCGCAATGGAAGGAACGCGCACTCTGTGGTTTCTTGCCAGTTGATTCATAGCCACAAAGAGGAGTCGTATGAAAGAAAGAGAAGTCTGCAGGTGCCTCTACAGAAGGAAGACTTTGTGAGGACATTGTTGATTGACAACTATGACAGTTACACTTACAATATATACCAGGAACTATCTGTTATTAATGGTGGTAAGTTCTCGCCCTCTCTCACTTGAATTTGCATGTGTGTAGAAGACAATTGGAAAATGTTGATTTGTAAGTCTAATGGTAAAAAAATCTCACAGGGTAGGGCTTTTTCTAAAAAAAATCTTTAAAAGAAATTCTAATCCTTGAATTAACTTTTTCAATGTTGTCTTGTCATTGAACTGCACAAAATTTTTAAAAAGGTTATTATGTGTTGAAAAGGCAGTAAGTAAACCTGCTTGTGACAGTATATTAACAAGTCAGTTTTAATTGCTCATTATTGCATGTTATATATAGCAATCAATTGAGAAGAGTACGAACTTTTGAGCTCTTAGAACAATTGCATTAGGCAACATGTTAGAGTAAATCTATTATGTGCACTTTCCTTTCTTTTTTTATTATATACATGATACTAGACATGCAGAGTTAGATCATCTTCATTTCATAAACCTCTGTTCACTATAATGTGGTTTGGATTTGGGACCTTAAATAGAGCTAAAATGGCCAACAATTGGATGATCACAGGAGCTTAGTTTACAAAGGAATATACGCAGATTCAAATAGAATTGTTGTAGATGTAAACAGTAACATACTGTTGATATGTATATATGTTTGCATGTATAATTGCCTCAAAGTGTCACTATTTTTTAAAAGCATTAATTGTACACATATTTCTGAACATTCTATAATCTTGTACAGAATACTCTATGCTTGAAAGGTTTAAGAAGTTTTGTAAGGGAGTTTATGTCCTTTTTAACTGCTGGTTTGGTTTCTCATTTTTACCAGTCCCTCCTGTGGTGATCCAAAATGATGATTTGACGTGGGAAGAACTTTGCCATTACTTGTATGAAGAAAATTCTTTCGATAACATTGTAATATCACCCGGACCTGGTTCTCCAGCACGCCCCGAAGATATAGGTGAGAATCATGGAATGCCCTTATGGATTGGTAACTTCACTACATTTACTTTTTGCTCCAAAAGATGCAGCATAAAACTAAGTTGCTGCTATGACAGATTTCAATATTTGTATTAAAATGTCCCGTCTTAGTTATGAATATGGCTAAATTACTCCTAGTAAGGACTGCACAGTCCTTCTGTCATGAACTTATTTTGGGATTGAGTTAAACTCACTCCATTCTAATATGGTATTGGAACCTACCCAATCTTGTTGTTGGGCTACCTATGGAAGTCCAACCATGCAAATTTTGTGTTCCAAATATCCATGCTTGGGCGTGAATGTGTTCAGATGTCCTATCAGCCTGGGATATGATTAAAATTCTCCATATAAGGCTTGAACAATCTTCCTCTTCTGAGTTTGCTTTTGGGTTTAGTTGCAGAGCTAGGTTTAAATAATTTCTAATAGTTTGATGTGAGTGGATACAGTCCTTGTTTTAGTTACATTTAAAAACCTCTTTCATTCATGGTAAAACTACAGTACAGCCATTGTGGGTTATCTGGCCTTGGGATGTTTCACTTACAACTATACATATTTTGCAACAGTGTTACCCCTGGTGCAATGTGGCAAGAGAAGCTGGCTAAAGAGTAACTCTGCTAACAGAAATAATGTAAGAGTCACATCACATGATAACCTTTTTTATTTCTTATGATTAAATCTTACCCTTCAACATCATCCAGATGTATTTAAGGGAAGATATTCAGATCTGAGGAAGTTAAAATATTGAAAAACTCATCTTACTAACAATCAAACCATATTGCACTAGATGATGGAATTGGATAAATTGATCAATCAACATCATTAGGTGCAAACCAAAATTTCCAATAATTCCAATTAGAGTAAGGTCGTTTTTAATTCTCATAAGGTCTTGTCGCCATTTGATCAATCTTCCTCCTTTTAATTGCACCGTCTACCATTTGATTCTGTTTTCTTGCCAGCACCTTGATTGGTCTTAATGCTTGACCATACCATCTTACGCAATTTTTTGTCTTCTCTTCAAAAGGTGCTGCTCCAACTTTCTTCTGTTAACATTTGTTCTGAATTTTGTATTGCTTTATATGTCCACTCATCCTCCTTAACATTCTCACCCATATACCAATTGAAGGGGGAGTAGTGAAACAACCCTCAAACCACATAGTTTGTAAGTGTACCTATGCCCATTTTTTTTCTTAAAAGGACACCTAATTTAGTTTGTAGAATTTAATAATATTATTTAATTTGATACATTATCATGATCTATATTTCTTTTTATTTTAATATTTTTTTGGAAATGATTCTGTATGGTTCAGGCATTTGTCTTCAGGTGTTGCTTAAATGCTGGGATATTCCTATTCTGGGTGTTTGCCTAGGGCACCAGGTATTTTCTTTTCAGCTATATTGTTGCCTCCTCTCTCCCCCTACTCCCATGTTTACTTTTACCCACTTCTTTCTTTTGTAGAACATCATGCACCTTTTAAGGTTTCAGCTTGTACTGTTAATAGCATGCCCAAATTTCAATGAGTTAACTTTATTTCTTGAATTTCTGTCTTGCGTTAACGTACAACAGCTATCCCTTTTTTTGTTTAGCCTTCCTTTCTAGCATGTAATACTAGGATAGAGTCTTTGAGTCACAACGTTTTCCCTTTCTCTTGTTTCTTCTGAAGATAAATTGGGTGTCCTAATGTTACATTTAGCACTATTTAAAGTCTTTTGACCGAATGGAGCTTGGACAGTTTGGAATGGAATAAACATTTGATTAATATGATTTTTATGTTGAAACGGGATTAAAATCCTATTCCATTCACATATTTGTTATGCTACAAATAGAATCAAGAAGAAAATGGAGTAAACAGAACTTTGATGATCATATAACTGGGTTAAAGAATATTAAGATGATACTCTTTTTATTTTAGAAAAAAATTGTAGTTTTTACACCCATATATATTGATTTATGAAACTCTATTAAGATGGTATTTTCAGCAGTAAGTAAACAATGTACTAGGTTCATTGTGCTTGGCGTTGGTCAATGGCTTGGTAATATGGTGGACCAACTCTTGTTCACAGATGCCTTATATTGACTATCAACTTATTCATAAATGCCTTTCATAATAATCCTATTTTGTCATTAAGTATTATATTAAACTTAATCCTATTGTAATGCAGTCTTTGGATTCATAATATTTAGATGTCCTAATTCTGCCTTTCACAACTGTTGTTTACATTATGCTTTTGTTTAATTGGTTAATCTATGGTTGATAGGCACTAGGTTATGTCCATGGAGCTCAAATTGTCCATGCATCTGAACCAATCCATGGTCGTTTGAGGTAAGATTAAACATTTCAAAACCATATCTGTTGTTTGTCCAGTACTTCTTATAAAATTGCAACACACATGAAAATAAGTATACCTAAAATGTATCATTTGAAGTTATAATATCCATCCTTCCCTTTTGTTTTAACTAACTCTTTGCACTTTACAGTGAAGTTGAGCACAATGGGAGCCAGCTTTTTTTTGATATACCTTCTGGTTATGGTTTCAAGGTTTGTTCACGATTACATACTTGAAAGAATATAAATTTTGAATTCTTTAAATTCATTTTTAGTGATGTTGGTTGAAAAATTCTTATGAATGTTTGACGTGTTTGGGTGAATTGCACATTCATGTTAACCTTTGGCTATTTCCCAAAATCACCTATCTTCAATTCAATTTAACCAAAAGCGGGAGCCATTCCTAGCAATTCTAAAACATTTTCCAAACTAAAAGCCCTCTATTGTAGATTGGTAGTCCATTTCCATTATTTGTATTTAGATCAAATGGCTTTGTAAGTAAATAATTAGTTGATATTATCTGAAAAGATTGATGCAGTGATGCGATCCTTCAACTAAAATTACAAAATGCAAATGATCTCTTGCAAATATGTTAGTTTATCCCTTTTTTCCTGTTAGTTTTCTTCTTTGTTGTCAAGGTTTTAAAAGTATCTGATCTACTGTCCTAGTCATAACTATTGTTCATCACATATGTCAGGTGGTTAGATATCATTCACTGGTTATAGATTCTGAATCACTTCCTCAAGAGCTCATTCCAATTGCATGGACCTCTTCCACTAGCACACTTCCATTTATTGGGTCCAAAGATTTTGGCAAGTCCAACATTCATGAAGCTCATACAGATCCAGGCATTTTCGTCGACCCCTTTTTACCTAAAGTAGGATATGGAAGTTCAAACCATTTTGATTATGGGAATACTAGAAGTACAAGAGTTCTTATGGGAATCCGGCATTCTACAAGACCACACTATGGTGTGCAGGTGTGCATAAATGATCTGCCTATAATATTTCCTTTGTATTTATATTAATTCATTATTTGTTAAATGTGTTCAACTCAACAATTTTGACCTTCAGTTTCATCCAGAAAGTGTTGCAACCTTCTACGGAAGTCAGATATTCAAGAATTTTAGGGATATTACAGACGATTATTGGCTAAGGTTGAGGTCATCTTTCAAGGAAAAACGTGCTTATTCTGACGGTAAACTGAAGAACTGTGATACTAAATTATTCTTTCTGTTGTAAATGAATGTAACATGTTTAATTACTGCAGACTTTACTAATATTAGTTTTTCCCCTTTTCCAGCAACAGTGGGCTTTATTGAAGTGCCCTTTTATTGTTGGGAACCAAATTTTCAGATTTATGGGTTTGAATGGAATTTTCAAATTGAAAAATAATTATTTTAATTGAAAAATTATTGAGAGGTGAATATTTTTGTAAAAATGGTTAATCATATTTGGAGAGGAGGGTTAAGAGATAATTAAGGTGGAGAAAGAAATTAATAAAATTGTTGAATTTTTAAATAGGGGTAATTTTTGAAAGTTTAGATAGTTTTTACTAATTTAACACTAGTAATAGATTTTAATTTTCTTAACAAGGAATGATTGGGGCATTTGTCTGGATACTAATTTGGGAGTACTAGTTGCTTAATTATTAGGCATGCCACTTTCCATTTTCTGCTATTTTTTAGATGTCTTTTGCGAACGAAATAATCTGACACAAATATTAAGTTGTATCTTGTATGCCAGTCTTTATTCCCCAACCAGGTAAGATCCTTTTAGCATTGTTTACATGCTTCATAATATATGTTAGTTCTCTGAAATTTGCTCGAGCAGTAAACTTTCTTTAGCATACATGTAGTTGTCAAGCGCAATAGACTCTACAGAGAGGTTTGCAGAAGTGTTAGTGCAGAGAACGATGCAGTGGATCAATTAAAAAAAATAGCTCATGCAGAGAGACATTTGGAATATAATAAAACTGAGATGAAGCATTTAGAAATGTTCAACATGGTAAATACTCATCATGCAACGACTGGTTATAAATGTTTGAAGTTGAAATGGAGGAAATTTGGAGGCTTGGCTGATCAAGTTGGTGGAGCAGAAAGTATATTTTGTGGGTTGTTTGGACATGAAGCTGAAAACACCTTTTGGTTGGATAGTTCCTCCACAGAGAAGGTATTTCAATGTTTTCAAGTTTAGTGATCTTTAATAATTTTAACATAAGCTGAAGACAGTTTTTATTATCACAAACCCATTTGTGAACTGTGGTTATAATACACAATAGATATCTTTTCATTTGGTTCTTCAAACTATAATAACCAAGCAACATAGCATCTCGTCATATTCAGATAAAAGTGCTTCATTATATACTACTGATTATTATATATTTATTATTCTTCCCATCCTATTTAGGGACGAGCACGCTTTTCATTTATGGGAGGAAAAGGCAGATCGCTTTGGAAGCAGTTAACATTTAGATTGTCTCATCAAAGGTTTGAAATCAATCCTCAAAACTGCTATAATTTTTTTCTTTCATTTCTTCAATTCTCTTTCTGTTTTAGATTCTTTTCTTTTTTAATTATGTTATGAGGTCTTGGTGAATGGGCTTCTTCATAAGAAGTGGTCTGCTTGTGTTCTGTTGTATGCTTTTAAGAGTTGAGTTGTACTGGTTTTCTTTATTGATGCATGAAAGTATTTCTATCACTCTACTTAACCTTTTTCAGTGATGGGAGTTCAAAAGGCGGTGGTTATTTGTCAATGGAAGATTCTCAAGGTTCCGCCGAAACGACATTTTTGGAAGAAGGTTTTCTTGATTTTCTGAACAAGGTACATGCAGACTGAAATTTTGTTGGTCTTATGATGATTTATTCTTGCATATAACACTCCTCAATTAGGATACACCTTATTGTTAAACTTAGACATAATTCTTGGGCTTCATCCTTAAAATTAAAGGTTCTAGGAAAATTGGTCCTTGACATGATACTAACCTTTGTCAGAAGTTCTATCCTCGTTATCCCCATTTTTCATCATTTAGTTGAAATAAACACAAGGTAAAATTGGGCCTATTCTTGTCTATGCTTTAAGCCTGGAATTTTTTTTTTTTAATCAAATAGACAAGACTGATAAAATTATGACATCCCAACCAGGTTGAGACACCATAGCTCACCAGGCAATGCATCAATCCATAAAAAAAAAAAAAATTTAAAAAAATAGATACAAGAAAACATGGGGACTATACCAAAACCCATGCAATAGAACCAATTAAACATAATCAACAAAACTTGTATTCAGGCATACCATACCTATTCCTGAAAAAAAGGATCCAGAATACATATAGGATAAACTATCTAAACGGTTAAACTTCTGACCATTTGTAACACCTATACTAGCAATTCTATCAGCACATTTATTGCATTCTCTAAAGATATGGGACTGTTTACATAAAGGGACTTTTTGGATATAAAACAATTACTGAGCTTCTACCTAACAGATCAAGCTTTCGAGAGAATTAATCCTTAATACTTGTTATATATAATTTCTATAAATAACAAGCTATGCTGCCCCGATTTTCTCTTATGATTTTTAAATTCAAAATGGTTTATTCTAAACATGACATATGCTAATAAAGCAAATATTCAGATAATACAAAAAAATCCTTATTGCCCATTCTCTTGTCATCTAGAACAATACAATACCATGTATCACTTTGAATGTTTTATACTTTGAATAGAGATGAAGTTAATAGATGAAAGAGCGTCGGGTAGGATTCAGAAACAGGGTTAAGATATAAAAAAATGTTGATTTTTTGTGTACTTAACCTCCATCATTTATATATTTTCTTGGTGGATGTTTAAATTATTTCCTAACTACATCGATCTTCTCAATCATGATAGACCTTATATTTTTTCTAACAATATATTCATCCTTTTTTCCTTTTTATTCATTTCTCTGACAAAAAAATGTTGCCTTCATAATGTTGCAGGAGCTTCTATCATATCGTTATGATAAAAATGAATATGAAGGTCTACCATTTGACTTTCACGGTGGATATGTTGGTTACATTGGGTATGTGGGAATGATAAGCAATTATATGTCTACTTGAATCAACCTAAATGCTTGAGCATATGTCAAACAATTGCATGGTTTTCTTAATGTATCTATACTTGTGATGTTTTTCCTTCTGTTTTGTGGGTATTATATCCACTCTTTCTCGTCCTCCCTTCTTTCTGTGATTTTTTGTTCTTAGTTTGAATCTTATATCAAGTTAGATAATCATCACTAATTGTCATAATATGACATCCCTAAATTTAGTTTGAGTTTGAAATATTATGGATCATCATTTTGATATTTTGGATGTTACGCTTCCCCTTGCTTAGTATGTTTACTTGCATGATTTTGTTATATATATTTATGCTAGAATATATCAAAATATCTAATATTATATTGATTCTACCAATTTAACTTAAGAATAATTTAGAGTATCTTAGATCATCTCTCAGAACAAGTTTTAATATTTCTTTATTATCTTTTGATTTGTTTACTAATTTAATTAGGACTATAATTTATTATCTTTTAATATTATACAGATGTTTTTCTCATAGCCACTGTTGACTTACACCCAAATAATGTTTCAATTGATTCTCCAAGCAATAATTGAAGTATTATTTAAGATTATAATTTAGTATTACACAAATAAAGGTTAGTGTTTTATGTTTTCCATTAGTTACCTAAAATCCCTCCTTCAACCATCTAAAACTCTGCAGTTTCAACGTGATCTCTTCGATGAACCAATACTAGACAAATAATCAGCGTTGTCTGTTGCAGGTATGACCTCAAAGTAGAATGTGGTGTCAAATCTAACCGTCACAAATCTAAAGCTCCAGATGCATGTTTTTTCTTTGCTGATAATCTTGTAGTTATTGACCACAAAAATGATGATGTTTACATATTGGCTATACACGAAGAAAGCTCAAGCGTTACACAGTGGTTGGACGACACAGAAGAAAAACTTCTTAGCTTAGATGGCTCTGGGAAAATGGCTTTGGGAAAACAGAACTCTCATTCTTTAACTCTATACTCAAGTAAGGCTGGTTTTGCTGCTGAAAAATCTAGAGAGCAGTACATTGAGGATGTTAATAAGTGTCTAAATTACATTAAAGATGGAGAAAGCTATGAGTTATGCCTTACAACTCAGATGAAGAAACCTATTAAGGAATTGAATTCTCTTGGGCTGTATCTGCATTTGAGAGAAAGGAACCCAGCACCTTATGCTGCTTGGCTTAATTTTTCAAAAGAAGATCTGTGTATTTGCTGTTCTTCTCCCGAGAGGTTCCTGCAGTTGGATGGGAAGAATACTCTAGAAGCTAAGCCCATCAAGGGTACAGTAGCTCGTGGTGCTACCAAAGAGGAAGATGAGCAACTCAAATTAAAATTACAGTTCAGGTGACCTCTACTTAGTTTTACACATCGTTATTATTTTAACAAATGTTTCTACACCTTCATTTTAAATTTTGGAATTATTTTTCTTATGACGTTGTTTGTCGTTCCTGCTTGAAGAGTTTGAAAACTATCAAGACACATTAAATCGTTACTGCTTGAAGAGTTTGAAAACTATCAAGACTCATCAAAACGTGTTATACTCCTGTTTGGTTGGAAATATAGTTGGGAAGTATATTATGAATTTGTTATCTAAACTTTAGATGTGTAGGAGAATTTGAGATCCAATTTGTAATGGGCTTTTCTAACATAAAACTGATAGCGATACTCAATATCCATAATTGTAACATGCTGAAGGAAAGTACTCTCTAACTTAGCTTTCAGTTCGGAGAATCTATTGCGAACTAAGTTGTCTTCTCTTTCAGTGAAAAGGAACAGGCTGAAAACCTGATGATTGTTGACCTTTTAAGGAATGACCTTGGTCGTGTCTGTGATCCTGGGTCTGTTCATGTGCCGCGTCTCATGGAAGTGGAATCATATGCAACTGTTCACACAATGGTGAGTACAATTCGTGGGAAGAAGCGGTCAGATGTCAGTGCTGTAGACTGTGTCAAAGCTGCATTTCCGGGTGGTTCAATGACAGGTGCGCCTAAGATGAGATCAATGGAGCTTCTTGATTCTATTGAAAACAGTTCACGAGGTGTCTACTCAGGCTGTATTGGATTTTTCTCGTATAATCAGACATTTGATCTAAATATTGTCATAAGAACAGTCATTATACATGAGAGTGAAGCTTCAATAGGAGCTGGAGGAGCAATTGTTGCTCTGTCAAACCCTGAAGACGAGTATGAAGAGATGGTCTTGAAAACAAAAGCCCCATCCAGGGCTGTGATGTATTTTGATTAGAGCTCAATATGTCAAACAATAGCTTATCGATCTTGCTATCTCACCGCAAGTTTTTCAAGTTTTCATAAAACTTGTCTTGTTGATCTTTGCTTATGCGAGTTTTTTAGATTGCACAATTTGGAAGCCTATCAAAGCATACTACACACTTTTTTTTTTCTTTTGCAATACCACACAAGGCAATATTCGAATCCAGACGCAAAAAACACAATTTCATTCATATTCAACATCTTAGAATAATTGTTTCGATTGTACCTAGAATATTGAACTTTCTTCAGTAACATAAACCTTTTCAACATCAATAAATTGAGAGAAATTTAGAGAAGTCAAACGTTTAAAATTTTATTCCACTAGTTATATATTATTCCTTTTTCTCTTTTGGATAAAACATTTTTGTGCATATTGTGCTTTCCCAACTATAAGGGGTTATTTCTAGTCTAGTTATGAATAATAATTTGATTATGACAAATGTTATGTTTGTATAATCTTTAAAATATTTTGTTAACTGTTCTTTCGTAAATATGATACACAATAAGACTATTAAAAAAAATAAATTCAATTGATAAATAATTAAAGAGTAAATGATACGAGTAAGATAGGAAAACCTTAAACACAGAAGAAAATTTTTAAATTAAATAAATACAAGAAGATTAAAAAACAAGTTATTAAAAATGCCCCAAAGGGACAAAACATGAGAATAATAGTTATTATAAAAAAAAGTGTGGTGTAGAATTAAAAAGGTTCAAAGAAACAAGAAAAAAATAAAGTTTTTCCAAAAGCATTGTTTTAAGAAAAAACGGAAAAAAGGAATTCCTTACTTATGAAAGGTGGTCTTTTTCAAGCATGCAAAGATTAATCAAAGGGAATTAAACCAATATATAAGAATTGATAAGAAGGGGAAGTTGAATGAATCATTGGGAAAAGTTTGAAGTTTTTATGGAAAAAATATGATTATGGTTACAAAGATAAAAAGATTTTCCGTACATTTGAAAGTCCATACTTTTTAATATGCAGTAATCAAAATGAGCTACATTAAAAAAATATAGGAAAAAATAAGACAAATAAAATGAAACAAATTTAGGGAGAGTTAATCGAAATATAAAATGGAAAAAAAAAGGGATAAAACAAATTGAGAAAAGAGGTCATATTTCAATTCTCTTTTGCTATTATGAATGAGGTCTCCTCCTATCAAATAAGGGAATTTTTGTTTTGGTCATGTAATTTCTTTTTTTGGTCTTTCTAAAATTGAAAATTACTAATTTTTTCAATGTTATATAACTCTCACTAATTTTGTTACTAACTTTGTTCTTAAATGGACTGGTAGGATAAAAAAAACTGAAGGCGCGAAAAAGAAAAAGAAAAAAAACGGTTATACGAGAAAAGTGTGAAAATGATTATCTTTTTATTTCTTCTTCTCAACACGTGCGGAAATATAATGAATAGAGACATAGTTAATTATGTTTTAATTTTTTATTTTTAATTATTATATTAATAAATAATTAAATAAATATATTTAATTAATTAAATAATTTTATCTTTTATAATATTTTCATTTATTTTTTTACTTTTTTTTATTTAAACAATCTTATTTTCTATTATCTTTTTCTTCTTTTCATTCTTAAATCTACTCTTCAATACAAAACTCATTCTAAATTTCAGGCATGTTATACCTAAAAAAACTTTTAATATTTGTAAAATAAATTTTATTTATCTATTTTAAATTAAATATCAGAGATAAAAGTAATTATTTAAAAATTTGAAGAGATTGATGAAATTTAAATTAAACTATTTTTCAAAAACTAAAACCAAAATATATACATTTTTTTTTAATTAAAGATATAGCTAGTCTTTCTCTTTGAAATTTCTTACACTTCCTATCATATATTTCTTATATTGAAAGACAAGTAGACAGTAATCCTTACAAAGGAAGTAGAAGAGAGAATCCAAATTTGAAAAGCTGTAGAATGTAGGTGGGAGGGAGATCAAATTTGCAAGGACTCTAACAATTATTTTATTCATAGCAAAAAATGAATAAGTTTTCAAATACCCAATTAACTGCGTGATTTGCTCCTGACTTTGTTACGTTTCCCACCTTTCAATTTTGGTATGAAAAAGTTTCAGCAAGACAAATTTTTGTTTATGCAAAATATATTAATTTTTCTGGAAAATGTGACTTGAACGTCACCAAGATTGGTAAATGATGCACATGATGCTTATATTTAGTCAGATTTGGAGGCAGATGAATTTTCAGACTATGTTATGTATATTTGACTTTGATTATTGACAGAGTGTTTGCATTGATTCACTTCTATACATTAAAATAATCTCGTAAGATACTTCGGACTTTCAGTAGAAATTGTTTAAAAATTAAATTAAATATTTTATTACGAGTTTCGAAAATAAATTATTAAAATTTAAATTATTTTTATAACTGATTTTTTTAATTTTAATCAATTTTTTATTTATTTTTAAGTATCTTAAATATTATACCTATAATAAAATATTTATTTGTATTTTTAAACCACGTTTTAAATTCTAAACTTAAATATTCCTTTTCTTTTTTGAATTTTGACATTGTAATCAAAATGTTTGAAATTATGGGTTACCAATTTTTACAGGATTATATTTATATAATTAATAAATGAATGGATTTAATAATAGTGTCGGCTCCATTTGGTAGATCCTGTGATGTGGGCCTTATTCATAAAATTCTTTGGGAGGAACAAGAAAGGTTGAAAATCTTAGTGGTCCTATAAAATGCAATTTCGTTATGTTGTGATGATTTTGTAGTGGATAACTTGATTTACATCTATAATGAGATAATAATCCTTTATTTTATATAATTTCTATTTAAAGTATTTATTTTTATTGTCTTGTCTCAAGCAAAATATTATGATTTATGCTCAATATTTCTATCGACATAGAAAAATAATATATACTACAGTCCCTCAAATATTAATTAATCATATACACTTAAAATATTTATTATAAATTTATATATTTTAAATTAATCTACTAATTATTTTTTTCCTGAATGCATAAGCTAAAGATTCATTTTTAAAACATTTTAATAAATTGGAATACAACAACAATAATAATAATAATAATAATAATAATCAATTTTAGCCAACATTTTAAATTGCTGGAATTGATTTTTTTAACTAAATAAAAAATATTTCACAATAACATTACATCTTTTTCTATTATATGTAGATTATCGATTAGAGCATCATTAAAAAAAATATCCATTAAATTTTTAGTGCTACGTAAGAAAACAAATATTCTACGAAAAAAAATAAATACCGAATATAGTAAAATAAAATTATTATTTTGAATGTGTTATAACCATCTTGGTGCATGTTTTTATCAATACTTCACACAGTATAAAAGTACATTGTTTTTGTTGCATAGAAAGTTTTGGACATTAATGTCCATGAAAAATGGCACACTATTTAAATGAAGTAATTTGAATTTGAATTGCAAACTATTCAGGAACTGGAATTCATATGCATGTTCATTACGAAAAATCGTGATACCAAACAAAGTTCCGTATCTCAACTTTGTTTGCATTAAACATTATGGTCAACAAGTTTTGTATAGATTATTGTAAACCATCACATCAATCACACTGTTATAGATTCTATCTATTTCACAAACCTATTCTATTCTATTAAATTATATACACCTTATTTACATCGTACACATGATTCTTCATAATCATAATAGTACTATTGTCATTCACGTTATGAGGTTAAGTAATTCTTTTATAATTAGGTTAGGTGACAAATAACAGGACAAATGTGCTTTTTCTTTCTTTGAAATTACAAAGATCCACACGACAAGCTTCATATATTGCTTTGTACTGAAAAAATAAATAAATAAAACAAAAGATATGTGCATATGAATCGAAGATAACTAGAATGAAGTGCATGGAAGTAAAAGACGAAGTGTTATATTAAAAGATAAACATATGCTGCAGATGACAACTAAGAGTAAAGTGACACTGGCCTATAAGGTTTCCCTTCTGCATCACTTCCATGTCTCTTCCTAAAACAAGACAAATAACATATAGCAGAGACATCACAAGATCACAATATATAACACAAATTAAGAAAACATATAACAACTCACCTTGTCTCTGTAGTCGCCATCCAACTATTAAGATAGTTTTTTTCATATAATAATTTTTCAAATTCTTTAAATAAGAAGAGATGAGAGTAAAATATGAGATAAATAAATATAGAAGGTAATTGCAAATGTAAAAATGTTGTTATTGGAATTTTACTTACAATAGTAGAAGGAATGTTATAATATGCAGTTAAATAAAATTATAACAGGTAAAAATAAGAAGGTGAAAATTAAAGACGAATAAATATTTTTATATGACTAGGCATGATAAGTTTATAATATATATATATATATATATATAGATCATGTTTCTTTTCTCATGTATCCAAAATAACAAGTAATTAAACAAATTCTCTTTCTTTCAACAAGTAACATTAGAGTTTTTACAAGTCAGTTTATATATTCTCATCCTTATTTAATGTATATATTATGAACAATAATAAAAGCGAATAACACACATGTATTACTTTGAAACTATATATCTATATGTGTGTGTGTGTGGGATGAATTGTTGCAACCTTAGATTCTGCAAATGTGTGGTTAGTTTTGTCCATTTGATGTGTTTGCTTGAAAAGAGAAAAGAAAGAATGTGGAAGAGTGGTATAACATTTAGCTAGCAATATAATGATACTCCTACACAACAGGACAGGAGGCCAGACACTGCAGTTTGCATTAGCAGTGAAGAATCTTACAAAATTTTCCATATCTGGAGACATTTTAGCATCATACATGACGCAAATGTATTTTTCTAGTTGAAGAATTTACAGAAATCCTTTTTCTGCATAATCATCATACCCGAATTACAAAGGACAACTTAAGCTTAGCACAATGCTGGCTAGTTTCTGCAAACTCCTCTCAACTCAACATGCTTAGATTCTTAGTGCATCCTTCAACGTGAAACACCTCTTAATCTATATATTTTTTTTTTCATGATAACGTGTTTCATTTGAGTGATGAACAAATATGAACTCTTCTGACAAAATTCGCCTTAAGGATGGGAAACAAACCGAAAAGAATCATAGAGAAAGATGTAAAGTGAAATTCATTATTCATCGTTAGATGTTAAAAAAAAAAAGGAAGAAGAAAGAGCAAATGATATTCCCATGGCGAAAGTGAGACAGGAATAGTATAGAATCTACTTTCTCAGACTTGAAGAGTACAATTAATCTGCCAGCAGAGGCATCAAACACTGAGGAAGCGGGCCTAGCCAGCATCTTACATCATATGATTACTCTAATAATTTTATTCTCTCTCTCCATCTCTTTCTTTCTCCAATGTAACTGCAGATTACATTGCAGTTGCAACCTTCACGGTCTAAGTTTCTTCTCTAATCTTTTATTATGATCAATCACTGGATCACATTGATAGGCCAATGACATATTGTTATTGAGGTTTCAAACAATTAAAAGTGTAAACTAACCACTGTGCTAATAAGATATTTTATCATCAATTGAAAGTTAAGTATACATAAAATAAAATGGAGCTTAATTTCAAACATTTAGGATGAAAAGATGGGATTGATTCCAATGGTTATTGTTATAGTAATAAAAAAAACATAGATGAAGGCAAAATGCAGTGAAATGTTGAGAGGGAGAGAAGAAAAACACAAAATCCCAGAATTGATTTCCCCAGGAGGTGTTAGGGTGTGGGTGGTCCCACTATAGCCTGACCAATAATGTCCTATTGTAAGCTTTTGACCTGCTTTGACCGTATAACATATTCCCTGCAAACCAATTGAAAGTAGAGAGAGAGAGTGGTCCATTCCTTTTTGTATGAGATTCCCAGTGGCTATAATGATAATCCTCCAGCTGCTACAATCATGCTTTTACTTTTCCCAGGATCCTTGCCTTTTTTACTTTCTTCAAGCCCTGGCCAGACATGCGTGTGTGTATCACAGACACCTACCTAAGCTCAAAGAGTGAAACTCAGTTCAGTGTGAATCATTACTGAGTTGAGGAAGACTAGTAGGAGAACCTACCCATTCACAACCTCAATGTCTCTTATGCATACACTCGTACCTGCACTTTCAGAGGCCCATACACCTTTGCTCCATTACACATTACACAGATATGGCTAAGCAACAAGAATAACAATAATAATAATAGTTATACTACCATTCATTTACTTCTCTTCTTCTTCTAACTATTTCTTATTTCATTCATACCTTTCCTTACAGAATTTGTTGGTACCGCCAACACATTCATGCTTCTTCGTTTCCATAGCTTAAATCAACCCCTATATATATTTAAATAATGTGTTTTCCTTTCTTCAAGTGGAGCAACCGGGTTAAGAAATTATAAAAAAAGGTTGTCAATTCATTAGTACATTTGGTTAAAAACCAACATTCTCTTCTTCAATCAGATTCTACCACCATATAATATATTCGCGGGCTTCTCATTACTCCAAAGGGTTCGTTAAATTGGTGACCTATGTTTGAGGGGATAAAAAGTATCTAAGAACAAAATAAATTACTGGTACAAAGGAATATTGATCACGCAACCAGTTAACCATAGAAAATTTTCGCTCTCACTTTGTGACGGGTGAGCTAGAACTCCGAAGGGTTGTATATAAATTGGTAACCAATGTTTGAAAGGGTTAAATGTAGTTAATGGCAAAATATATAAATAAATTACTGTTGCAAAACAACATAGATCATGCAAATGACCAATTAACCGTTATGTTTCCGTTCTCACTGTGTGTAGAAGATGAGCTACAACTTCAAAGTGTTCATCAATTGGTAATCAACGTTTGAGCGAGGTAGAATGTATCTAAGGACAAAATCACTGTTCCAAAACAACCTAGATCATGCAAAGGAAATGGCCAATTAACCGTGAAATATTTTCTTCAATATGCCTGTCAAATTTGTTAACGTATATGTCTAAAATACAATGTTGCTTCATTTTAGACTATAGTCAGTTAATCATAGGTTATTTGAGTGAAAATTTCTCGAGAGATAAGTGTGAAAACGACCGTTCTTAACTCAACAAAAGCATGATTTTATTTAGGGTTAATTTCATATCTATTAAATATACTCACAAATCATAAACGGCCCTCATTAATGTAGGAAGAAATTAAGGAATTTACCCAGAAAAAAGTAGAATAAATTAAACTTTATCTTCAGGAGACTGACCATGTTATATATGATGGAGCATTGCTTATTTTTAAGCCCTTGTTAACATAATGAATCATATTTTAAATGGAAATCCTTGAGAATAATAACGTTTAAAATTTGACATAATAGACCAAATATGAAATTAAAACTAATAATGATCATAAGAAAAAATAAATGGGAATTGTTTTCTTCCAAGCTAACAATGATTATCCTGGATAAAAATCTAGCAGAGATTATGTAGCTAGCAAATTTCTTCCACATATAAATATATTTAATGAGTGAGGGCTATTAAAATGAAATAATAATAAGAAGAATGGTGATAATTTGAATAGATGGTTGTATGTAGCTGCATACTATATGACACAGTATTGCTTCTTTTTAGGTTATTGTTGGTATAATCAGAGGTCAAATGAAATGTCCATGAGACAGACAAGCATGGTAACAAGAAGGGTGAGGAAGTAAAATTTTTATAACTTCCATGTTAATTGTCAGGAATAGTTGTAATTTACGGTAAGTTGGGTTTCTTGCTGTTTTCCCATGCCCTCGTTTCAAGTGTAGTAAAATGATTATCAAATTGAAGGCAAACAAAAGAGAGAAGAAATACACCCACATGTGAGCCCCCAGCTGGTAAACGAGGGAATATGTTTCCCCCACTCAACACTCTGCAGATCACACATATGCATCACTCGCAAGAACCCTAGAAAAATCTCTTCGATTCAAGGTTTTGCAATGATGAAAAGGAAGATAAAAAAGATGTACCTTTGTTCAGTCCTGAGGAAGCACAACCTGTGCCTTTGAAAATGACAATGCCGTGCTTGGTTGAATAATTGGCCTATACATATATAGACTGTATATATGACCTCCAATAGTCGGTAAAAATTCATGATTAGTAATAACAAACTCAAAGAAAAGAAATCATCAAACAAAATAACTCAACTTCATGTCATTATTATACTCTATTATTCATGTCAACTTCATGATCCTCTCCATGTATGTACATGGAATATGCTTGGCTCCTCATACGCCATCCACGAAGGTCATTGATGCTTCGATGAGCTCTGCAAATGGCATACAGGGAGCCAGGCACATACACATATGTATGCACGATGTGAGACACACAAGCATGTGACTACTTAATTAGTAAGACGCATGAGGGTAATTAAACACATACATGCAGAAAATCAAGTTTTTCCTCTAACCAATTAGCTCTAATTAGCCTCAACTAATCCCAAGGTTAAGTATGATGCATGAGTATATAGGTGATGATGAGTAGAAGGAGTTTTGAAAGGAATAGAGGTAGCTATAGATATGGTTAATATACATGAATAGATATTTGTTAATTGTGGTTGATGGAGGAAGATGAGGGTGGAGGGAGGGGGAAGAGAAAGGGAGAAAAAGAGGAGAGGGAAGGGAGAATAGAATTGTTTTGAGGTAGGAGGAGGGGATGAGAGTAGTAGAGATTAAGAGTGAAGGGGATAGAGGTAGTATATATGGAGGGTGGGGGAGATGATATAGAGGATGGAACTAAGTCATAATCCAATGGGATTGAAAGCCCCACAAAAACCCTACTGAATTGGCATAAAACAAGCAAACCAGTGGGCTAAACGTAGGGGGATTAAGGTGTGGCTAATAATAGTGGGGTTTGTGTGTGGTTTTGAGAGGGAAAGAAGGAGGATGTGGGGTTGTGGTTGCACCCTGAAGCCAAGCTCCCCCACTAAATATAGACACAAACACAAGGAGCAAAGGTAGATTAGATAGGTAGGGGCAAGAGTAAGAGTAAGAGTAAGAGTAAGAGAAGGAGAGAGAAATGAAATGGGGTTGGGTTGGGTTACTAACCACGCAATTTCCTAAGCTAGCCTTATGTTGTTTGAAATCTCCTTTTCTGGGTCGTAAAGCTAAGTGTGCTTTTGCTCTTCTCTGAAGCTCATTTTGTCTGGGAGTGCTTGGAGGACATGGATTCCTCATCACTCAACTTTCTTTAAATAAAAATAAAGCTAAAGAAAGATAAAGGAGGGGAAGTATTACCAAAATGTGCCTTCTTTTTCTTTTTCCTTTTCCCCCATCACCTCTATGTTTCTTTATCTACCTTTTTTATTTTTATTTTTCACTTTGCTTTATATGCAATCATATTTTATTACCAATTGATTATAATACTACTTCCTTCCAGGGACAGCTTTGCACTAACCCTTTTTTGTTTACATTTTAGAATTATCCTTCCTAGCCCCCCCAACCTTGTCACCTAATTCCACCACTTTTATTACCCTTCACTCCACTCACATTTTATTAGCCCCTTTAATTTCCTGTTTTTCCTTTTTTGCTCTAACATGCTACATTTGTTTGCACATGTGTTTTATTACCCCACTTTTCCATCACCATTTTCCTATTCCAAAACTTCATCTTTTCAACCCATTCTTCATTTCATTTTCCTTTTCTCTCAATTTATTTATCACGTATTCATAAACTAAAACTATGAGGATTGAATTTAAATATATATTAATGGCTAAATAAAATCAATGTAATTGTATTTGGAAGCAACTAATACATACACTATCTTTAAATGCTGATTTTAAGGCAATTATTTTGCTTTAGTTATGCATGCATAGTAAAGTATTCATATATTATTATGAGGGAAATTGAAATTGAAATTGAAAAAGTAGGGTTATGACTTATGAGGAAGAAAAGAGGGAGACACAAAGGACTTTATGATGTGATTTAAAAATCGATTGTATATTTTGTCCATTGTAAAATTTTGCTAGTGCTTTATAAAAGCAATAATGTGTATGTATAAGTTGATGGACACACATTCTACAATTTTTGACAAATTATCACTTTGACTGACTTTTGTTCTGGAAAAGTAAAACATTCAACCCATGAGTGCAATCATATCACCCTGCTTAGAATACGGGGAAATTTATATAAAAATAATTACAATTTAATCATAAATCATCTCAACTTAGACCCTACCCTAATTTTCCGCAATGCCATTCACTGTTAATAACAACAATAATTACGGTAAAAAGCATATATAAAATATCAATTAAATCTTGCATATATAAAATATCAATTAAATCTTAAAACGTTTAACAAGCACAAATACAAATAAAATAGTAAAAATATTTATTTTTAGGTTAACCATTTTTTTTTTGTTTTTTTATTCTTCGTCATCCACTCTATATACATTATTTCAATAATTATTCGTGCAAATAAAAATCTAATTGCTCTCTACTTGCATTCTACTCACTAAATATAATTACCTGTACTATATATGCTCATATCAATGCTATAAATTAATTTGAAGGAAGAAAAATGAAAAAACACCTTTCTACTTATTTGGATAAAGAACAAGGAAAAGGAAATATGATTTCAACTTTCATTAAAATCACTTTTTATCTTTCAATTCTTTCTTCTTTTTCACCTTATCTAAACATGGTAAAAATCTCAATGATTACATATTGTTTTCAAAATCTTGTATTTAAATTATATATATATATATATATATATATATATATATATATATATATATATTCTCCTTACGTAATTATTACTTTAAGGTCCTTTTGATTTATCATCATTAAAATAAATAAATTGTCATTTTTCTTATATTAAAATATTAAATTTAGTTAATTTGGTAATATCCTACACTCATTTGATCCCGAACATTCATAAAATGTAAACATTTTAAGTGATATAACATCTAACCAAATGACTTTTAATATTATAAAAAATATCAAATAAACTAGCACATCGATATTTTCATAGATAAATACAAAAATATATTTGATCATAGTTTCTAGGAGAAAAATTATTTAATTGAAATTATTATATTTTATGTAATAATTAAAAATTATGATTAATGTTGGTCTAGTAAAATAGAAAATTATACATCTGAACTATGTAAAAAAAACAAACGTATAACATTTTAATATCTTGTAATTAAGGTAGTAGTGAAGTGTTAAAAGATATTTTAATCAAAACTTTTTTAAGTTGAGTAAATGTAAATATTTGTATTTGTTAAAGGAGGATAGAGTATTTCATAATATATAAAAAAAGAAGTAAAGATGTTATAATACTTGTACTTATAATTGAATAAAACTGTAAAAGATATTTTGGAATAGTATTAAAAGAAAAAAACATATAAAGTATGTATTATCAACATAAGACTCGAACATCTTAAGGTAAAATATTTGAAAAAAAAAATCCTAAACTTTGTTAGGTGAAAAAAAAAATCCTAAACTTTGTTAGGTGAAAAAAAAATTACAATATAAATACGTAGGACAATGAATTGTTTTAATCTAATATTTTTGCATTCCCAATGTGCAGTCCTTCTTGGAATAGATTTTTTTTATTTTCTTATTTTTTACACAGCATAAATATTATATTAACTTTTCACTTAAAATATAGGGCTTTAAAAATTAAAAAATATTTTATCAATACCTTATACGAAGAATAAGAATAATATAGAAAGCATGTCACCTAAAATGAAAATAAGTTGATTGTATTGTAAAATAATTATTTTAAAATTATATATATATATATATATATATATATATATATATATTAAAAATTCTATAATAATTATCTTTGAAGTCAAAACAAGAGTAATATTTGTGACAAGATAAAAAAAAGAAAAAGTACAATTTATTTTAAATTTGATTTTCATCCAGTTTAGTGTATAGTATTAATCAAACAGCAGTCAAAATATATGATATTACATTTTCATCCATTCCAATAAAACTTATTTATTTTAATTGTAAAAAATAATTTTACTTTTTCTGAGAATAGTTTTTTAATGTACCTAGTGAAACAACTCGTCATTAATTTTCTGATTTTCTTTCCATTTCATTCTACATATGTTTCTTTTTGAGTAATACTAAATTTCAAAATGGTTGCATGAAGTATTTTAATATTATTATTATTATTATTATTATAATATGGTGTTGATGCAAAAGCAGAAGGTGTCTTTCTAAGAAATTAGCGTGTGTGATTGATATACGAATTGTCTATATCTTTAAGAGAATCTTTGTCTGTCAAAAAATGGCCACCAATAGAATGTTAGGGTTGACAACGAAAACAACAGGTGTCAGGTTCATCTTCCATTTTCAACCTTTTTGTTTACTTCTTACACTTTACACAGCTGTGAATTCCTTTTCTACTTCCACACAACAAAGAAGTAACATCTTCATAATCTATACATAACATTTCTTCAATTTTCTTATTTCAGATCTCAAATTCAATTTAGCTTTACCCTGATAAACGTTTTATGACATTAGATTGGGAATCCCAAACTACTTATATCTGCTTTCATTTTCTTCCTTCTCTGTCTTTGTATATATTCACTGTCTTCTACTGCATATGATATAACTTCAAATCACTTTCACCTTCAAAGCACCAACCACACATTTCTAACAGCTGTATTATGTTGTAATTATATCCAAACTCTCAAAGTTTTCAACAATGAAAAAAAACAAAATTGTCTGATTTTTCTCTGTGAGAGTTCTAAATCATTTTTAATTCATTGGTTGGTATTCTTCCTCTCACCTTTATTTTCAACAACAGAATAATTAAGTATTAGATTGCATGGTCTAATGTTGAAGTTGCTGGTCAAAAAGGAGATTTGAATAATTAAATGTTAAGATTTTTTTTTATTAAAAACTAACTAGAATTTGAAAATGAGATTAGAATATAGACTTTTAAAATGAGGTAAGATAAAGGTGAAAAAGAGGAACAGAAAAAGGAGATTGCATAAAGCAAAATAATGTGAAAGGAAGAAAACTAATAAAAGTTTTTTTTTTCCTTTTTTCAGAAAAAAAGTATTTAATAAAATCTGGGAGTGGAGTAACCTGAACATTTCACATGTTAAATAAAGAATTATTTAATATGATTTTGAAAATATTAAATTTCACCCACCAGATACTTCACGTTGTTATCATGTAGTTAATTTTTTTTAGTGTAATTATATTACTTTTATAAATTAGATATTGATATTGATTTAGATCCAAACATAAATTTTACATGGTACTAAGATTTATTTAAATTAATTACTCGTTAAGATATCTTTAATCCTTACTTAAATATTTAAGCTATCATTAATTACTAGAATATTATATTAATTATAAATTCAATCACCATTTTGATAGTTAGATAATTTTCAAGTGACATTGGTTAAATAACGAGTTATGCAAAGTTAACCTAATCGATCAGCATGTTAAGATTTCTAATTCGTCTCACAAATTTTTTTATGACCTACCATCTCATCTATATGGCATCATCATCCCTAAAAATAACATTGTGTTAAGAATACGTTGAAGTAAAAAATAATCATTAACTCATTCTTTGTATATTGATCATAATTTTCTTAGTTAAATTTTTCGCACTTTGTATATTTTCTACGTCTATCAATAAAAATGTTATAACTTATTTTATATAAATATATTTTATAAAATGGAAAAACATTTTTAGATGAATCAGTATGATAATACTTTTACTAATTAATACTATATATATACATATTAATCTTTATTTTTAGAAAAATGATGTTATTTTTTTTAAATACTTATAAAAAAACATATTCCATTTCTACGTATGGTTGTATATGCAGGAGAGGATAGATAAATTTACAACATACATAAACAAATAAATTAAAATGGTTAAATAATCATATAGTTTTGTATATTTATAAAAAAAATAAGAAAAAATATAATAAAAATTTACATAAATTAAAATTAACTCATACACGAGTTTAAAATTATATTTTTAAAAAACATATTTTAATGTTTGGCTTATTTTTCTTTCTTAAAATAATTGTAGAAATTTTATTCAAATAGACTTTGATCACTCTATCGTCATAAAATTCTATATATAAAATATACATCATGGATAATGTTTATTTGATACATTTATTAATCGTGAAGTGTTACTTAAGGTGGTTCTGTTTTTTGTTGTCTTAAAAAGGTGCCTGCAATCTGGTCACATAGTGTTAAATTCCACGTTTTTTTTTTCAAAAAAAAAATACTAATTTTGATGGGGTCATGTGTTGGTAAAAAAATATCGTGCCAACTAATTCTACATGAAAACAATTATGGAGAAGGAATATGTACTCTTCTTAATTAAAATTATTGTGTTTCTGGCACATAATTATTGTGTTTTCAATGGGTTTATTCTTATAATTTTCTGGAAAAATTCTAAATAATCCCTATTTCTCTAGACACACAGTTTCAGCTAAACTTACAAAGAAGAGAATTATTTATTTATTTAGACCTTAACAAAAGTATTTTATTTTTTATTTTTAATCTAGCAAAAATTAAGAAAAGATCTTCATGGGTTTGCAATATTTTTGTCTAGTCCTGGATATCAAGTATTGTAAAAAATTAATTTCTCTACAAAATAAGAGATTTCAGTCCATAATAAACAATTTAAATTAAATTCACATAAATAATGTATATAATAATAGAAAGAGATATCACAATCAACTAGACATATATTTTTTATTAATTCAAATACAATAAGATATATAATACCTTACTTAATCATTTGTATATTAATTTAACCACTCTTGAAAAAAAATATATAACATCAATCTTAATATATATATATATATATATATATATATATAATGAAAAATTTTTATAGATAAAAAAATGGAATTCATATATATATATATGAAAGTTATGTGAATATTATATATTAAATACTTGGAGGAATAATTTTATCATCCATAGTAATTTGAGGGTTTTACCCTAAACCCTGTTAGGGTTACGTGACTTGAATATGACTGCCTCTAATGTACTTGTAGTGTTTATCAAAAGGTTACGTACAACAAAATTAACGTGACGATGAAAAGACATGAAAAGAAATTGAAAATACATAACAAATAATTAAATTCATTATTTGGTATTAAAAAATTGTTAACAACAATATAATAAGATTGAATATACTGTAATGATGTCTTATCATGATATAAACCAATTGATCAAAATAAAAAGCAATAACGCATGCATGATTGCTATTATGTTTATCTTATTTTGACCACTAAATAAGTCTAAACGTGGTCAAAAGCCGAAGCCAGTTAGGAAATAAAGGATTGAAATTTGAAGGAGGAGGTTCAATTTTTTTGATGTTTGGTTGATATGGGCATTAAATTTGTGGATATGATGAATGAAGAGGGATAATTAATTGTAATGATTTGAGGGGTGGCAGGCTTGACCATGAATAAAAATGGTGTGAAATGATTATGGAAAGAAATGATGGAAGGAGACTTTATAGTGAATGTAATGATTTAATCTGAAAACACATTTTTGTGTGGAAAGTGATGAAACAGTGAAGGAATGGTACTTGCAGAGCCCTGCACCTCTTGTGCTCTTCTTTGATTGCGTGGTGGGCTAGGGTTTCCGCAACCATTTGATTTCTTTTTGGAATCATGACTCTTGCGTTTGTCCTTCCTCCTTTGAATCACCTTATTGGTCCTCCGCTCATGGAAGATGGGGGGATTCAAGCCTCAATCATGTTTCCCATAATTACACTTCCAATCTTCACACTCTCCCCATGCCTCTGTCATTTTCATTATTATTTTACACACTCTTCATTTTCTTCACTTTTCCCTCTCCAACACAAACAAAATAATCCACATTCACAAAACTATAGCATACAATATTTAAGAAAGTTGAACAACATGGTTGAAGTTACTGTAAGAGATTCAAACTCTACCACTACTCCAACACATGATTTACCTTAATTACCATAAGATGCTATACTACTTTAATTATCTCATAACTTTATTTAATTTGTGGACGATGATGGTTAACATTATGTCACTTTTTTCATAAACCTTTTCACATTTCATGACTATATAAAAGGCAATCAATAAAATCAACTATATATCATAACCTTCCACTCAAATAATATAAAATATTTTAGGTTTTATTTATTACCCTAATACTAGCTAGACAAACTTTTGTAGGGGTTTAACAAGTATCGAATAAGTAAGTTTTCTGCATCGAATCACATTAGTTAAAGCAATGTGAGTTTTTTTTTTTTTTTTTTCTCACTCGTGATAATCTAAATTGATAGGATTTTAATATTAATAATGGGAAAAATAATCAGGAATTATCATAAGTTGACACAAGTTAAAGATGATTTGTTGGTGTAAAAATACATGAGGCATCACCCATCAATACAAAGCCAATTACAAGTGATTACTTAAAAGCAAATCTTTTATAGGACGTGAAATAAAGTATCATGATGTTGATTACTTTGATTAATTTAATTAATTTTACGTGAGAAATAGTATTAATCTCTCATAGTGTCACTTGAGCTTAAGATATGCACATGAATGATAAAATGGGTAAGTTAAAAGAAGGGGCAAATTCCTTTTGATTGTTTTTCTCCTTTATAGGGTTTGGTGCTTAGTGCTTAGTCAGTTTTTTGTCCCCGCCATGCTGGATCACTATTCATCACACACTTTCCTAACTGAAACCCTAAAACAAAAAATAAACAACCAATGACCCCACCCCTACAACTTATTCCTTTCCCACACACAATCACAACAATTTATTGGGTTTAATATTTTTGGTTTTTACTTTTCTTCTTGTCATAATTTGAATTATTGCATGTTTCAAAATTCATGAATTAGTCATAAATTTTAAAAAAATGTAATTTTTATGGGGATGAAAAATTGTACTGAATGTTAAATTTAAGTCAATCTATTAAAAAGAAACGGGTGTTTGAGAAGAGTTTAGATTTAATTCACTCATAATAAAAAAAGTCTAATAGATATCATTGAATTTACATTAAATTATTTTAAAATGTACCAAACAAAAACTTTTTTAAACTTTATAGGTTGATGCCAATAAGATGTGGGAACCCTGGATATGACAATTGTGGGGAGCAATATTGGCAGTGAAGAATTCTATTCTGAAAAAAAAAATAAGAAAGTGAGACAACTCAATCATTAATGAGAAAAATCAAAGGAATATTTTTAAAAAAAATATGATTTTTATTCATATATGCATTACTCATTAATTATTGAAATTCCGTAAACTTTCCTTTGAAGTAAACAATCATCTTAGACAAATCAAATCTGTCAGTCATAAGTGTGGTCAATAAACTAGTCAGTATTTAAATGAAAATATCATAATCAAAGACAAAAAGAATATTAACCCTAGAAATTAAAAGGCTATGTTTTTTGTTTAAGTTGGACTACATGAAAAAAAAAAAAAAAAAAACAGAAAGAAAAGAATGGTAGACATGTGTTTTTGTGTGACAGATAATTGGAGGATGAGGTTAAAACCTTGTTGACTATAGGTGCTGTGTGAATTAAGGAGAGATATGTTAGGGGAAGAGTTATATAACATGGTTTTGTATTATAATATGTTAGACATCTTCCATTGAATAGAATAAACAAGCGATTAAGTTATAAATGACAGTTTTTTGACCTATTCTTTTGTGTTTAAGTCATGGTTCTTTTCAACTCAAGATATGTAATAAAATGTCTCTTGCGATTTTTGACTTGTGATGTAGTTTAAACTTCGAAAATGTAATAACACTGTAAACAAAATTATGCTGCTAATTTGAAATACACTATCGATTTTTTGTAATAATTTTTATTTAAAAAATATATTAGAATAATTTGTGATTGGTCAAGACAATGAATTGAAAATACGCACACACCGTTCTTTCAATAAAAAAAAATGATGTAGATGTTCAACATTTTGTGGTTATGCGTTAGTTTTTAGTGATTGGAGGTTTTTAAAAGAGTACAAAGTATGCTGCAAAATTTGAAAAAGAATAATAGCTAAAAATGTTCAATGAATATGTTACACTGTATGCATTATAAATATACAGTCTTATGACTGACAAAATCTGACTTCAAAAGTGCTAGCTAGCTAGTAGAGAGCACGTTTTGCATCCTACATATTATTGGTTGTAAGAGTTGGCTCTAAATTAATTTAATTGCAGTCACATAAAACCAAAACTGATTTCAAAAAAGAATAGTGGCATTAGCCTTAGAAACATTGAAAAGGGTAGACGCAGAACTAGCTTTGAACTTTGAAGAATGTATATTAAATAATACTCCTAATATATACAAATCTAAAGGCATGTACTATTAATAAATTAACTATATAGTGGTAAATTATATTTAATTTTTTGTAACCTGATCCACAGCTGTCTCTTGTGAGTCAAGTAATTCTTTTAATAGTTAGGGAATCATCAAGTTATATGCTATAAGGGGATAGAAAGAAACAGTGTATAGCATTCTACATGTTTCTTGTACATGTAAGAACATCAGAAAAGTTAAATTCCATGGACAATATATTATTGGTAGCAGAGGGCAGAGGGGAGAACATGGCACTGGGGACAATAAGGAGGAGGAGGAACAAGACAAACATAGACTCATAAAATTTTTATATGTATGTCTGAGATACTAATAATTAATTACTAATGAGTGTGCTGATGTGCATGTTTCAGTGAAAAGTACAAATATTAAATGTTCAACACTTGCAAGGGTGATATTAACACCCATTGGGGCGTTTGAAATGCAGCAATTGAAGGGCAAGAGAATTAATAATAGTATAGTATGTAGTGTGAGTGGTGTGTGAAGAACGAGATGAGAGTCAAAAAAGGGAAGAGTAGTTGGGTGGTGTTTGGAGTGTGTGAGAATTAATGGAGTGGTTCTAGAAAATGGTGGGGAATTAGCTAAGGTAGGCCTGGATTTGGTATGTAGAAATTGGCAAAGGATTAAGAAGGGAAAGAGAAAAGCAGGGATTAAAAATGGTAAGAGATGGGAAGGTAGCTAGCTAGCTTTATCGTGTAGAGTGTTGGAAGCAACAAGTGTGGGAATCCTGGTGTCAGATGTTATTGGACCCTCTTCCCCTCTTGGTTTTGTGCACTCATCAGTACTGCTTCTGCCTCCAGTTGCAGTCTTGTTTCTGTGTTACTATGCTTCTCTTTCTCTCTCTCTTTCTTCCTGTTTGTATGCAAGTGTCTCTCACGGTTAGATTCTACTCCATCACACTTTCCCTTCAATTCTTTCTCTATATTTTCTGCAACCCCTTTTCATCATTTTATCATGTATACCACACTAGTAGTTGTACTACCTACTAACAATTAATCAACATCCTAACAAACATGTCTTCTTTAGTTTATTTTAACCAATTGAATTTTGCTTCATCAATTTCCTTTGTAAGCTAGTACTGTATTTGGTTCCAACAGCTTTGAAGTACACATGCTACAAATGTTATTTATTTTGTTGTAAAGACAAGTTTGAAGCTGATTATTTGTCGGAAGTATATGTAACTATATAGTGTCAACACACACACATATAATACATGGCTCCTTTTTTTTTTATTTTAAAGAAAACTTTCTCTGCTTCTATTAGCTAATGCCTCGAATAGCACGCAAACTCTTTCAAACACACAGCTATTGGTTTTGGTATGTGGATGGTGAGAGTACTGCAGACAAGCATGTGCTGTGCCTGTGCAGGCATGTAGAGAGAGAGAGAAAAAGGAATGAGTTTACTGGTACCTAAGAAGGGTTTGTTTTGTTGGTGAGTGGTGATTATTCTTGGATTTAACACAAGCAAACACGCATGTTATATAGTTATTATTATTTGTTCCCTGCCCATAACGGCACATATAATATAATCTATTTTTCATTCTCTTGCTCCCCTTTTGAGGAGAAAGGAAGTGTTGGTTTGGTAACATTCGTTTATTTATCTTTTTCAGCTGCATCAAACAAAATATTGAAACACTGATAAAATATCCTTCTGATGTGTATCATACTATATATACTTGTAGGTTTTGTTATGTGTCATACACGTGAGAATGTTTCACAACATTTTATTTTATCTGATTATTTGTCCGTGTCTGTAAGATACAGCTAGCTACTAGCTAGCTTACCAGTTGTACAAAATATAAATTTTGGAAGTTCTAATGTGGTGGCACCTTGTCTTCAGACTTCGGCTACCACATTATTTAAGATCCATGTATATATCCTTTCAAGAATTTAAACATCGAGAAATTCTTATGTTATGTGTATTCTTATGATCCCATGACACAAGTAGAAATTGAAACTTATGACAAGTTCATGTTTTAGATGAATTAATCTGGACAAGTATTATTGTGGTCTATTACTGGAATACCATTGTTCCTGATTTTGTCATTGATTGTGACTTATTGTACTATGAGGAAATTAGAGTGTAGGGGTACGTAAAAGACTACGTGAGTTTGAAGCTTGGCAGGTCAAAGACTTCTATATATAGGCTATGGTGTAGTCTTTTGTTTGTGTTGATTCTTGTTACATTTTCTCAAAAATGAGTAATATAATGAGTGATTGATTATGCAAGCTCTTCATTCTTTACTTTGGTGGTAATTTGTACCACATGAAGTTTGTCATCACCAAGAGACTTATTTTCATAGAATAAAAATTATATATTCTGGTTCTGTCTCACAAATTATAAATAAAAGGTAAAGTTTTGAATTTCCATTTCTTTATTTTGTGTTTTTTTTTTCCCTCTGACTTACTCTCATAACAAGCAAAAACAAGTAATAAATGTGTACATCAGTTATGAAAATGTTGTTTTACCGAAACCAACAATTATCTGGAATTGAAAATTTAAATACTAGATTGACTTTGTGTGCACAAAGTTGTGATTTATACCAAAAATAACAAATGAAATTGAAAGAATGATATCTGAGGCTGGGTTTGGAAAAGTATGTATGAGGTGCAAGAAATGGATTGTGAAAGAAGTAGGTTAGCTAAATGGAGTATAGGTTTTGAAGGTTGGGTTTTCAACTTTTGTTTTTCTGCTACAGTGCTTAACATGCATTGCAACTCTATAACAATGAGAAGTGGAAAATGTGGTTTAGAAATAGAAACGGTCAATTAAGTGCATGTTTGAATGGTGTTTTCTTGTGTCAAACGTGGATCCAGATGAAGCAACTAATACTTTTTTTGCATCATTTGAAGTTTTTGGATGTAAATTTATTGAAAAAGGTAGATCTGAATCTTCGATCTAAACATGCTGTAAATGGGATGCGTGGAAAAAAAATGAAAGTTGTAAGAAGTAAATGTATCAGTTCTGATGACAGAAGTGAAGTGAAAAATGAAGAAATGGAAATTTTGGATGTGGTGGGAACAAGTATAAAGCTTTCCATTCATTCAATCCAAAATCCCAAATGTTGAGAGGCCCAAGCACAGGAAAAAGAAACCTAATCATAAAGATTCTTAATCATGCACCTTGTTCTTGATATAACACAAAGCACTACTTAACCATAATCATGTCATAACTACACCTAAATTTACACCACACCATTTCTTAAATGTTTATGTCTAAATATATATTAATTGAAAAAGGGGTAATAATTAATTGAGTTGATTAAATTATTTTGTTCCTTTTATTCATATGAAATTATTTTTTAAAATTGTTCTTATAAAATTTGTCTTTTTTTTTTAATTATTTTATTTTAGTCCCATGGTTTTCTTGTAGGTTATGAACCATTGATAAAAAATCTCCTTAATATTTATTGAGAACCTCACATGTAGAAAGTAATTATACTATTGTTCACCTCGATCTTATATATTGTTGAGTTAAAGGTATTTTTCTCTAGAAAACTAAAAATTTCTTCTTGAAACTTGTCATCATAAAAAAAATGTTTAAATTTTAATGATCACAAACTATCATGAAAAAGAAAAACTCTAGGTCTTTTACTTAAATTTTTAATTATTTACTTTGAGAATATGAATATAAACACAATGATAAAGAAACAACAATTTGATCCAAACCTACACAAATAAAGTTTACTCACTCGATCAAAAGCATATAACACTGGAAATAGCTTAAAATTAATAAAGTGCAACACGTACATGATAAAAAGCATAATTAGAAGATAATATCATAATCTACATGTGATAAGAAATTAATGGGAAGATGCAATCTTCTGAATAAGGAATTTACAATTTTAGAACTGCAAAATCAAAAGTCTCGTGCTCGAAAGTAAATTGAAATGTGTTTCAAAAGTAAGAACCTATCAAATATATAAACAAATACGCTAGAAGATAAGAAAACTAATACACGCTACACCATTTAGAAGCAACTGTAACGCAAACGCATAAACAATTAAGAACAATGTATAAAAGGGACAATGACTTCAAAGATTGCGAGTTAATTAACACAATAAGATTATGAAGTCTAAGCTATGGAAAGAATATTTGGTGTTAGTTAGAACCTGTAGAGGTTGAAAATCTTGGTTGAGTGGTTAGGTGGAAGAGACTTGTAAAGAATACTGTGTGGAAAGCTTGAGAAGAAATAATGAGTTTTAGTTTGCAGAGATTGCACAAAGCTAAAAATACATCTGCAAAAGGTATAGTATATATATACGTAGTTCTATGCATGCAAGGTTGAGAGTAAATTAATTAGTACAAAAAATTTCTGTGTAATATTTTGTTTAGCTTGCTTTTCATTTACCAAACAGAAGGAGTGAAAGTTTAAAACATAATAAAAATAACAAGAATGAAGAATTTGCAATAAAATTATATGGTTGGTAAAAGTGAGAGAATAAAAGTTAACCATATTAGCAGTAGTATAACAGTATGATGAGGGGAATTTGTGTGGAGAGATGAATTTGTGTTGAGTTGAGTGTAGTCAATTGCAGTGTTCAGAGAAAAGAGATATGAATTTTGTTGGTTTGCAAAGTGATGGTGAAAGGTGGTGGACATAGTTTGAAGCCAAATCCATCATCCATCATTCATCTCCAAGCTTAAGGAAGTACCATTGCCATATGCTGCACTGTCAAAGGGGGGCCAATCACTGCCATTAACCTCTCCCTCTCTCTCACCCTTTCACTTCCAATCATCCATCTACTTTATTTTCTTCCATATTCCATTCATATTTCTCTACCTCATCGCCATCAGCATCATCATCATCATCTACTATGTCACTTCTACCTCTAGGGTTATATTCTCTTTCTCTTCATTATTTTATACATGTAATAATATTCCTTTCACATTCTTCAATCATTGTTGTGTTGAGGATATGTGTACATGAAAAGAAAATAAACCTCCTGCTTCACACAACGTCACGTATATGTGTGTATTTGGCTAAAGTTTTAGAAGGTGCCTACTAGGCATTAGGTAAATAATAATAACCTACCAAAAATTAATAATTAATTATTAATTCATATACTACTTCAACGTAATCATACAAATATATAAATAAAAGGTATACTATACAGTAGCACCTACTTAGATTCTTTAATCATGCCTTTGAGATTTAATTATTGACCATGTATATAAAAATTACTTTTACTGTACTAATTTTTATGTATCTAAAGAGAGTGGTCTCTTCTGATTAGTTGGAATTTTTTAGTTATAAAACTAACTAATAATTAGGTTTGAGTAATGGAACTGTTTCCTCTCGTCGTCAAGCATCATGTTTTCTGTTGAATTTTATTTTAAGATTTTTTTTTCTATATTTTATATAACTTTCTGGACTGGTTATCAGTATAAATAAATACATTTTTGAAAGCCCGTGAGAAAAGGCTTTTCTTACAGCCTTAGGCTGTAGACTACTTTGTAGAACCAAGCCCAAATGCCAACGAAGCCCATTGGTCCTCAAAACATGTATACAACATTCCAGTTCCTTTAAATAAAATAGGTACCAAAACTTGAAATTTTTCTTTCTTCACCACCATATTTTCTTTTTCCTGAAATGGGTGACACGACAATTCAATAAAAAACGTCACTTAAAATATAATTCATTTTGTTTTTAAATGTTTGAAATAAATGAATATAATAATTCTATTAATTAATTTATCATTGAAATATCTAACTCTTGTTAACTTGATTTTACGAAGTTATTAATTGTTTTAACAATAATTAACAAATTTAAATAGAATTAACCATATTTGAAAACATGATTAACCAAATGAGGACAAATCATAATTCTACTATTGTGAGTATTCTTTAAACCTCTGTTACATTAGAAATATTTTCGGTCGCAGAAGAAGAGAGTTAGAAAAGATGTATTTTTAAAATAGGTGAAATCACTACAAAAAACTTCATAACTATTAGAGGTTTATTTTCAGCAGCTTATAAAAATCGTAAAAATTAAATGTAATTTATGACAAAAAATTTAACTGACACAATAATTATAATTAATTTTAAATTTTTTATTTTATTTTTATTTATTTTCATTTTTCATTCTCTCACTTTCTTCTACCTTCTCTTTCTCTCTTCGTTATCTCTTTCTCTCTTTACCGTTTCATTCATTTTCACACTCATCTTTCACTGTAACGTTTCATCCTTCACTGCAAGGTCACATATCCTCTCTCAATCACCAATTCAGGTTTAATCCTTCTTATGTTTTACTTTTCAATTTCACATGTTTGTGATTTTTGTGGAAAATTACAAGAGTTTTATCTATCATTTGTTCTTCAATTTACAGTATATGCTAATTTCTCCTTCTCTTCTCTGTGTGACGCATGACAATCTACATTCAACCGTTTTTTGTTTTTCCTTAACCTCGGGTACGAAACTTTTAATATCATTTTTTGTTTTTGGTCTCCAATCTCTCCAAGACGGACACTCGGACGGCGTTGCCGCTTCGGAGCTAACGCCGGAGGGGCGACGATATCGGTGCTCGGCTGCGATGCAGTTGCTGCAGCCGGTGGAGCCGTTTCCTCCGCGGCGTCCGGTGCGGAGGGGATTGGAGGGTCCGGCGGTGGGGGATTGGTTTCGGGCACTTCCGCCATCGTGGTCACAAGTGGCGATGGCGGAGTGCGCAGGATAAGGGAGACGGGGAGTTTTCTGGTGCGGTAGGGTGCAAGGGTACAATTACCTCTAAGATTTTGCGTCGTTGGATAGTTATTATGCGGTTTTTGGTCCTGCATCCAGTTTCCTCGTTTGAGTTTGTATTTTTAGTTAAGTTTATATAGCACCTCACTAGTGTTCCCTATGTTTTCAGATCTATTTTGTTCTAACGAATTGCTTTCTTATCAACTACATTGCTTCCTGTCTTAAATGAGCAGGTTCCCCATTTTGGACTCTTTCCTCATTCCCCACTTTATACATTTTCTCTTTGTGTATTTGGCTCAATTTGCTTTGTTCACAATGACTGTGGGGATTGACAAGCTCATGCCATGGTTCACCACAGGCATCTTCCTAGGTTATATCAATCACAAAAGTGTTATCAACACTTATATCCTACCCTTCTAGGATATTTTATTTCAGTTAATGTCTCATTTTCTGGTCTACTCAGTCTCCCTTTGACATATCATCTGTTGTCCCTCTTGTTATCCCTGCTCTTGTTCCACTTTCATCTTTTTCTCAAAATGACCTAGTGGTGCATCAAGATGATCATGCAGAGCTACCAACCATGTAATCTCTTTAGACATTAATGTCGCCAATGCCTTAATATCATTGCTACACTAGCCCCTGGTTTGGCTCGTGACAATATAGTAGAGAGGTCATGCCATACTCTTTCTCGGTGACATCTTTATTGGATCTTTGCCTTCCTCTAACATTGATTGGCCAACTGCTCTCTGAAAAGGTATTTGTTATACTCGAAACTCATTTCCTCAAGATATCAACCTTAGTTCTCATTGTCTCTCTTCTTTGATTAATGCTTGTCTTCTTGTCCTTGGTGTCTATCCCTAACAAATCTAGGTGAAGCATTATCAAGATATTAAATTATTATACATTCTACATTTCTATGTGAAGAACTAAAGAGGTTGACTCATTACATGTCACAGCTTCGTGTTAATGGAATTTATTGTCACTTTCATATTGTTGCTTCATTCATGCATGTCATTTTTCAAAATTCTTTGGTCTTGTTTGTTTCACATTTTTGTCTGCAAATTTTTAACTCCCATGTTTTTGTGATAGTGACCGTTCTAGAATCTTGAATTAATTTCTCAATACTTGATCTTTTGTTGGGGGTGTCCTTTACTATCAACTGACGAATTTTTCTTTTTAATTCTTTTAAGAAAAGGAAACGTACTAGTTGATGGGAGAAGGAGATTTGCTAATATTAGTGTAAAGTTTCCTCTCATTAACCATGAAACAATGCAAACAAAAGAATAACATAGAAGTCGTCAAGTCTCTTTGAATGTTTGGTTAAACATGTTTAAAATTGTGATTAGGTGATCAAGTTGCTAAATGGTAATACTCTTGTCATTTGCTAATGTTTTCATGTTTCCTTCATTTTCTTTCCATTTCAGATTAATGCCTCTTCTTCCGAGGATGGGCTAAACTTTTATGATTCTGGTCATCGCTTTGAGCATTCACAACTTTTGTTAGTGCTTTTGCATTCCCTTCCATTTGCACCTAGGCCACTACAGAGCAGAGCACTACAGGTATTTAGCTTAACCGTGCTCAATTTTTACTACATGCATCTGTTTGTTACCTATAAATTGTATATTTTTTTATTTATGAGGTGTTTGCTGTTTCATGTGATGAAATCCTCAATACAGCTCGCTTGTACATTGATGTACTGCTTAGTTTATGCATTTCACTTTCTTGCATTTTATAGTTTATTGGGGCCTAAGTTTGCTATTACTTGAAGATTTGAAAATAATGTTGAAACACAGATTTTTTGACCTTGGCTGGTAAAAAACTAAAACAAAAGACAGGCTTGGTTGAAGTCTAATTTTTTCTTTTATCGGCAGTCTCCCCTCCTCCATCCCCCATTTAATTAATGAACATTAACCGTATTTTAAAACCATGCTTGATAGTGAAATTTTCCGGTAGCATTTCAATGAGTTTTCGTAGAATATATTCTTCAGCTTTCGTAGAATATATTCATGTTATCAATATATTCTTCAATTTATACAAAACTCTATCAATTTATACAAAACATAACATAATTATAGTTGAAGTGTGCTTACTTAATAGGACTGACAGGGATTCTCGAGTTATGTAAGGTTCTGCTTTGTGGATTTGAGAGTACGACATAGCGGGAAACTCTTGAATTTTAGGAGTATTAATGTCTCTTCTATACCTTAGTTTATTATGTACATCAAGGATATAGAAAATATTTTGCAACTTATGTTTTTCTTACTTCGTTGGACAGATATAAAAATGGATAAATCATGGATTGACATGCCACGGAATACAATTGAATATTTGGATGGACTGAATAGATTTTTAGATTTTGCATTTGAGAATCGATCTGTCAATGGTGCAATAATTTGTCCATGTCCTAAATGTCACTATGACAAATGGGAAACTAGAAAAGATGTGTTTGACCACTTGATTTGCAAGCAATTTCCAACAAATTATAAAGTATGGATTTGGCATGGGGAGACATATGAAACAATAGCATCAAGGGACAATGAAGAAGTAAATGTGTCATTACAAAATGGAAATCCAATGATAGATATGATAAATGATGCATTTGGGAGGAATAGACAACATGATGTAGAGTCTAACATGTGTGATGAACAAGTTGAGTTTGTAGAAACCATGCCCAGTGAAGAATGTGAAGAGTATGATGATTTGCTTAGAGATTGCAACCAAGAGTTATATGAAGGGTGCAAAAAATTTTCGAAGTTGTCTTTTCTATTAAGGTTGTATCATATAAAATGTTTGTGTGGTACGACTGATAAGGCTATGACGATGATTTTAGAGTTATTGGCAGATGCATTTTCATATGCAAAATTTCCTACTTCATTTTATGAGGCAAAGAAGGTGATTTATAAGCTTGGTCTTAATTATACCAAGATAGATGTTTGCCAAAAAAATTGCATGTTGTATTGGGGAGAAGATGAAAAATTGGAGAGTTGTAAATATTGTAAGAAATCTAGATGGAAAGAAAAGGGTACTAGTAGCAAAAAGAAAATACCAACAAAGGTCTTACGATACTTCCCCTTGAAACCAAGGTTGCAAAGATTATTTATGTGCCCAAAAACAGCGAAGTCCATGAGATGGCATGTTTTAAACAATAATCAGGATGGACTATTGAGGCATCCTAGAGATGCTAAAGCATGGAAGAATTTTGATCAACTTCACCCTGAGTTTGCTTTAGAACCTAGAAATGTTCGTCTTGGCCTTGCAACTGATGGCTTTAATCCATATCGAACCATGAATAATAGCCATAGTATATGGCCAGTGATTCTAATTCCATACAATCGACCTCCTTGGGAGTGTATGAAACAATCTTCTTTTATTCTTTCTATGATCATCCCAGGAAAAAAATGCCAGGAAATAAGATAGATGTGTATCTACAACCTCTAATAAAAGAGTTGAATGAGTTATGGACGAAGGTGCGTAAACTTATGATGCTTTTTTGAAAGAAGTGTTCATAATTCTAATAAAAAATATATTATACATTTCATTAGATTATTGATTTTATTATAATGATTAAATTATTATTACACTTATGGTGGTATTTTAAAGTAATTCTAAATAAAAAAGTATTTTAATTATTAATTATAAAATTATTAAAAAATAATTTGTAAATAATAATTAAAATTTTGATTTATTGATAAAATAATTAAAAAATAGTAATTAAATAATTTTTGGTGGTTTTTTAAACCTCCAATAAGTTTTAAATAATTATAAAATATTATATATTTTGTAGCGGTTTTTAATTGTTGAAATATAAAATTAATTATAAAAATAACATTTGTAACAATTTCAAAGTGCAACAAAATGTTAAATTAAAATGAGAATAATAATGTATTTTATGGCGGTTTTTAACCGTTGAAATTTTTGTTTTTTTTTTTGACATAAATACCAAGCATTTAAAAAAATTCGTTACAAATCGTTTTTGACATCTATAAATATGACAGTTATATTAATTGTTACAAATTTTATTTGTAGCGGTTTTTAACTTCTAAAATCTACAATTTTAACCGCTATAAATAACATATTTTTTTTGTAGTGAATACACCATTATCTTTTATTTTATTTTTTAGGATAACTCTTTTATTTTTCTTATCTTTCACTACCTATTTTTTAATTAAACACGTTTTGTTTTTATTTATTTTTTAATTAGTGATAGAACACAAATGTCTCCCATAATTAGCGACGACAACCCAAAATACATAGAACAACCTATGGATGGATGTTCTTGTAATAATACTAAATCTTCCGACATATGTGATTGTCTGGAACAAGATTTAGAAAATTGGACTAGGGGAATAAAGTATAAAGTGTGAGTCCTTACTAAGAGCTTAAGCTTTTAGTGCAGTGGCAAACACTTTGTACCTAACTCAAAGCTAGGTCGCGTGTTTGATTCCTGTCGAGGACGGAATTGGAGCAGCTAAATCTGGCATAGTCGATTAGACATCTCCTCATAAGCTTACGCATGAACGAAGTTACATGCAGGAAAGTAAAGACAGGAAAAATAAGATTATGAGATGATAAAATGTAAAAAAAAAAATGAATTAATGTCACTATTTTAGTGATGTTACTATTTTTGTTTTTAGTGAGGAGATTTTCCTCCATAGGTTTTTATTTGATATTGGTAAAACTTATGTAGAAGGATCTAACTGAAATTTCTCTAAAAAAGATATTTCAGATTTTATTCTTCTCATAGCTTTTAGCTAAGTGGCTATCTTTGCGTGCTCATCCTTTGGTATTAGAGCAAGGATGTGCACTCGATTCCTGTCGAGGATGGAATTGGGGTGGTAAGTCCCCTAGATATTTTGGTATAGCTTGAAATCAGAGTCGCGAAATCGTGGTGGGACCGAGGGTTTAAGTATCAACGTGGGAACCCTTACTAACAGCTATAGCTTTTGGCTAAGTGGCTACCTACGTGCTCATCCTTTGGTATCAGAGGTAGACCGCGTGCTCGATTGGTAAGTTCCCTCGAAATTTTCAAAGAGCGGGAGAATCAGAATCGCGGAATCGTGATAGACTTTTATAAAGGGTGAGATTTAGGTTTTTAAATATTTATTTTCTATCGAACAAAATCTTTAAAGAGGAAAAAAAAGTGCCACGAGACTATCGAACATAAAATAAAATAAAAAAAAAAAAAGAAAAAATATCTTCCTGATTGAAAAAAAATTATTTGAGGAAAGAGGAAAACATAAATGCATTTGAATTAGCGGTTAGAAGTGTGTGTGTGTTATGCGTGATCATCATCGGCAATCGAATCCCAACTTTACCTCACAGCCACACATACATCCACACAGGTGACACACGCCACGCCACTATTCCTTTCTCTCCTTCACTCGCCGACTCACACACACCAATCACCACACAACAACACAAATGCACGTTAATTTCAACTTCAGCGTCGCTGTTTGACACTCTTCCGCCCATGCCGACGGTGCTAGCGCCTCCGCCACCGTCCCTCCCCGTGCGCGCCTCCTTGCCCCGGCGCGCGCAGAGCAAGAAGCAGCAGCAGCAGAAGCAGCAGAAGCAAGCATGGGGGGACTTCAGCCACTTCGCTCAGGTGGTTGGCAAGGACGTGGAATTCATCAAGAGAGGAATCGACAACGGCGTTGCCTGGGTCAACCATACCTTCCGCATTCCCCAGGTCGCGAAGAAAATCGACGACGTCGTTTGGCTCCGCCATCTCGAAGACCCTCACTGTCCTCCCTTTCCCTCTCCTTCTTGGCCTCAACCTTGGTACCCAGGTTTGAGTCCACGTCCCTAATTCCATTTGAATTTCGCGCTTCTGACTCATCGAGTTACTGTAATTGACGTCTTCTATGACATTACGAGAAAATTCATATTGCAATCTTGTGAATTAAATTTCGTGAAGAGTATTGTGCTCGGCAATCAGAAATGTAGTTTGCGTGTTTACTGTGTTGATTTGTCTTCTGGTTGTGTTTCAGGACTAACTGGAGTGGATTTGCTCATGTCTGATCTCAAGGCTTTGGAAGCATATGCTTCTTACTTCTTTTATATGTCTAAGGTTTGGTCCAAGCCACTTCCAGAAGCTTATGATCCTCAGGATGTTGCTCAGTATTTCAGTGTTAGGCCACATGTGGTGACCTTTCGTGTTCTTGAGGTACATGTTTTTTTTTTTTTTTACTGTTTGAATAAGTTCGTGGGTTAAGTTGTGAAAACTTCCCTGCCTTGTAATTTCTCATAATGCTTGATTTATCGAGTTTTCCGTTTGGGTCGGGTAAAAGCATTTCTTTAAATATAGTAGCTTGCTTCCTGTATGGATAAAGTTATTGAATATGAACTTGCCTAGGGCTTAGAGCCCAGAACCTAGGCCCGATTATCTCGTGCAAGCAATAGTTGTTCCTTTGTTTTCTAGTTTCATAAGAATAATACAATACATAGAAGATGGTGCTTGCTTTTTTATTCTTTTTTTTTTTTAATCTTTTCATGAAACATTTGATCATCATTCACTTATTTGATTCAGCTCCTAATTGTAACGGATTATCTTTTAATGATAGGGGTATAAGTTTTTAAGTTAAAATTTTGGTACCATTATGTCAAGGATACATGTTGATTGATGAAGATGTGCTCTATGCTATATTTTGTGAATTTTTCAGTACTAGGACTGAATATCAATTGAGTATATAGAGGAAAATACCATTTCTAATGACTTTGTCAATACACGTCTCCTGAGCAACTTTTGTGATTAAATTAGGTATAGTCCATTCTCAATTCTAATGACATCAAGAGTCTATCCTAGCTGTCCATTCTCAATTCTAATGACATCAGAATCTATCATAGCCATTATGCTGGTCACATGGAGATGTCCAATCAAACACTACAAGTTTCATGATCCAAATTCTAGCTCTTGGTGTGAAGTTTGTGTGCTCAAATCGCATTGATTGTGTATATAAGCAAAATACCCCTTGGACTTTGAAAATCCTTCCTCAGTGAACTAGCTTTTAGGTTAACTTAAACTTAATATGATTTCAATTCTATTTGTCATAATGGATCAATTTGCATTGGTGAGTTACATCCATTCATGCAACATCAATAACTTTTACTGAAATGTGCTTTTTATTGATCTAATCTTCAAATTATAAAATACATATTGCTTATATTATTTTTATCAAATCTTGTAAAATTGGACAACAATAAATAAGTAATAAAATAGTTCCGAATATCATATATTTTAAAAGTATGTATATTATATTATGTTATTTTTTTTCGTAGATGAATTAGATATCAAATATTTTTGGATTAATCTAAAATTTTGTGGATATGATCTTATAGGATAGAAACTTTAAACTCAATATATGAGTTTTCTATATATTCAGTAAAGAATTATTAAATGGTGCATGAGTGAGTGTAAGTGTTTAACACACTTTGGTGTAAACGAATTCATCCTAAATACACACATGTACATATTCTAATGGGTCTGAAATTGGTTTCAAGATGCATTCTTCTCTTTTTCTTGAAGTGTATCCTTAATCTGTTATATCTTATTTTTTTAAGGTACTTTTCTCCTTTGCCGCTGCTATGGTCAGTATTCGAACTTCAGGGTTTAAAAAGTTTCTACGGCTTGTTCCTGAAGAGGATGTGGATGATACATCATCTCAGTACAATTTTGGGATGGTGTTGAAGGAAACATTACTTAATCTTGGCCCAACCTTTATAAAAGGTGTGGAGTTTGATCTATTTGACATATTAATACGATTGTTAAAATAAATTCTTATCATAATTACATTATTGGGCTGTATATGAATTTTATATTTTCTATTTATTTTATTTTTTTGTGTTGGGGCTTTCATTTCTCTCATGCAGTCACAAGATTATCAATATCCTTGTTACATTCATTTGATTGCTGATGCAGTTGGTCAGTCCCTTTCCACAAGGCCAGATATCATTGGTGTTGAGATGTCCAAGGTTAGATTGAAAACTCCATTCTATCATGATTATAATTCTACTAACATTTTGAATGATTGGATTGACAATATGTGTATATATTTCAACTTTGTTCTTCTTGCAGGCATTGTCAGAATTGCATGATCAAATCCCTCCTTTTCCGAGGAATGTTGCTATGAAGATTATGGAGGAAGAATTTGGTTGTCCTCTGGAAACATTCTTTAGTTACATTTCCGAGGAGCCTATAGCTGCTGCATCATTTGGTCAGGTACTTTTTCCTTTGATATGTGGATGCCATTTATAATTTAATGTTATTTATGAGAGTTTGGTTACAATTTTATTTTGAAGAGTTGATGTGATGGTATACGTCTTATTTATTTGTCTATTCTCTAGGTTTACTTTGCCCGTACTACCGATGGCAATAATGTTGCTGTAAAAGTTCAGCGTCCTCATTTGCATCATGTGGTGGTGCGGGATATCTACATCCTTCGCCTTGGGGTTTGTATTAACTACTAATCTCTAGTGGCATTTTAATTTTTACCTGTATTAATATATTCTGCTTTAAATTCTCGAATAACTGTTTATATTATCCATTTTAGTTGGGGCTGCTGCAAAAGATTGCCAAGAGAAAGAGTGACCCTCGCCTCTATGCTGATGAACTAGGGAAAGGTTTTGTTGGTGAATTGGATTACAAATTAGAGGCTGCAAATGCTTCAAAATTTCAGGTAATAAATAAATGGCATATCAATTGAAGCTTTAACGAAATCTTTTATTTGATTTTAACTTTTAAAATGGAGGTAGGTTGAATTGGTTTGAAAAAAATCACTTAACAATGGTAAATCTCTTTGCTCTTTGAATTGACATGTTATTGCTAAATGCAGGAAGTTCACTCTTCCTTTACTTTCATGCATGTGCCAAAAGTATATCAACATTTAACTCGAAAAAGAGTTCTGACCATGGAGTGGATGGTTGGTGAAAGTCCAACAGTTTTGCTCTCTCTGACTGCTGGATCTGTTGGAAATGTCTCTGAATATTCAGAAAAACAGAAATTAGATGCAAAAAGGCGTCTTCTTGATCTGGTTTGTGAACAAAAATGCTATTATGCATTTGTCTTCTTCACATTGTACAAATATATTGTATATCATCGATGTTAAATAATACTGTGACTATTAGCTTTTGGTAGAAACCAATTGAACTATTGAAGATAATCAATATTTTGCTATTAGAATTACATGTATGAGAAAAAAGGAAACTTTTGGCCTTAAGATACTTTATAGTTTTGATTATAAAAGTAAATAATGCTCGGGATTGAGGTGGTAGTGGTTAAATTTCTTCATCAATCTTTTGTTACCTTGTTTGATCAATATTACTCATCTGAAAATTTTCATCAATTAAAAATGACTGATTCTATTAAAATCTTGCTGTTTGATGTCTGAGACTGAGTGTTTCACTATATTGAAATAATCACATTCAGTTATTCTTTTACATATTGATTAATTCAGCTCAACAAAGGTGTTGAGGCAACACTGGTGCAACTTCTTGAAACAGGCTTATTACATGCCGATCCACATCCCGGTAACTTGCGTTATACTTCATCAGGACAAATAGGGTATTTTTTTTGCCTTGCCTAACCTACCCATTCTGAATAAATTATGGTTTACCTTCATAACAATAATCTAATAGGATTTTTCTTACTTCTTTGTACATGATAGGTTTCTGGATTTCGGTTTGCTCTGTCAAATGGAAAAGAGGCATCAGTTTGCTATGCTGGCTTCAATAATTCATATAGTAAATGGTGACTGGGCATCCCTTGTCCGAGCTCTGATTGATATGGATGTTGTAAGGCCTGGGACAAATATCCGACTTGTTACCCTGGTATAGCACTTGTATCTCAGGATTTAATTATTTTGCCATTAAATATTTAAACCAAATAAGAACGTTATTCTCATATATCCAGTTTTTTGTTAATCTGAAACTTATGTTTACCCAATGGCTTTCTGAATTTATATTTAACTTTCAGGAACTGGAGCAAGCCTTGGGAGAAGTAGAGTTTAAAGAAGGAATTCCTGATGTGAAGTTCAGCAGGGTGAGCCATATCTAAGAAGAATAGTAATTGAACTATCTGTGTCAGACAGCTGTGTAAACTAAGTGATTGTCCATACATACTGTCAAGAACAATGGAAATAATAGGATTCCTTACTACTTTTGGATTAAACTTGACTAAAATAGAATGCATCATCCACTATTTGAAGCTAACCATAACTGAAAAGAAAATTACACTTTCAAAACTAAATCGATTATGAGTAAAATTCAATATCTGAAACAAACCATGTATTTATGTGTATTACATGCGTTATTGGATATGACACACATAAAGTTAATCATGTTCTCTCATCAATAATGATAATTAGACAGATGATTTACTTTATATGTGGTTTATTGGAACAGAAATGATGTTATGTGAAATTCAAGTCATATAAAATTAACTATTTCGTGTTCTTTACATTGAGAATCAAGAGTTCTAAATCTAGTTCCAACCTAGGAATAAACACTATCAAGCTCCATTGGATTGCATGCATACTATAGAGGGTGTTTATACTCTATAGTGTATTGTTTGATAAAGTTTAAAACTTTTAGTTTTCTTGCTTTAAACTAGTGGAATACTTTAAAGTACTGTTTGGACTTGTTTGCTTAAAATTGAAGCCATTCTTTTTTGTTTCATGATTCTGGATTTGATATATTAAAATAACAGAAGATATCATTTGTATATGGTGTCATATTCATATACTATATTTTCAAATATGAACACGTGTTAATAGTTGGTTTTCAATCAATGTTCCTCAAGGTTCTGGGAAAGATTTGGACTGTAGCACTCAAATATCATTTCCGTATGCCTCCATATTATACACTTGTCTTGCGGTCACTGGCTTCCTTTGAAGGTAAACTTTCAATACAACGTCACATTACTTTTTGGTTTCTCATATATGGCCATGCTGATAAGTTCTGATCTATTCCTTATGTGTCATCAATATGTAGTAATTTGAAATATTTGTATTTGTCTTGAACCTACAATCTCAAAAGCTTAAGTTAGGTGAAGCCACATGAATGTATTTTATACTATATTTCTAACACACCCTGTAAGAGTCTTTTGCGCCTGAAATGTGGATAATGCACAGTTCAAATACCTTGTGCTAAAATTCAACTTTTTATTAGAAGGATGGGAGCAACAAGGATCAACTCTAAACCAATTGATCAGAGACTTTGATACCCTGTTATGAAAAAACATTTCCAAAAAATTAAGTACGTAAAGAGTGAAGACACACACACGAATGGTTCTGTACTATAATTCTACCCATGTTGAATATATAATTATAATATTCTTTCTAAATTATCTTTTAATTTGTACAATTTCAGGTTTGGCTATAGCTGCAGATGCAAATTTCAAGACTTTTGAAGCTGCATATCCTTATGTTGTTCGAAAACTTCTCACAGAGAACTCTTCTGCAACAAGGAATATACTGCACTCGGTATTATAACACCTTGAACAATGAGTTTTATGCCAATAATCCAAAGAAATATAACATAAAACAGCTCATTACGTGTTAGTTTTATTTACTGACGTTAAAGCTTAAGAATATATTCTAAGCACTTATATTGGAGAAAAATGAGAAGAAATTTTAATATGTTTTTATATAATGGTCCTGTTCAAACTTTAGCCACACATGATGTCTTTTTTTTTTTTTTATCATGTATCGTCAAACCAATCATCATTGTTTTGCATATTCATCTATGTGAACTACTAGGCATCATTTCTGTCATTCTAATGGCCATTACAAATGTGTATTCAATGAAGTTTCTTTGTAATATATCCTAGACACTATTCATTGTTTTTCCTAAACTCGTTTTTCAACTATTAAGGTGCTTCTAAACCGAAGGAAGGAGTTCCAGTGGCAAAGGCTTTCCCTGTTCTTGAGGGTTGGGGCAACTAGGTATGTCAAAATGACATGCCAGGGAGTATATGCTCTCTGGGAAGTAGCTCTGTTTTTATTGTAATCTGCTATATTTTATATATACTTTTATTAGCTTAGTTTCTGACCTAATATTTATCTTTTTCCTAGGATCTATTGACTTTGTATTTTCAGTTTCATCTACAAACCTAGTAGTAAACAGCAAGGCCCTCTTTGATTGAAAAGATTAAAACTAAAAATGCCAGTTATTATCTAATTCAAATTAAACACGTGGTGGTCTGCATCTGAAGCTCTTTTATGATCCCTCTTAGAAATTTACACAAGAACTGCTTGATGCTATTAGTGATTTTGATCTAATATTCTCCTACCTATTCTTTTATGCCATTATATCATGCAAAATAACCATTCAAATTGGTTATTTTTCCTTGATGGTAAATATTATACATGAGTTTAATATTTGGAACTATCCCAGAATTTCTCCAGGTCTGCTAACCAATTTCTTTGGCTCGGCCTACACTTTTGTCAAAATATCTTCATGCAAAAGACATAGCTTAGGCTGGCCTGTTGTAGTTAATCCATCACTCAATAAATTGTTGTGTTTTTCACTGCAGTGGATGTAGCATCTCATACTTTGTTTTCTTGTCAGGAAAGCCTTGCGACTAGTAGCATCAAATAGTGAGACTTCCGTTGATCACTTATCAAATAAGGTCACTGATACAATTGACGTTGCGTATTTGGTTTTGAGGATTTTACCATCCAAAGATGGAGTTGCTATCAGAAGACTTCTGATGACTGCTGTGAGTTCCTATAAGCCTTCTATCTTGTTTCTTTTGTCTGCTTCAAGATTCTGTCACCATTCCTATTTTAGTCGTCTATGTTGACTGTTTGTTATGTTTGAGCGCTTATTCATAAATAGCAATAGATACAATTAGGTATATGGATATAAGGCTGGGCAATAAATCCAATTAGCTAAGTACAGTCCATAATTATTCCCCAGACTACTTCAAATCTATTTTAATGGAATAAATTTAATATCCGAATCTATTGTTAGGATTTAATTGGATATGGATTATTAGAATGCAATAAACAAGATTGGATAAGAATCCATGAACTCTCTTGTGGGATGGCTTTGGTTTTTAGATACGTATATGGATTATAGTTTAGGCTGGGCAAAAATCCAATTAGCTAAGTCCAGTCCATGATTACTCCATTCCATACTACTACAAATCTATTTTAATGGAATAGATTTAATATCCAAATCTGTTGTTAGGATTTAATTGGATATGGATTCATATTGGAACGCAATAAACAAGATTGGATAAGAATCCGTCATCTAAATTTTGACAGGTTATCCAATTGGTCACTCACTGTAGTTCCCAACTTCTTAACCATTTTTCTACATTTTTTTAATAAATATGATGTATGGTTTCGATAATTCAATAATTGGACATAAATTTTATTATATAATAAGAATATATTTTAAATTTTAAATCCTTAACTCGGTCTCTATACGAGCATCGTTGGTCATTACATGAAAAATTGGTCTTGTTTATCACATAGATTATTTATTTTCTAAAGACTAATATTAGAAGGAATAAGAAATTTTGGACAAGATTAATATGGACAGGACAGACATATAGAGGTAGAGCATAATACAGTAAGAAAATGACATTATTGCCGCAAAATCAAAAAAATGAGGAAATTTAAAAATAATTAAGTAGTGAGGAAAAGTAACACAAAGGAAAATTAAAAAAAAAAAGGAAAAAGTTTCCATTAGAATCATATAACATTTTTATCCTCTTGTTGAACTATTGTGTTATTAGTTATTATATAGTATCACTCCCTCCTAAAATTAACAATTTAATCTTGAAAAATATCTTAATTATTTAATAAAAAAGATTTAACAACTAAATTTATTCAAATAAAACTTAATTTAAATTTATCAGATATAATATCTTTGATTTTTGTGCCAATGTTATCAAAATTAAATGATTAAATAGATATAGATTTAATCTAGTTTAAATCTAAATTAAATTATAAAAATCCAAATCAATTTGATCTAATTAAATGGATTTGAATTTCAAATTCAATCTATTTTATTGGATCTAAATTGGATATGGATTAATTCACTCCACTTGCACCCCTAATAGTTGTAATTCCAGTTTATTGCCATTGTACACAACTGACCAGGTTGCCCAAGCTTCTGGTGAATTCATTGTCAAAAACTTTTCGTTGTGCAAATAAACATTTTATTATGGGTATATATATTATATTGAGTCTTGCGCTATTTGTTTGAGGGTTTGATTACTGCAGTATATTATTATTGAGCAGGGAATTGAATATTCCTGTGCTGGAAGATTTTGGTAGGCTGAAATAGTTAATGTATGAAACTTACTTTCCATGGAATGGACAGGATGGAGCTTCACTAATCAAAACAGTGGTCTCAAAGGAGGGAAAGTCTTTTCGCCAACAACTCTGCAAGATCATAGTTGACATAGTTTACCAATGGATGATTAAATTATTTGGGCAAGGAATTACAGTTACTCAGTATTCCCGGGTAATATTGGCTAATGGACCTAGCAACAAAGAATCAGGTCTATTCCCTAGATCATCTTTGCCTACAGATGATTACAATATCATCTTTAGAGACAGGCGACTTCGGGTGATATTCTCTAAGCTTCTAAAATCTGCAAGTAGGGATAAAATATTGATGCTGCGTTTTTTCTGGGCTTCCCTTCTTATAATGGTAACAGCTTCAACTTTGGCTTGCCACCGGCTTGTGGTGTCTCTGTCTGAAGCTTATTTGGGCAAAATATTTGATGCTCCTAAAAGATACGCAGTCAGTGCATGAAATTTTCTTTAAATGTTTAGTTTTCTCAGCAGAGAGAGTGCATTCGACGTAGCTAACAATTTTCCGAAAAAAGAAAAAAAAAAAAAAAAAAAAAGCAAAAGTGTGTAGCTGGTAGCAAAGCTATTGTCTTTGTAGCTTAAGTTGGGTATTTTAGGTTTGTAGCAAATTTGGTGTCAGGCGGGCAAATATAGGCATTACAATGTCTTTTAGTTACAGTTTTATACATGGGAAACTCTGTACGCTGTACTGATGCTGCTATGGATATCTATATGCCTGCCATACAAGTATGTAAAGTTTTTTATGTAAAAAGTGTTACAATTTTTAGAAAAACGAAAATGCCTTTTACCTACTAATTTTCTTTGTTCCAGTCTGTACATTGTCACAGGCACTTATTTGTGATTTTAGTTAGTTTATTGGTTTGCTAATCAGTAGTTATTGTAGTTAAGTCACTTTTTTTAGTTATATCACAAGTGAAGACTTGTCGGATCAATGATGATAGTGTGAGAAGGTTGATGCATCGAACTTTTTACTTGTATAATGTATATATAAAGCGCTGTAGTGGATATTTTTTTTAGAAGCTACCGGAAAAATAGTTGCATACAACATAAATTGTGTGCACCCACATCTGTCAATGATAAATTGACTTTGCCTCTTCCAAAAAAAAAAAAATTACAGGAAAAATTGCCTTTGATTCTCCAGCGAGATGGACAACTGTATTAGGTAACTACGATTTTTGCTTCATATAGAAAATTACTGGGAAAATTGCCTTTGTTTTAGAAGATCAATATGCATTTTATATTGAACCATCTCATCTCAACGTGATTACTACATAATTGAATATCTAAAGTATGTAAATTACAATTTAATTATTAGTTTTGTTGATATAAAATAATATTATTGGGAGTAACTAATTTTTGCATTTCAGAAAATATAATTCAGAAGAGATATGGAGATAGGTGAGATAAAATATAACCTTGAATTTTTATAGAAGACGAGAATGTGTGTGAATATAGAAGAGTGTGTGAGAGAGATGCATTGTAAGCATGTGTTTGTGCTAAAATCCTTTAGAGGAAATAACTTTTATTTTTTAATAACTTTTTCTTGGATGCGCTAAAAATTATTTTCATGAAGAATATATTATACGTATTATTGGGAGTGATAAAATTAATTTTTTTTTTTTGCATTTCAAAGAAATATGGACAGGCAGTGATGGTGTGAAATTTGTTGCAAAAAAGATAAATTTTCTTCTTCTCAAATGCGTTAAGAGTAAAATAAATTCTACCCTAAATTTATTAAACAAATAATTTGACATAAAGTTTTATTAGCAATCCTCAAACTCACGTTATGAGATCATGAATGGAAATCAAATTTGAGTTAAACTCCTTTAAAATTTAATTCTCAAAATTTTAGTTGAAGTAGACAATACGTGAGTTACAGAACAAAAACATATCATGACTTCATCCTAACGCATTGCAGAGGAGTGAGTGGGGCATGAAATGAAAGACGAACGCGGTTGTCCTAACTAAGTTAATGCAAGAGTTGGCGGTGAATGCAAGAGAAGAGAATGGAAGGAAAGTAAAGGATTTGTAGAAAATTTTGTTTGGAACATGGTAGAAAGATCAAGTAACATAGTCGCGCTTTACGTTGTGTTTCACACTGTCCAATCCAACAAACTCATAAATTACTGTAATAGTAGGAGGAGTGACACTAATTAATTATTAGGAGTTTTTACTTACTACATTTTACAATTACGTAATTATATAACCATAGTTGCAGTGAATTGAATGGAACAGAATCTCGTCGTCTTCTTCTTCAGATTCAAATCCAGTATTTGACCTCCATGAGAACGCCTCCGCTGTCGCAGTCGCGGGTATATCTCTCTTTCTCTGCCTTTCTTTGTTTCTGTTTTTTATAAAAGAATTGAGAATGTACTGTTTGAATATTACCATTGCGACGAATGAGTGACAGGGTACGAGGTTGTTGGGTTTAGGGTTCACGCGCCTCATTGCTCTTCACATTGTCCTTCACCTCTTCCCTTCCGCCATCACCTACCTCGCCCTCATTCCAGCAAGGTATCTAACTATCTATCTATCAACATTATCTATTCACTTCACTCAGACACATTTCACTTTGTATCACTCTTCCTTATATTCGTTATGTTAAAAAGTACTTCTCTGAATTTTTAATGCACATTTCCAAATTCCAATGTACACAATGAAGAAGTAAGAAATTATTGTTTTGAAAGTAAAAATACTTTTGAGCTTTCAAACATGCTCATTATTTGCATTATCATGTCGAAGAATGTAGTTCATATCAAATACAAGTTTAGGCTATGTGTGGCTTTCCATCAGAGTTGCTCTATACTCAGTTCCATGACATGTTTGGTTATTATTCTCAAAAGCAGGTTTTCACGTTAAATTTTGTCCTGAAACTCAATTTTGTAGAAGTAAAGTATAATATTACTTTTGCAATCTGAGTTTGCAAACCAACTTAGGTTTGCAAAACATACATCTATTCGGCTTGAAACTTATTTTTCTATTGGTTTCATTTTGCGGGACTATTCCATTGCCTGGAACTTCGCTACATCTGGTTACCTTGAACAATGATGGGGTATGTTACATATGCACTTACTCTTCCCTCAAATTATGTTTCTCTTGCTTTAACCAAAATTTTACAATTAAGATTTGTTTTAATTCACTTTTTATAAGTAGTGATCAGCACAATTGGTGTTCTCTTCATTGGGAAGCTTCTCGTACCAGTATGGGGTCCCAGGGAATTTCTAAAGTTCATCTTTCTAGTTAACTTTCTAACTTCTCTCTGCATTTTCATCACTGCTATTGCTTTGTATTACATTACAAGGATGGAACATTACCTGTAAGTTGCTGATGTTATTCTCTAACTAATTTTGTATCTTGTTCATTAGATTTCCCTCTTTCGCATTGCACTGCACTTGGACTCTCCATTCTTCTGTTAGGAGATCAATGGATTCCCAGTTAAATCTTGGTTACTCAGTCTCTTTTGGTTTCAAATTAGAAAACATTTTTTATTCGGTATTTATTATGCTGAACATTAAAAGTATTGAATATTTGAACTAGAACAAACGTTCCTCACGTCATGAACTTACTTTTATTCTATGCTGTTATTTGTTCAATTGTATTACATATCATCGGTCCAATTCTTCCGATCTGTATAAATCTTGCATTGTTCTAGTTATATACCATTCTCTGGATTTCATGGAGTTATATCTGGCTTATTGGTTAGCATCAAACAAATTATACCAGATCAAGAGTTTCCTTTCATCAAGATAAAAGTGAAGGTTTGTTCTAATTTAATTTTAATTTTAATTCATTACTTTTCATTGACAATGGGTATGGGTTTATGGTGATCCTCTTAATATGGCACTAGCACCACTTCCATTTCTGTTCAGTGGTTACCATCTATCACTTTATTGTGTGCTATTGCTACGAGCATCTGAACACTATAGGCAACATCATATCTTCCCACTGTTTGTATTTGGTACATATATGAGCTGGATTTACCACAGATTCTGGCAGAGAAAACCAGAAACGAAACTGAAAGGTGACCCAAGTGAGGATTTTACATTTTCTACATTTTTTCCAGATTTTTTGAGTTAAGTTATGGTTTGCCTGCGAAATATTATGATGAATTGAACCCTCTTATAACCTTTTTAAACAACTTGTATTATTTTTTATTTTTCCTGCCTTTCAGACCGGTTATAGACCCTATTGCATCAATATTTCATCGAATTTGCTGTTGTGGAAGATCAGATGCTTCTAATGATGCTCGAGGTTACACTCTCGGTGACGAACCTTTGCCAGGTTGTGACCCCATTGAGGCATTTAGGAGACGGCAATTTCATATCACTGTGCTTTAGCTTTAACTCACCCTACCCTGCATTATATTACAAATTATTACAGTGAAGCAATGCATAACATAACATCTGCATAAATAGACAATACAAGACTATAATGGATTGTTCAGTGCTAACTAATTCTGCTAAAAGAAATTAGAAAAAGTTGTTGACAAATGACTTTTTGCTTTGTTTCTTCTTTAATTTTGGATTTTATTTGATAATCCAATAGCAATTTCCTTTGTTGAAGCAATTACATTGCTTAAAACAACTCACAGTTGCTCTTTTCTTCCAGAGGAAGAGGTGCACTGGAAGAGAGACTGGCTGCAGAGAGGTTGGCTGGTGCACGAAGTGCAGGGGAGGTACTAACAGATGCTACAGAAAATGTGTAATTTCATAGCTTTTGTAAATTTATTTAAGTTAGGCCAATGTGAAACTGTAATGGTTGAAATTTCACAAGTGGTACAGTAATGAGAAAATTTGTATCTGTCTTCGTAGAAGATTTTAATGTGCGTTCTGTCTTCAAACCATGATCCTTATGAAACTAATATTGGTTTATTTTCCTTGTGTTACATTGAACTATACACTATGTAGTTTCCCAGTTGGAATCCAAACTTGATTGTGCAGCTGCATGGAAGTTTGTCGACCTAAATCTTGAATGTAAAGATCTAGCTGTCCTCGGTTTTAATAATTTGAAGAATAGTTATTCAAAGAGTAATTTCAAGAACAAAATAAACATGTTTTGGATAAACCTAATTAACTGTCGTATTGGACATGACATGTACCTAATTAACTGTCGTATTGGACATGACATGTACGTAATTAACTGTCGTATTAGACATGACATTTATCTAATTAATTGTCGCTTTCCCGACCTGCAATGCCTTGGTACATAACCCAAAATGGGACGTATTTACATCCAGTCAGCTCAGCTGTTTCCGAACACTTCAAAACTCAATTAAGGGACCAAACAACGTCCTCCTTAGTCCTTATTAAAGTTCTTAAATTTTGGTACACTATACACATTTTTTTGGTCTGTCACAGGGATTTTTTTAATTCGTTGAATCAAGGACTAATTTCGCTAATGGTAACGTAAATGTTACTAATCCGACATTTTTATTTTACATACAGCAGATATATGTTCTGTTAAAAAATCTTACTACATTGAACACAATTTTACTAAATAAATCTTTTTCACATAAGTAAAACAACAAATGTTTAATCATTAAGTTAATCTATTGGATTTAATAAACATAAAAGTTGTAGCATTTGTAGGGTGCAGAAACTAGTCACTGTTAAACTAGTGCACTCCTGATTGCCCAAAGGTTAATCATTGCCAAAAAGAAGGATGCTTCTGTCTATTTCTTGTTACTTGTGTTGATAAAAAGACTAGGGAATGTCAAATAGGTAGACAATCCATCTTTTTCAAACATCATCCTGCAACTCCTTTTTAATAATAAAATAATTATAAACATCAAAGTTTGAGTTTTTATTATTATTATTATTATTATTATTATTATTATTATTATTATTATTATTATTATTATTATTATTATTATTATTATTATTATTATTATTATTATATTAAAACAGTTGTTGAATTTTTGTTTTTTTTTAAGGATTGTTTATCTATCATTTTCCAAGTCAAAATATGCTTGGTAAGCATGTCCTGATACCGTGTTACCTCTGTTAAAAGAAAAGTGAATGCCAAGAATATTCATGAACTGATAGCTTGAAGACTAATATTTTCAGAGCCTTAAGATTACCCTAGTTGGTCTGAAAAATGCTGTTTAAAGAAGATTGACAGTATCCAACAAACATGATAAGTAAAATCCCTCAATGCAAAATGGGGCAATGCACTTGAGTACTTGCTTGAGTACTTTCAAGGGATTATTCCAACTATCAAAGATGTCAAAATCTTACCAAGAAAGAAACCATAATTATAAACTTTACGTTTGTCTCAATTAAATAATTTATTAATAAATGTTGAAGCACTTAAGTCCAGATAGTAAAGAATCCAGAGATAAACCCCTGCATCTTCGAAGTAGATATTAGATAACATCAATTTACAGTTGTCAGAATTGTACCCCCAGGAATAAATATTATCACAGATGTCATTGGATCATGTGACTTTTTGGCAATTTGGACTTTAACTACTTTTTTACATAATGTTATTAAAAGATTTTCAAAGGACTTCAGAACTCTTGTAGTTTCAGGATACGCAAATTAACAAAAAAAGCACAAAAAATATACTTTCATAAGATGCAAACTTTTTCTTCAGGCAAACACTTTCGATAATGGTGTGGAAACTAATTAATCTCGCCTCGCGTTGGAATTGTATCAATCAGCTTTCAAGAGCTTCTCCAGCAAAAAACTGTTTGTGAACCATTCTCCTGTAATCTGCAAGGCATATTCCATGCATAGCCCCAATTAAAATATGCATCCTACAAAAATCTCCAGAACTCTTCACTACAAGAGCATTATTGAATAAGGATACATATAAGTTGTGACTTGGAAGTTAAGAAAATCCAAGAACCTTTCGTCTAGGAATGCAGCAATTGAAGTGGAAATCAAATGAAAAAACTAGGGAGCGTTTAAAAAATATTTTCCAAACCTTCCTTATCATTCCAAAGTGTTGCAGCATAACTGTTTAGAGGACTCTCCAAGTTAGGCTCTGTTATTAGAAAGTAAATTACTCAGACAAGCACGTAAAGGTGAATAAAAACAAAAAAAAATATCAAGACCAGACCTTCCAATAAACTTTGAATAGACAGAAGAATAGTTCTGCAATCATAAGCTGAAGACCACTTGTCCTGTAGAAACACACAAGTAGGACTGTTATTAGCTCCAAGAGAATGTGGTTGATGGATGGAACATTTGGTGCAGATTGATGCAACAAAAACCGAAATTTCATCTACTTGGCATCCATATTAAAATTAAATGGTAGAGCCAAACCCACCAAATCACAAATAGTGAAAAATTTGGCTTTAATACTCTAAGTTCATGAATACCTGAAGGATGTCCAGACAAATGTTGCCAAACTGGTCAACATTTGGATGAAAGCACATTGTCTCAAACTTCACTTGTGGGGGCTTAAAAGGGTAGTCCAGGGGAAAACGTAAGGACAGTTTATAAGATAAACCCTCGTACAGAGTTCCTTTTCCACCTTCAATTGTGCCAATCCATGTAAAAATACTCTCACCATCAGGAAAAGCCGAGACTCCAAGATCTCCTCCACTCATCTTCAGTAAAAGTCATTTTCAACATTTCATAGTGTTAGTGGCTCTGAGAACAAAATAACAAATTATAATAGCATAAAAAGGAAAGTGTATGTTACACCTTAGTTTCTTAAAAATCATCTGATATCCCAACAGAATTAATTTACACCCTTATATAGATGCTGATTTAAAAGAGTACATAAATAAATAAATAAATAAATAAAACATGCTTCACAAAATAAAGCTGTTCAGTTTTTCAAAATAAACCATCATACTTTCTTTGATTCATAAAATAAAACTCTTCACCTGGACCAAAAAATAGAATGAAAACGATCATGAATTTCTAGATGTTCCTTAAGAATTCAACTTTCTAAATCAGAACTGATTATACAAAAACGTATTAAGAGATATAGGAGAGTTCAAGAGAAAAGGTCCATAATAATAATCATCATCATAACTAAAGTAAAATGAGATATACCATGAGAGCCATTAATTCCTTCTGGAGTCTGCAATTACATGAAAACAACACCATCAAAACAACTCCAAAACCCAATATCAAAATTTAAAAAGAAATATCTAAAAACTAAATAACTAATCGAACATCGTATTTAGGATCAAAAATTTCGAACTAAAACTTGCTCGCCCGGAAGAAACCGAAACCTGATTACGCAAAAAGTAATAGAAATTAAAAAAAAAAATCATTTTTCACTTTTATTCCTACATGGGTAAAAGGTTCAAATTTTCGAAAGATTCCATTTGTCGAATCAAACAGAAAAGAAGAAAGATTTCAAATTTCACTCACCTCTGAGAAACGGCCGAGGAATCGACGGGGTGAGGAGACGGCAGCGGCTGCTTCGACGGAACGGCGGGCGGTCGATGGTGGTCGGAGGAGTTATCGGAGGCGGGGTTGGAATGAACCTCCATGAGTGGCGATCAAGCTGAACACGGCGGCCCAATCTGCTGAACGGCTGAGATTTATCAATCAACGGTAGAGAAACAGAAAGAAAAACAATTTTGCGGGAAAATGATGTGTGGAAGGAACAAAAATAGATGGAACTTTTGAGTTTGCAGATTCTGGTGTATGCAGCCACTGCTTATTGTTATTCTATTGCTTCTCTTCCAAAGACTGTTTCATTATCTTTCCCATTTTCACAATTATTTATCACTCTGATTTTAAGTGATCATGCTTTCCACCAATCAACATCTATGGTTTAACCCAAACAAAAATTAGAGTGGTCTTTAGAATAATAAATTTTAATTTAACTTAAATGTAAGATACTATAATGATTTTTTGTTTCAATAGATTGTTAACTTTTATAACGATACTTTAAAAATATACTTGAAACGATTATTATTAGTAGTAGAAAAGAAAGTACCATAATTTATTCATCTTCCGTGAACAAGTTGACTCATCAGTTTATATAAATGAATAAAATAATTTCTGCATATAGTTTTTATGAATAAGTGCAAATTAAATTATTTTATAAGTAGAATTGTTGAAGATATCTTTACCGTCAACCTTTTGGGCCAAAAAAACTCAACTTTTATATTTGTTTTTGCTGTTTTTTTTTCTGTATCTCAATTTTTTTTTAAATCTTTATATTTATTTAAAAATAATAATATTGTTATTCATGTAAATAGGGTCTGGAAAGTTCATATTAATTTTTTTGTATTGACCTATCGTAAGTTTTTCAGAAACGCGACAAACTTTTTAAAAGTCAATCTAAAAAATGGATTAAAAGCATTTTTAAAAAAGCTTCTGACAAGATTAATTTAAAAAAAATTCAGAATGAATTTTTTTAAAATTTCTAGAATTGACTTTTCAGTTGAAAAACTGATTCCAAATCATTTTTTAAAATTTTTGAAAAAATCAATCCAAACAAAATTCAAAAAAATCTCACCTTCTCGACTTTGCCACTTCCGCATGTATTTCTTTTACCATTCTCCAACATTTGTTTCATCATTTTCCTATTCGCCTCTGTGTCCTACATGCTTAACCACTTCCTTTAGTAACAATGTAGACAAAGACGGTGTTCCTACAATACGAAAGAATAAGCGGAAGTTAAAAATATAAAGTACATTTTTTGTCATTTAACAGGTAAAAAAAGAATGGGCCTTTTTCTTTTGCAACTTTTTTATTCTGAAGGCACATTACCCACGCTTTGAAAAACAAAAACTTCTCAAAAATTTATTTATAAATTTTCGAATTACAAATATCATTTAGTTTCATAAATTGATTTTAACTAAAAGCGAGTTTGAAGTAAAATTATTAATATTAAGAAAATTAGGTTAAAGCAAATGTGTTATAAATTCAATATAGTTTTCAATATAACAAAAAAAAAAAAAAAAAACATGCCTTTAGAAGTAAAATAATATTTACCTCAAAATTCAAATACTTAAATTGTATTATCCAAAATCTCGCTATCAGACCTTCAAAAAGTTGTCACTAGCCATTCAAACATATTGTGTATTTTATTTCAATTAACGTTTACTGTTTTCAAATAAAAATTAAGGAATAAAGTAATATTTTAGGCGTCATCAAAATTATTATGCAAATGCTTAATATATAATTTACTTTTTATATTAAGTGGATTCTCTCATCTATATTTTCTTTATATTTTATTATTTCATGATAAATAAATGATTAAGGATATGCTGAAAAAAATATTAATGTTTCCAAATGAACATTTTCATTCTCATTGTATGAGGAAGTAGTAATTTATTACCTATTGATACTGTTAGATATTGTTTATATATTATTTGATATTGTTAAGATATTGTTAGATATTGGTAACCACAATATCAAACAATATCTTCTCGTTTATTCTCGTTATTTTCGATTACTTCTTTTAGTTGTATATCTCTACTATAAATAGACTACCCTATGTGTGATTTATACACAAGGGAAATTAATTCCAAACCATATTTTCTCTATATTCAACATGGTATCAGAGCTTAAGGTTCTCTTGAATTTTTTTTTTTTCCGCCTTTTGTCCACTGTTGGAGCCGCCCCACCGCTGCTAGAGCCTCCCCACCGCTGCTAAAGCCGCCCCACCGCTGCTGGTAAACTGATCCTCCACATCAGAAAAGAATTATCTTTGTCATTGAATTTTATTTGGTAGTGTGAAAGTGCATGTTTAGGAAAGTTCGACAAGGAAAGACTTGGTATTTAAGTGTGTCCATTAGTGACCCACCTCTCTTTCCCGGGAACTTACCTAGTGTACTAGTTCACGTTACTCGTCACCGCTGCCGCTGGAGCGAGTCTCCGGTCCGTCGTCTGTCGGAGAATTCGCCGGAGTTTCATTTTTTTTTACCGGTGACATATGATTTTGCTTGTCTCGGTCGGGGTTTGTTCTCCCGCTCTTCATGACTTCTTCCACTATTTCCAATTTTGTTAACGATTCTTTTGTGTTGACATCCCATCGTGATGACCGGGCTCGCCCTCGCAAACAGGAAAAAGGGCGTCCTAAGTGTGAACATTGTGGCAAGCTAGGTCACAAGATTAACAAGTGTTATACATTACATGGTCGTCCTCCTCGGTCTGCTGTAGTTGTTCGGACCAATCTTTCCCCACCTTTATCCGTAGGGGATCTTCCTTCTTCGTTGCATCCGACATGTCTCGCTATGTTCAACAAATTTCTCGAATGGTATAAGGATCAACAGTCTTCTAGTTCCACTATATCCGTCACACATACAAATACATATTTTGCTGGTCCGACCCAATCATTTTCTCCTGGTCCTTGGGTTTTTGATTCAGGAGCCACTGATCATATTATCGGTAACAAATCTTTGTTCTCCTCTTTATCCTCTCCTAATCATTTACCTTCTATTACACTCGGCTGATGGCTCTAGAGTATCATCTCATGGTGTTGGAACGGTTAAACTTTTTCCTTCTTTAACCATTGATAATGTTCTTTATGTCCCTGGGTCTCCTTTTAACCTGTTGTCCATCGATCGTCTAACTCGTTCTCTTGATTGTGTTGTTACTTTTACCAACAATTCGGTGTGTTTACGGGACCGGAGTTCGAAACAGGTGATTGGCACAGGATGTGAGTCTCATGGTCTTTATTATCTCCGTCCCTCTACACATGTTAGTACAGTTATGGAGTCTCCTCTCTTCTTCATGCTCAGTTAGGTCATCCAAGTCTTGCCAAGTTACGAAACTTGTCCCTGCCTTGTCTAACTTATCTAGTTTGGCGTGTGAGTCATGTCAATTAGGCAAGCATAGTCGTACTTCCTTTCCTCGTAGTTTCACACGTGGTGCTTCGTCCCCTTTGCCGTGGTTCACTCGACATTTGGGGACCTAGCCGCGTTAAGTCTACTTTAGGTTTTCAATACTTTGTTACTTTCATTGATGATTATTCCGAGATGCACTTGGTTATTTTTGATGAAAAATCGTTCGAATTATTTCATATCTTTCAAACTTTTTTTAATGAAATTCAAACTCGGTTCGGTGTTTCTATTAGAGTTTTGCGTAGTGATAATGGCCGTGAATATCTTTCTCATTCTTTTAAACAATTCATGGCTTCTCACGGTATTTTGCATCAAACTTCTTGTGCTTATACACCTCAACAAAATGGTGTAGCTGAACGTAAAAATAGACATCTTATTGAAACAACTCGCACACTTTTAATTCATGGAGATGTTCCTCGACATTTTTGGGGTGATGCTCTTCTTACTGCATGTTATCTCATTAATCGCATGCCTTCTTCGGTTTTAGATAATAAAATACCTCATTCCATTTTATTCCCTCATGAACCACTTCATCCTTTACCTCCGAAAGTTTTCGAGTCTACATGTTTTGTTCATAATTTTAGTTCGAGTGCTGGACAAGCTTTCTCCTAGATCACATAAATGTGTTTTCTTAGGGTTTACAAGATCACAAAAAGGATACAAATGTTTTTCTCCTTCTCTTAACCGTTATTTTGTGTCAAAAGATGTCACCTTTGATGAGTTGTCTCTTTATTTTAAAAGTCAAACTTCACCTCTCGTCTCCATCCAATCTTGTCAACACTCCTAATACATTTAATGTTCCCGTTGTTTGTGACCCTCTAATTGTGTCTTCTTCACCATTAGTTCCTGCTCCGCATGATTAGCTTCTTCTCCACTGCCTCTTCAGATTTATAGTTCTCGAAACCAATCACAACCACCACCATGTGACTCTACTCAAGTGCCAACTACTCTGTCTCCTCCGGATCGACACATGAGTCCGACCTTCCCATTGCCCTCCGAAAAGGTATTCGTTCTACACGTAATTCCTCTCCCCATTATATTGCTTTGAGTTATCATCGACTGTCATTACCTTTTTATACATGTCTTTCCTCTATTTCTTCCGTGACCATTCCAAAAGCTGTCTGTGAAGCTTTAGCCCATCCTGGTTGGCGTCAGGCCATGTTAGATGAACTAAGTGCTCTTCATAATAGTGGAACTTGGGAATTGGTCCGGTTACCGTCTGGGAAATCTGTTGTTGGTTGCAGGTGGGTGTTTGCTATCAAAGTTGGACTCGATGGTACTATTGATCGCCTCAAAGCTCGTCTTGTGGCCAAAGGTTATACTCAAATTTTTGGGTTGGATTATGGAGATACCTTTTCCCCTGTGGCAAAGATGGCTTCGTTCGTTTATTTATCGCCATGGCTGCTCTTCAACAATGGCCTCTTTATCAACTCGGATGTTAAAAATGCTTTCCTTAATGGTGATTTGCAAGAAGAAATATATATGGAGCAACCTCCTGGGTTTGTTGCTCGTGGGAGTCTTCCGGGATGGTATGTCGTCTTCGCAAATCCCTATATGGCCTAAAACAGTCTCCTAGGGCTTGGTTTGGAAAGTTTAGCAAGGTTGTTCAACAATTTGGTATGACTCGGTGTGAATCAGATCATTCTGTCTTTTATCGACACTCGAGTGCTTGGATGTGTTTACTTGATAGTATATGTTGATGATATTGTTCTTACAGGTAGTGACAACCATGGCATCTCTCAGTTGAAACAACATCTTTGTCACCATTTTCGGACCAAAGATCTTGGCAAACTTAGATATTTCTTGGGTATTGAGGTAGCACAGTCCAATGATGGTATTGTTATATCTCGGAGGAAGTATGCCATAGATATTTTGGAGGAAACTGGGTTGATGAGTTCAAAGTATGTTGATACACCCATGGATCCCAATACTAAACTTCTACCAAATCGGGGGAGCCTATATCTGATCCCGAGCAAGTATAGAAGATTGGTTGGAAAATTGAATTATCTTACGGTTACTCGTCCCGATATTTCCTTTGCGATCGATGTGGTAAGTCAATTTCTTAATTCACCATGTGAAGATCATTGGAATGCAGTCATTCGTATCTTGAAGTATATTAAAGGATCTCCTGGAAAAGGATTGTTATATGCTTCTAATAACCATACAAGAGTTGTTTGCTACTCGGATGCCGATTGGGCAGGATCTCCTTCGGATAGAAGATCTACATCCGGATATTGTGTCTCCATTGGTGGTAACTTGATTTCATGGAAAAGTAAGAAACAAAGTGTTGTGGCAAGATCCGAGTGCGAAGCAGAATATAGAGCTATGGCCTCAGCTTCCTGTGAACTTGTTTGGCTCAAGCAATTGCTTAGAGAGTTACAATTTGGAGATGTCACTCAAATGACACTTGTGTGTGACAATCAGGCTGCTCTTCATATTAGTTCTAATCTCGTCTTTCATGAGAGGACCAAACACATTGAGATTGACTTGTCATTTTATTCGAGAAAAGATTATGTCTGGAGATATCAAGACTCGAGTTTGTTAACTCAAGTGATCAGTTAGCAGATATTTTTACTAAATCTTTACGGGGTCCTAGAATTGATTATATTTGTAACAAGCTTGGCACATACGATTTGTATGCTCCAACTTGAGGGGGAGTGTTAGATATTGTTTATATATTATTTGATATTGTTAAGATATTGTTAGATATTGGTAACCACAATATCAAACAATATCTTCTGTTTATTCTGTTACTTTCAGTTACTCTTTTAGTTGTATATCTCTACTATAAATAGACTACCCTATGTGTGATTTATACACAAGGGAAATTAATTCCAAACCATATTTTCTCTATATTCAACAGATACCGTCTACTTATGATTATATTAACAAAATTGCTTGAAAAATGTTGTTTATATCTAAAAAGTAGTATTGCAGAAATTATTTGAGTTTCGTGATACATTTGTTCATTTATATAAAATTTAAACTTTGGCAATGGCTAGTTTTTCATGTTGATCGATCCACCATTCTAATCATTTTAGAGATAGGAAAAAACATTTTATACTGACACGGTGAAAGTGAAACTCCATCTTATACCAGAGATGTAATCATGTAACAAATTATGTTTTCTGAAGAAAATTACTTCACTTTCATTTCAATCTTCAAAAGCATTGCTTCTCTTTTACTTACAACATATATGTGTTCGATATGTATTGAAGCTATAATACAAGGAAATGTTTCTAATACTCATCTAGTTACTGTCACGGTTGCGTCCCCTCCCAAATGAAAATTCAGATAAAGCAATGCTGATTTCATGTTGATCTCGAATAGGATCGAGTCCACTGGGAGGCAATTCTGCTGCTGGAGGCTGCATCTGCATGGTCTCTCCGTGATTATGATCTCTTGCATGGTGGCTTGGAGAATATGACCCTTCAACATCCCATTGATCATTTTCATAATTGTATGCCCTTGGAGAAACTACTGGACTATCACTGTGTCTAGGGTGTTTGTGAAGCAGATGCACTGGAGACATGCCATGTGTTGGGGTTCCTGGTCTGCTGGAGAATGGTGTGTTAGAAGCTGAATCCTTGTTGTGTTTTACATGGTTTTTAGCAGAGTGATGCCACTTTTTTAGTGCTGCTGCCACATTATCGTTGAAAATGGTGGGTTTCATGGTAGAACCCATCTAAATAATGCCAGAAAAAAAATAAAATGAAATAAGTTCCTACCTTTATGATGGTATTTATTTATTATATTGGAAAAAAAAAAAAACTTAATTTAATAATGTCCCTGTATCTTACCTGTGTGACTAGAGCATAAAGAGGCAAAGTCACATAGCTGCATAGAACTTGGGTGAGAACCCTGCAAAATGTTACTTTCTTATTAGGTTCCACACACAAGTATACTACTACTCCAAAATACAAGTCAAAAATATAATTATTTTTTCAAGTGTTGGTATGTTACATGCAGTTTTGGAAAATGAAGTGAACTTACCCCATTGTAAGTCTAATGACAACATCTGCAGTGGTTCGGTGAAAGCAAGAGTTTATTTTGAAACCATTGTCGTACTGTAACAGAAAAAAAATTATGCAAAGTTAGAAAAATATTATACCTTTTAAGCTATATGCTACACGATAGCTTTTTTTTTAGGCTATTGGATTTGTATTATTCGTACATTGACACTATTCTTAGGTCTTTTTCTCCTAACAATTTGAGGTTCCGGAAAGCTTTTTCTTGATTCCTAGTACTGATAGATTTCCATTCTATTTATTGCAAACAAATTCTTTTACTGTACACATTCAACAAGAAAGCATGGTCTAAGCAATCCTGCAACTTTTCTTCAATATTATATTTCTAAACAGCATGATCCAATGACACAATTTTTAGGAATTGTTGATCAAGATGAAATACTTACTGTGCTCCAAGCAAAAAACGCCAGTTGGAATGCGTTCTGCAGCATAAAATCAAGCACAAAAATTTTCAGTACACAAGAACTGGAATGCTTCAATTTGAAAGTCGGTTTAATCATAGGAAAATAATCAGAAAATTTACCTGAAAGAGAACAAGATGAATTAGAAAGAGAACGAGGCGAGGGCTATTGAACCAGAACAATTCATCTCCTGGCTCAACCACAGGTGCACCCTTGACCACTTCCCCCCTATCTTGAATCCTCAGTGCCATATCTGTTATAATCATTCGTAGCTTTGTTCCCACCAATAAGATTATCTGTATGATTCACATCAAACGTTATGACCAGTTCAATTGAAGAAAATGTAGACCGACAACAGAAGCAGAATGAGTGGTTTTTGCTTACAATTAGTGGGATAAACGGAAGCCAAAAATAAGAATACCACCCTGCCAATATAGAACAAAACTATCATTAATGAAACAAACTCTAATGTTTTTTATCTAGTCGAGTAAGCAATCAAGTTGTAGGTGCACCAGAGCATTCCAATTTTAACACTAAGAAAACATGAAGCTGTGCAAACATTGTGCATTAAAGTGGTGTTAATAATTCACGACCAAAACCACATTGATTAAACTTTTAGGAACATCAATGATGCATGACTTCATATGTCATATTAAAATTGGTTTCGAAGTTTGAACAGGGCTTACCATGAGCATTTGTGAGCAGAGTTAGCACTGCAAAAAACCATATAGTTGGACTGCAAGTACCGAAATGCATGGTTAAGCTTAAATTGGTAAGGTAAAAACCTAGTGGCAGAAAGGAGAGCAAAGCATCATTAAATGATATTTTTACCTTATGCCCACCACGACTACAAAATCCTCATCTAGTGTTCTCTTGATATAGTTGTGGAAGTCAAATTTTGCCTCGCTTGCTGGAGTCAAATGTGCCTAAAATTACATAGCTTAGTTTAATAGTGAAATTTTGTTGAGCAAACGATATCGAACTATAGAACAGATTTTGTAAATACAAACTTACCACGATGAAACCATGCCGTAGTGCCATATAGTCAACTTTATTAACTGATCCATAGAATTGTCTGAAGAAGCTAACCTGATTGAAGCAAAATACAAAGGTCTCATAAAATTTCTGTCACAAATAACAAACCATGTTCTTGAAATTCAGAATGTATCTAATTGCCTAGTTTCATCATCCTCAAATTTATCATTATGTATCATATTTGTGTACTCACTATCCATAGTAAAATCGGTGATCGACTCCACGAGTTCAAGTGCCTTCGTCCAAACGTTGTTTCCCTAGCAAACCTGAACCTCTCAGGATCTGCAATGCACATTTGCAAAATGCACAAATGAATATATATGTTGAAAAAAGAGTTTCAAAGAAACGTGGCTACCATTTCTTCTTAAATATATCTTCATGATGGTTTAAAACCTTTTCTTTTACATAGTAGACATATTTTACAAATAGAGTGAAGGAAACAAAGGTAAGAAATATTTATTATATTAACATAAAAAATCATTTATTACGAATACTTTTTAGTAATTAAAAACATTTAATAAGGTATATTAAATATATAGTATTTTCAAGGTTTTCATTAATAGGACCTTAACATAATTACGAGGCTATATTCTAATTTTATATTTGAATGTTTTTTAATCCATCTAAAGATATTTTCTATCAATCCCCTAAATAAATAAATTATTTATGTTTTTGAAAATATTAATTATATACAACAATTAAATTTTAATTTATATAAATCCCCTAAAGATGCAACAATTTTATCTTTCTTTTAAACATGACCTAATTATATTGAGATAAATTAAATTAATACCTCTTAAAAGGTTATTCAGTTTACAATAATCAATTTTTATATGGGTTACGATATTTTGGAAAAAAAATTAACATCCTTCATCGATCAACTTTTAAATTTTTATATTATTATTTATTTATTTATTTTATTCTCACTCTATTCATCATAAAAAAATATTTTAAGATTGTTTACAGACTATTTAAAAAAATTAAAATATTTTTGGACATTTAAAATTTGAAATTTAAATTTTACTAATTAGAATTCAAAGCAAGGAAAAAAATTGTGTTTATCCAATAGGTAGAAAATTCAACCACCACGCCATTAAGATTTTGGTGATATTTATTTATGATGTGACGTGTACCTTTTCACTCTAAAAGCAATAGTTATATACTATAATGTTTTTTTAATTCATTGAGATATTTTGTTTCAGATTTAACTCTCTGGAGTGCTACCTTGGTAAAACTGATGTTCAAGACTCTTTGTTTCGTCTTCCCACTTCCTCCATATTGACATCTGCGTACCACAAAAACAAAAACATGGTTTTGAGATGGCTGATGATATGTTATTTTTCAATTAAAATAAGTTATATAACAAAAGCTCACTGAATGAGTGTACCTTGGTCCTACCCAAAGTCAGTGTTATGATGCACTGTAAGATGTGAAATATATGGAGCTGGTGAATCCCATATTTAGACACAAACGCAACTTTACCCTGCAAAACACCAAAACAAAGTGAAACTTTGTAGAAAGAAAATACCCTCTGTTCATCTCTCCTTCTACTAATGCATGCAATGAAAGTTAAAAAGAAATAAAGAAAGATCAGGGAAGGTAGAAATACGTATATTAATTGTGCTTACCTTTTTTGCGCATTTGTCAAAATATCCTTCTGGATCTTTACTCTTATAATCGGGTTCACAAGGATGCCAAGTGGATGCAACGCTTTTTGCGATGCAGATACTAGTAATATCATCTTCAAACACCGCTAGGAGCAAGGATATGAATCCCAGCAGCATAAGCTCTGAACACAAACAATATATAGCTTTTCACTCAGACTCAACATAAGTATTATATATATATATATATAGAAGAAGTGAATTGATTAATCAGTACCTCCTTTAACCTTTTCCAGCGCTTCATGAAGTGTCTTTTTGTGTTTCTTTTTTAACCACTACAGTTAAAATAATCACACAGAAAGAGATCAGGGATAACAATATATAATATAAGCCTAATTTGCTTCCTCGTATTATACAGGCTTAATTAATTTACCTTTCCAAGTTCTTCAAGAATGTGTTCAATGAGGATTGAAATAGCAAGCATCACAAAGCACACAACTGCAATAGCCCATGTTGGAGTTGTCTCCAACTTCCTCTGTGGAACTTCTTCGGCCATTTTTTAGCCTCCACACTGATATATATATATATATAAATATTTCTCTGCAAGACTCAAGACAAGTTTTCTTTTTGTTTAGTTTAAAGAATACAGAAGATGGAGTCCGCAACCAATTTTTTTGGAGACTCAAGATTGGTGATGATAGAGGTTTGTGGAATTGGTTGTACTAGTGGTTTATAAGCTGCAACAAGATGGAGCGTGTTGAAGCATTATTTTCAAAGGAGGGAGACTTTGACTTATTCAGAACAGTAATCGGTCAAAAAAAGATAAGAGGAACTAAGGAGTCTTTATTAAACTGTTTGTTTATTCAGAAAATTAATTAAAGAATGAGGAAAAGTTGTGATTACTGATCATTAGTAACGAGGAATTAAAATAAAATATGCATCAAAATCTTATTCTCTAGATTCATTGCATTTCATACAAACTTGAAATTGCTCTAAATAGAAACAGTTGAGGTGTAGTCAATAATTGGAGCACATCTTGACTTTTCACCAAAATAAAATATTTTTTCTTACAAAAATTTGAAAAAGATGACCTAAAATTGTTGGGTGAGTATTGTGTCGAGGCAACACTTGATGGGTCCGTGAAAGCAACACTTTATAGGGTCTCCCTCCCTCTTGCAATAATAGTACACGTTATGTCTACATCACAATTTCTTATTCTAGATATTAGGCTTAGGTCCTATCTTAGTTGAAAATTATTATTATTAATTACTAAATTATAAGAAGTCTTTTTTTTTTTAATTTAGATCTTCTTTCACTGTGTTCTAAGTCAATAGAACACGTAGAAATAAAAAGAAACAGAGTAGAGAACATGAAAGTTTCCTGTAATAAAAATACAAATTGAGTATTTGAAAGATATTCGTTTAATTAAATTTTAAATTTAAAAATAAATAATATTTAAAATGTATTTTTATTATATTATTTTATATATATCATCAATGAAAACAGATAATTTGACTACTGTGATGAGTTCAAGTTTCTTAAATAAAGTCAAACATTCAGAACCTATGTGTATAAAAAAATATGATTAAGAGAAAAGATGGCACATGAGAATGTGTTTAGATTAATTAATTTTGATAACTAAGTGATCAGAAGAAGCTTTTAGAATGAAAAGTCAAATACAGTACACAGATCCTGGATTGTGGGATTACCGGATCCAACAAGGCATCAACTTTTCTCCACTCTACAACGCCGCCGAAATGATAAATCTAGCTTTAATAATTTTGATATATTATTATTATTATTATATCATTTAATTGTCAACAACAAAAGAAAATAATTAAATTTGAAAAATATAAAATAAAAACATATATATATATATATATATATATTAAATTAACATAAATGTTATAAAACTAATTTATATTTAATCACTGAATCTTATTTTAATTAGTATAAGATTTTCAACAGTTCTACCCCACTTCAGTTACTTACCTCTATGAAAGTCATGAACTATACAATGATGTTTATCTAATCAAAATTGTATGAGATAGGACCAAATTAATTGACAGATGGTACAAATGAGTGGTGTTTCTGTCTAAGACCAAGTCAGAGGACCAATGTCTGAATCATTCTCCCTCTCAAATTGGATAGATTAGTACCAACTTGCATGGTCAATGTCAGTTCACAGTTTTCTGCTTTTCAAAAACCATAAATGTTCCCAAGACCCACTTCTCCTATAACATATTTGGTACACCATAATATCTTTCAAATTCATTACTTCTTTTCACCTAAATAATAACACAGTTTCCCTCAACGATCACAGATTATGTCTATCTAAATCAAATTACAAACACCTAAGTTTTTTTCTTTGTCTACCATGGAGATTCTTCTTGTCATTCATAAATTATCTATCACAATATATCATTACCATACTTGTTTAATTTGTAAGAATAAGTATAATATTCCTTTCAACTGTTAATGATGTAAACTATCTACAAATTCTATTTAATATCTGATAGAATTTAATTTACAGAAAACACAACCATTTTGAAAAACTATTCAGAACTCAAAAAATAATTATATTTTTTATTATAAAATTAATTAGGTATCATTTTTCAATAGTTTTATTTTATAATGATATTATAAATTATTCAAATTATATATAATTGACATCTTAAATTTTGTTGATAAATACTTTATTAATTATTATTATTATTACTATTTATTTATTTATTGTATAGTCTTTATTCTCATTATTATGAATTTTACGGTATTTTCATGTGAAACTCACAAGTTAAATGCTGTCGGCAATGTAAATATTAAAAACATAAATTAGATAATAATTTTTATCCATCAATATATGATTAACAAAAATATCAATTTTTAGAACAAATTTATGAAAAATATGTCAAATTGGAAATTTTATTTGTAATTTTAAATCTTAAAAAATCAATATCTTTTTATAAAATATATTCTCTGTTATGTTTGATTTAATTATTATAAAAATAAAAAAAATGTTACATTAATGTTAATACTATGTGTTTAATAAATTTTCACCTCACTCCTTAATATTTGTTCAATCAAATCTCTAACAATCTTTTCATACCAATCCAAGATGACATGCTGACATAATTTTACAGTGAAGGAAAATCTGAGTTACTCTTTTCTATTTCAAAATTGACAAAACTTTCTGTCAACACCAACATATTTAAAAAATAAAAAATAATTTTACAAAAAAACTAATAAATAATAATTTAAAAATCATGAACTGTCATAATCATATTAAATTTGTGTACACTCAGACATAGGATTTGTACATGCATCTACAACCAAATGGAACAAAGATGATACAGAAGGTTGAAAGCAAATAACTAGGTTTTACCTAAGTTTCAACTTCAACTTATCCTAATAAATTCTTTTTTTTCTTCTCTATTCAATGTTACAAAACATATATCTTTTATTTTATTTACGAATCTATTATACATATCACTTATTTTAATTTATTTATTGAATGAAAATCTTGAAATAGAGACTTAATTTAAATGATTGGTAAACTATAAAGATTAAATGTGAACAAAGATTAAAAATATACCTAAATTAAAAATAAATTTAAGTCTTGTTATTTTAAAAAAATAGTAAAGTGACACTACTTGGGCCCTAGAATCGGATGCCTGTCCATTGGGCCAAATTTAACCATCGGGTCCATAAAAGTTTCCTTAATATCATTCCAATAAAGATATAACAAAGAAGAATTTTGGCCTTTTGGTTACTGACAAGACAAGTGATAGCACTCTTTACTTAACTTTTGTATTTAATTTGAATAGACTTGCTTAAATGGTTTCTAAATTGACTTTTTTTTTCAGATAATACTATTTTTATTTTTTTTTTTTAAAATAGCACATCTAGAACATTATTTACAAAAGTAACATTGTTTACTGATCATGTTTCTCTCGCTCAAGCGAGAAATGAATCGCTTAAACAAAAGTACCTGGAACTTAAGGGTTTTGTGGGGTTTAAATTCGCTCGAGCGAGACAACCTTCGCTTGAGCGAGGAGAGGTGAAACTAATAGGTAATCTCGAGTGTTTTTTCACTCAAACGATTGGGAATTTCGCTCAAGCGATCACCGATTGAAATATGTGGTGATCTAAGTTGCATTATGTGGCTAACTGCGTTGAACATTTAGCATGGGGTCAATTCTCGCTCAAGCGACGACTAATTTCGCTCGAGCGAGAAGTGATTGGCTAATTTAAACGCATGTGGGCAATTCTCACTCAAGTGAGGAACCCATCGCTTGAGCGAAAAAATTTATAATCGATTATAATTTAAACTAATCAATCATAATTTTAAAATAATCTAATATTTAAAATTATGACCGATTATATTTCTCTCGCTCAAGCGAGAAATCCATCGCTTGAGTGAGGAGACCCGAAACTAATGGGTAATATGTGGTCAATTCTCGCTCAAGTGATGGGTAATTTCGTTCGAGCGAGAACTGATTGAAATATGTGGTGACCCAAGTTGCATTATGTGGCTAACTGCGTTGAAGCTTTCGCCTGTGATCAATTCTCGCTCAAGCGATGACTAATTTCGCTTGAGCGAAAACTGATTGAATTTTGTGGTGACCGAAGTTGCATTATGTGGCTAATCATGGGTGAAGCTTTAGCTCTCGCGAGAATTTCATCGCTTGAACGAGGAAACCTGGAATTATTTATAATCGATTATAAGCTAAACTAATCGATTATAATTTTTAAATAATCGATTATTTTAAATTATGATCGATTATTTTGCGACTTTTTTACATAATTAATAATTTGTTTAAAAAAATTTCCCATCAACGCAGTTAGCCACAGAGTAAAGTTTCAACGCAGTTAGCCACATAATGTAACTTGGGTCACCACAAAATTAATCAGTTGTCGCTCAAGTGAAATTACCCATCACTTGAGCGAGAATTGACCACAGGTTAAAGCTTCAACGCAGCTAGCCACATAATGCAACTTGGGTCACCACATATTTCAATCAGTTCCGCTCGAGCGAAATTACTCATCGCTTGAGAGAGAATTGACGACATATTACTCATTAGTTTCAGTGTCTCCTCACTCTAGCGATGGATTTCTCGCTTGAGCGAGAAAGAAATAATCGGTCATAATTTTAAATATTCGATTATTTTAAAATTATACTATTAGTTTAAATTATAATCAATTATAAATTTCTCGTTCAAGCGATGGGTTCCTCGCTTGAGCTAGAATTGTCCACATGCGTTTAAGTTAGCCAATTACTTCTCGCTCGAGCAAAATTACCCGTCGCTTGAGCGAGAATTGACCACAGGTTAAAAGTTCAACACAGTTAGCCACATAATGCAACTTGGGTCACCACATATTTCAATCAGTTCTCGCTTGAGCGAAATTCCCAATCGCTTGAGCGAAAAAACACCGGAGATTACCCATTAGTTTCACCTCTCCTCGCTCAAGCGAAGGTATCTCGTTTGAGCGAAAACACTTATCGCTCGAGCGAGAATGTTTTCGCTCGAGCGAATTTAAATCTCACAAAACCCTTGAGTTTCAGGTACTCTCGCTCAAGCAATTCATTTCTGGTTAAGCGAGAGAAACATAAAAAGTAAATAGTACTACTTTTCATAAATAATGTAAAAAAGACTTTTAAACTTCACCCTATACGAAAATTCATGATTCAATATTAATGTAAAAAAAAATTACATTATTGATATGTTTTGATGAAATTCTGAAAATTTTAAGCTGACAAATACAGAATGAAATGAAACGTCATTATTTTATCATTGTGTTAATTTGTACTGTTTTTTTTTTAAATAAAATTATTCTGCTTCATTTTAGTGTTTCAAATCTTTCAAATGAAATCAAACACTATTATTCTTTTCAGGTATAATTACGTTCTAAGATGGAATAGACATGTTCCATTTCGATCCAACACGCCATGAAATGCTACCTTACCTTAGCGCTTATTCGACTATTTCATCTTCCATTATTCTTTGTGCAAAAACAGAAAAGCAAGTGGGATTAGGGTTCTTATTCTATTCTATCCAACCACATCTCGTATAATTAATGCATTAAAATCCAAAACCATCCACTAATGAGAAAAGGCAAAATAATGATACAAAAGGCAAAACTATGCTTTATACAAAAAGCAGCCATCTAGAAAAAGTGGTAGAAACCAAGGCCTTGATGCCTTCTATACCACACACTGAGAAACTAGTGAATTGTCCCACTACAGAATGGAGCACCCAACACAAGTATGAAATGGATGGATGGTAGCAAGAGCTTCCCTTCTAATAAAGTTGTTCTTTCCTGTCATGTAACCACCTCCACCTGTGGAAAAAACCACACCAAAAAGCCATTACATAGTAGCCAAATTGGTCATCTTCATAGGTTGTGCTGACTTTATTTTTACCATTCAGTTTCAGATATGTATAAAGTCCTCACACTTCCAAGTAATAAAAGTAATACCCAAAGCAAAAGGCTTCTGTTCTTACATAAAGCAAGACACTTTAAATTAAAGCATCTGAAATAGGTTTTAATATATACAGACAACTTTCTTACCCTATTTTGGGGTAGTTCTCATAATAATCAATAAAATCTACCATATATTTAGAGTTTATTAGTAGTGAAATGGTATTATACAACAGTTTTACACTACCTTTCCATGATAAGGTACTATTCACACATGACTTTTGAGATAATTATGGTAAAATTGAACAAATTTTTAAATTTCAAACCTTAAAAAGACACTGTTTATGTTTCTTTAAGTGATTTTATTGTTGGAAGGGAAATGAATTAATAACATGACTAAATCGTGTGGATAATTTTGGACTCACCAGTGGTAATCCCATCTGGGTCTGACTTTGGTCATCCTGTTTTCACCATAGGGATAATCCGTTTCAGCTCTTCTTGTGTTTCTGAAAGCACAACATCCAATAGAATAAATTCCTATGAGAAGCACAAGCATGGTGACAGTGAGAACCGAGAGCTTGTGCCAATTTCCTCTTATGTCTTCAAGCACACCAGCTTTGCAAGAATCACACTCATAGCAGAGCAAATTGGGGGCATTGTTCCACCTGTAGCAATCAGGGTCTTGGGTCATCATCATAGCTGCCATGTTGTAAGTGCAAGCAGTTGGTGGTTTACAACATCCAGACTGCATAACCCCAAAACACAAACTATAAATTATTCATCTGAAAAGAAAAAGGTTTTTTGGCTATTTTGTTGAACAAGGAGTTTGGCAAATTAATGGTTGCAATGGAGTAAGAGGTTTAGCATGCAAAATCCATTGCTTGGGAAGTGGAAAAATCCTTTCTTTTTTTTGTCAGAAGTTGAAAATTTCTTATTAACTAACATATTTGAAATTAGTTGTAGTAACAACCAAGAAGAAGGAATATAAAAAATCATCACAAGTCTTCAATATATTGAAATCAATTTCTACTTGAGCTCTATTTATTGAAATGCTCAAACTTTGGTCTCTATAAATCAAAAGTAAGTGTTGGGGATTTAGTTTGAATACTTCTCACAAATACAGATACAAAAGCTATATAGTTTTAAAAGGGAAAAAAAACTAAAATTCAGAAAACCTTCATACATAATTTGAAATAGAAACATCTTTAACTCAATCGCGTTTTATTTTGTCTGCATAGGAAGCCAAGTAGTGCACAGAAAAATTGGAAAGACTAAACAAACCCAAAAGTGAAACAAGCTGCATAACTATTTATACCTGTATTGGAGACATATCCCTTTGCATGTAATCAAGAGGGGTCCAAGAGGCTAGCTTTTCACAAGTTTTAGACCCCAAAATACAGCTTCTAATAGTGCTCCAATAGCGAGGGTCCTGTATTCTCTTCGTCAGCCATGGTGAGTAATCCTGAAGATGATACTCTTTATAAACCCTTCCAGGCACTTCAACACCACCACCCTTGCTAGTCACACCAAAACCAAATATAGTCAAACCCATTAATGCTGCTATGAGGAACAACATGACCACCAAATACAACCATAGTGCACATGCCACATGAAAGCATGCACCAATGAAGCCTGCTAGTGATACCACAAGCACAACAAATCCTATAACCAAAAGAGGGGTTTGGAGAAAGTTTTCACAGGTTGTGCTGCTCCTTGCCATCCATAGACCTGCTCCAATAATTGGTATGGATGCTAAAAGTGTAAACAAGTTCAAGAACCCGATCACTGTGTTGCTGAACCTATACATGTCTCTCACACTCACTCTATCTCTAGTTTGTTATCTGTTAGCTGCTTCTTGTGGTGTCTACAGCTTTGTTTCCATTTTAAAAAGGGATAGTGGCACTCATTTTGCTTTGTTTCAAACACACAAACTTTTGTTGGAGGATGTGAAAATGATCAAATGAAATGAGATTGTTCTTCTTAGTTATTAAGGAAGTTATTTATTGTCTTGGAGTGACGAATTTGCCCTTCTTCCCTTCTTTCCCGGTCTTTTTAAGTATACTAGTGACAATTGACATATTTGTCCATATAACTGATTAATATAGAGGCATCAATTCCATGTGAATTTGCGCAAGGCAAGCAAAGAATTTAGAACAAGTGATGGTGTTTTTTGTAACTACAAATGATGCTGTTGCTTTTTAGATATGGACCCCAATTGGACTTCTTTGCGAAGCAAGATCATGAACCAGATTTGGGCTATTTTTAGACGGTATTATAGAATAATGATACAGTATGTGGGATGCTCTGTCTTTCTTATCCTGTCTCATCTAATCTTATTGTCACACCAAAACCATGTGTTGATTCGGCTCCACTAGGTGGCCTAATTCTTTTTCTTAAAAGAAGTTCCACCAAGCTTTAATTCGTCAATGACAAATCCACTTTTGCAAAGCACCTTGTCTTGTTGATATATTGTGCTCTACCATGGAATTTTAAATGCAAAAACATTGCCATCTTGCATAAATTTTATGGCAAATATCTGTCAGTATCTGCTACAGCATGACCATTCTACCAATGTGTGAAAACTAAAGCGCACACTGTACAGTGTTCACATTTCAATTGTTCAATTATAATGCCTTTTTACTATTTTAGAAATTTAATTTTTTAGTTACTTAATTGAATGGCTGCTGATGCCTTTTTATTAGTGACTTAATTAATTAGCATTCATGATCAGACGCTCAATAATCATACTTATTGGTGACTTAATTAAATGACTGCCGATGCCTTGCCTTTTTGAAAGTGAGCTGTGAATACAAAATAAAACATAGTGCACAGAAATATATCTATTATTATATATTTTAATCTTGATTTACAAGACATATAAGCATTTATAAGGCGTATTTCTCTTCCTCATTACCCCAAAATATTTGTCCAAAGAGTGGAACTGGATGTGCATGCTAAGTTGCTTACTGTAACATTAAAAAAAGTATCAGTGTGTATCTCGTTAAATTTAAATATCAATTTTTCCCTACATACATCTACCATCACAGAAGCCAGTGCCCCTACATCTGTTCAACTACAGCAAAGCGATGTATAACAGAACCAAGAGCATTGGAGCAGGCTTGATAGCACTGAGTGCTTGGTCACACTGTGCCACTTTCAATCTCTATTTCTCCATTTCAGAACACCCCATTTGTTTTCAAGTACTGTTGATTAATGTTGAAGTTTGTCCGTGGTCATTAACTAATAGGTAACAGAATAAGAGATTTTTATTACTAGGAGAACAAGATCCTTTGAATTTACAAGGTATGGCATTGGTCTTGCACAACGGAAACCATATAAAGAATAGCATTTCATATAAATAATCACATTTTCACAAACAAATATTAGTAGAAGAACTACTGTTGGTAAATTTATCAATTTTCCAGGTAGAGAAACCAAGAGTGAACTCATGAGGATTGAATTCCTTATTTTGTCTCGACCTGTTCCATGTATAGGTGCAAGAGTGAACTCATGAATGGTATTCTCGGTCTAGGTGCAAGAATCGTGGTACTTGTGGTCCTATACTTGAGTGAATATTCATCAAGTGATAATAAACAAATGTCTAACTTGTCGATGGCATGGACTTATTCTCCAAGAATGAACTAAAAAGAATGAATGCTTGGCGGGGCCTATGAAGAGGAACCTCGTGTCCAGCTCCTCTTACTGTAACCATTGTCAACCCTTTATAAACTTGACTCCAACCACCAACCTTCACAGAAGAGAAAAATATCTTATCTAACATAGTAGGATGACAGCAAAAAAACATTATCACAGAATTTACACAATTAGTCTGTCATGAGACTATTTGTTACTCATAAAAGCTGCACCAACCTTGCCACTATCATACCAAGGGTACCAATTGATGATGGTAGGTAGCTTCAAGGCATCAATTGAATATCGAGTAGCAGTCACTGGAACCACAGCATCACTGTCTCCACTGCAGCAAAAGATACAAAATAATTCAATTAAACAAAATACTTAGCATTGACGAGCCAAAGGTTAAAATATTTTCACTTTTTATTGGACAACGCTTAAAATAAAGATGTGTTTCTCACGCGTTAACCATGGATATCTTAAATATGTTTTTAGTCCATGGAAAATTAGCAGGTTTTTATTTTAGTTTCGATAAAAATTTTCTTTGTTTTTCATTTCTATAAAATTTGAAATCACTGCATTTACTTATAAAATTTGTAAATTTTGATTTGAGTCGGGTAAAATATTTTCTTTGATTTTCTCTCTTCAAAATTTCAAATCATTATTTTTAATCTCTGGAAGGTTCACTCTCACTAATTTGACAAGGACTAACAAGAAAAATATGTAGTTAGTAATTTACTTGTCAGCTGATTATCGTAGTCAGTTTTGCAATGACACCTTATTGTGGATTTCTTCTCTACTGCCTAATTTCTTTGCTTAGCTCATTTGTTTGAGTGTTTTAAAAGAAAAATAATAATTAAAATATATAATAGTTATGTAAGGTGTAGGAAGAGAAAAAAACGAAAGCCTATTTGTAAACATTAGGCCTTGAAAAAGAAAAATCTAACGAAAAAGTTGTATCTCAAAATCACGTTTTTATTTTAAACTCAACCGGTAGGTGAAGTTGTCAACATGAACCATCTGCCACAGGCCTGAAGCAATTGTTAAATCTACCTTATCATTACTATTCTCCTGAACACATGCAGCCTCTTCAAAATTTTCACCCACAATATGACATGCCTAATCAGTATCATTATAAAGGATTACTTCGTAATGAAAAAATCCTTGAATTTTAAAAAAATAGCTATTCTAGAGATATCTACAAAGGCAGAACATAAATAAAATACTGTATGCACTGTAAGTATTATTTTCAATCAAAATTGACATTTCATCTTAGCTTTTAGTTACTGAAATAAAAGCAGTAGTTGCCAAGATAAATACCGATTTTGATTGATGAACAAACATCAATGCTGAAGTCTTGTGTCATTTTTCAAGTTCCCAAGTGCTAGAAAGAGTAGTCTCTATATTAAGAAAATGAGAAATCACCTAGAGGAGCCTCTTTAGATTTCAAACAGTCCTCAAGCCCATCTTGGGTAACATTGGAGAGTTTTTCCTCATGGACTTGGCTAATGAGTTAAGTAAGAGCGACATTTTATGTTCATCTGTTCCATTTATATGGTTCTCACTTTTTCCATTTTTTCTTGATATGGCACATCTTTCCATTGCACTTGAATTCCTAACTTGCTTGGTGGTGGTGGTGGTTGTTGTTGTAATCCTTTTTAATTTCCTCTCAATTTTTTTGTGTAGTGCCATAGAAAAATACATGACAATTTTTTCTAGAACAGTGCACCTTTGTAAGTAGATTCTTCTCTATGAGCTATACAATAGAATGATTGCCTATTAATTTTTCACTATGCAAAACCATTTGTATCATTAAAATAACCAATAGCTGAAACACTTCAGCACACATAATAGTAGAATTAAGAGAAGAGAAAAACAAATTCAGGTACCTGTAGACCCATATTCGGAGACCAGCACTAATAAGTTCTTGATATATAGGAAGCATAGATAATGGAGAATCAGTCCAATAGTTCCCTACAATATCACTGTTAAGAAACACATTTTAGATCAAACTTAGTAAATGATAGAATTGACCTCCAGAAGACAGCTCAAAATTTGCACATAAATAATACCTGCATGCTTTCCATGCATAAGGGATCCCAGTTACATTGGCATGAAAGGCCTTTTGAACCTCTGGACGATTGAAATACAAATCAGAATACCTTTCAGTACAGGGATCATATGCTCGAGACATCCATGGCTGAGTTTGGAAGCCAAACATAAGAGGAAAAGAAAAATCAATGTTACAGTGTGTGTCCAAAATATGAACAGCTACTGGTGTTATACATCTGAAGACTGAAACATACAATGAAAAATTTAAGCATCTATTTTCTTTCAGGTAGTTTAGCAATTGCAAAATACCAATCAAGGAAATATGATATTCGTCCTAGTCTTAAATAGACTAGCAACCATTTACTTTTAAGACAGAAAATAATTAAACAAGAATGGTATCTGAATAATTCATTGCATTCATGACAACCAATACACAGCAGCATAGGACCAATATGTTCTAATTTCATCTAGAACATTGTTTTGTAAGTGAATCATACCGCAAATACCAACCACCCTCTGTAAATTGCTAGAGATTGTAATCAAACTGCTCAATAATATTTTCCCATTCATTGCTACAGAGCTTTTACCACAAGAAGATTTCAGAAGCTTATTAACCACTTGAAAACCATTCTAACCTAGAGGTGATAATACCGATAGAAACTTCTGAAGAAGCAATATAAGCATTTGAAATCAATGCTAATTACATGGTTGCAGAACTTTTCATTGAATATACACTATTCTGGTTTGACAATTGTAATTAAGTGAATGCACTTGCAATTAGGCACGATGTTTATAAGCAAATGGAATAAGTGACAATAATAGCTTACATAGCGACCCTTCAAGCCGCGTCTGAGTGATGCTGTATCGTTACAAGGTTGTGTATAAACGCTATATGGATCAATGTTTCCCTGCTCCACAGTTGCAACTCTGAGAGCCTGCATGCATTGTACTGATGGATGCTGAGAGGACCCAAAATTGCAGGCAATTTTTAGCATCCTATACGTAGAATCTGAAACCAAACCATGGGTCCACCAATATTCAAATGTGCCAACATAATCATGATAATCATCAGTAACAGCATTACCAACCTGATAAACAGAGAAAAACAAAATCCATAATGTGATCATACCAAGGTAATGGCAATTCTCCGTTAATATGACAGATTAAAAAAACTGTACAACTATTCCACGAATCTTACAGTCTCACCATAAATCCCTTTAAATTTATAACTGGATTATTGATTCCCTTATTTTTCTGGTAAACAATTTGGGCCAACTGAGGAACATAATGACCTGAAAAAATATGTTCAAGAAATTTAATAGGTAATTGTGGTACAAACCGTAGTAAGAAAACCAACATATAAATCATAGAATCACCTGCATAACTTTCTCCGGCAATGTAGAATTCTCTATGCTTATACTGAGAAAATCTTTCAAACCAATTAACAAGAAAAGCATATGCATCAGCAGCTGCAAAATCAGATCCCAGATGCACATAATCATGTCAAAATCACAATTCATAAATCAAATCACTGTTGCTAAAACAAACAAAACTGGTATAAAGAGTGAATCCTGCATCTACAAGTACATTCCTCTCACGAACGTTACAACTACATAAAGCATTACCTGTTCTCTGGTCACCAAATGTATACAGATCTGTTGTTTTATTCGAATATGAAAAACCAACACCAGCAGGAGAATCAAGGAACAGGACATTTGCCACTGCAATACCCCAAATAAAACGCATAAAGATATGACATATGTTGTGAAAAAGTAAAGACACAACCAATGGGGATGTGAATTTCACTGACCCTTGTTCCAAGCATAAGGGTTCAAGTAAAGCGACTTGCCATCAGGTCTAATGTGAAAAGGACCAATTTCCTCGGATGCACCGTAAGCAATAGAGGAACATCCAGGGCCACCATTGAGCCACAACACTAGTGGTCTTGACCTTGGTCCACGACTCACCGGTGCCTCCACCAACCAGTAAAACAATGCTCTCCCACTTTGCTCGTTCACATTCACATAGCCAGAATACTGAGCAAACCCCACATTCTTTGGCTGTCCTGGCAGCTGAGTAATTCTGTCTCTCTTCTGATCTCCAATGGGGGAAGCCCAAGAAACCACTCCACAAATGGACATAAGCAAAACAAGATAGAATTTTGAAGAGTAACCCATCATGATTCTGCCAAACTCAAAACGGAGACCCAGAAAAAGCACTACAATATTTCTGGGTTGGATATTCTTTTAGATGTTTCCTTCTAAACCATGGAAAAGAAAGCACAGAATAACGAGAGAACCAATGGAAGCAGCAGTACCACAAAGGGTCAAAGTCCGAGCACAGACACACAAATCCCAACAGAGTGATAGATAAGATCTAGACTTCAATGCCAGGGATTTGTAGCAGTTCTAGTGGTCCAAAATCAGATTTAGAGGAAGACGGAGAGAAAGAGAGAGAGAGTGAGGAAGTAAGAAAGAAACACACACTGTATAAAGCTGGCAACATCCAACATATTTATAAGGAAGTACCAATGATTGTTATAATGGGTTGTTGCAATTGATTAAGCACCATGCATTCAGTAGTCAACTAAATCATCATGCTTTGAATTTTCTTTGCTCTTTCTGTTTACTGCTTATGCTTTGTGTATCAAATGTTGAAGGCGCACATGGGAGCACCATGCGTTTTTTCTTTGGTAGGTTTTATAATTGACGTTGCTAAATACATTTTGTCTTGGTCAACATAACTATGAAACTTAGTATTAACAATCTCACTACGGATGGTAGTTGAGTAAAGCATTTTCCAAAGTGAGGTCATGGATTTAGTTGCAGGTGAATCACCATTTTTACGAGAGGTGAACAGATTTTCTGTACATAACTGTGACATGTAAGAAAGAAATGTTAACAAAAAGAATATTCTTAATTGTGGGGTGTGTATGAATTTATGATAATGTCGAAGTAATAATGCGTTTATGACGGTAGTAGATCCAAGATTGAAAATATAATTATATTAGAAAAATGTTGGTTCAACAAGGTAAATCTGTGAAGAAGAAAGACTAAGTGTAGTTTTTGTGGACCTAACTTGATTATTCCTTCTGCTCCTTGGACTGACATGGATCCATGAAGCATGCAAGTTTGAACATGATGACCAGATCTAAAATAATTTACTAATTAATTTTGGTTGAAATTGGAAAGATAAATGTTGAAAGTTAAATTAGGAAATCGTAACCAATGCAAGTAATTTTAATTTTAATTTTTAGACGACACACTGATAAACATTAAGCCTAACCTTCTTGAACTTTGCCAAAATTGACACGGCTTGTGTTTAATTTGATATAAAATTAGACAAAACACGTGAACACAACCCTTATAAGTAAGCTTTACCCACTAACCCTTCGTTTGGATCGAAGGTTATTCTGTTTAAGAAATGAGAGAGGGGATGGAAATTACGGAGTTGGTATATCTGATCTGTATTCACTTTTATATGAAAAAATTAAATATTATAGTTATTTGCACTTATTGATAATCGATTATCGAATGAATTAATTATGCTAAAAAGATATAATTGACTATGTTTGTTTTTATGATTGGTAATATGTGTCCTATAATTTTTCTTATTTATTATAATAATAATTTATATATTTAATATATATTAAAACGATGATTTTATTATGTTAATCTTAAACTTTAATTATTAATTTGTTTTTAAATTACACAATGGAATTTAAGTCCACGTGTAATTGATATTAGTATGATGGGTTAATTTTAAGTTTACACTTTTTAAAATTTTCAAATATTAGTTTATAGTGTTAATTTATAAAAATTAGGTAACTAATTATAAAAATTATTGAACTATAAATCATTGAAGAAACAAATTTAGACCATAATTATAAAAAAAATATTTAAGATTATAATATACTTTATTAATTATAAATAAATATTTGTAATTTAAATATAAATTAATTTTATTTATATACATTTATATTTATTTTTAAAATAATTATGGCATATTAAATTATATTTTTATTTAAACTTATATTGTTTTTATTAATATTTATAATAAAAAAAATTAATGATTCATCATTTTATCTTATTATTTTTTTAATCAATCTTATCTTTTATTTGTTCTCATTTTTTTATTTTTTCACATTCTTTCACTCAATTAAAACAATATCATTTTTTATTGTTTTTTTTCTTTTTCACTTTCTTAAGCCATTTCTTCCATCCAAATAAGTTAAGGTGGTTAATATAATTGTTTAAAGCGTTTAAAAAAATTGATATACAAAAGTATTAAAAATGATGCTTAAAGTGTATTGAAAATCATAGAAAGAATATATTAATAAAAAAATTAGAACGGAAATAATTTACTTTATGTAATATTCTTAAGACACTAATTAATATTTGAGAAAAAGGAAAAAAGTTGTTAAAACAGTTGACGTTTCAATGAATAATGGGATTGTGTTTTTTTTGGGATGCAGTTAACCAAATAATTGTATGAGGCAGTAAGGTGGAGTGTCGGTGAGCTTATTCCTAAAACCTAAAAGATGTATATATGAAGTTTGATTAAGAGATGAACAAAAATTTTATATATTTAAATTTAATTTATAATTATTTAAATTCAAATTATTTTTAAGTTGTTCTTAATGGATTCATGTAAATCTAATTTTAAATTTTTTGAGTTTTAAATTTAATTCAAATAATTATTTTTGAATTGGATTTTTTAAAATTTTAAAAATATAAAAATAAAGTTAGTTTGATCTAGACTATATTAAGTTAAATTTAATTTGTCAATCTCATTAAGTTAAATTATATCTATTCAAGTTGAATTTAGTTGAACTAACTTATATTTAATTCAGAGTAATTGAATTAGGTTAAATTGAATTGAGTTTTATTAAAATTTAAATTTCTAAACCTATATTAAAGTATGTTAAAATCGGATTGGATCAATTAATTTAGGACAAGCGAAACAAAGCCAATGGAATCAAATCAAAATAAATTTAATCAAATCAGATTAATTATATTAAAATTAAATTATTACGAGTTTAATTTAATTTAAATATAATTTTTAATTATATTAAAAATAAACAAGTAAACAAATCTATTTAATTAAGGAAGCTATCCAAATTATTTTATCACATGTTAAATAAAAATGTTTTTTTTTAAGTCAATCAACTCTTACTTTTACAAATTACCATAAACACGTAATTTAAAAAGAGTATTTAATTGGTATTTTTTAAAAGTAAAATTTGACTCTATGTTTTTTTTTAAATTACTTTTTATATTTTTTATTATTACTTTTATTATATAATGAATAATAATTTTCATATAATTACGAATTATATATAAAAGAAGGAAAGGAAAGTATATATATTTTATCGTCCCTATAAAATAGTTTTTTTCTAAATATAATATATATATATATATATATATATATATATATATATATATATATATATGTATATAATAACAGTTTTTTTAACGGTAGAAATCCATAATTATATTTTTACAAAAATCTTTAAAAAAATAATATTAAAAGGATAAATAAAACGTTTTATCCTAATATATATATATATATATATATATATATATATATATATATATTAATAAAAAATAAATAAAAATACAATTACTTGTATATATATAGTTTAATTTTGATAAAATAAATTGTAAAAATATATATTTAGTATTGTTTTACGGTGTAATTTCGATTGATTTCGACCCCAAGATGTTTTGATACTAACCAAAATTTCACCACGTAAGTTCTTTTTACTTAGGCTAGCAAATTAATTTTCAATCGAAATGCGTATGAGGATCGAATTTTACCCGATTTCAAAGCTGCTATTTTTGATATTTTATATGTAAAGTGCTCGAAGTAAAGAGAGCAATAAAAAGCATCGAAACAAAAAGCAGAAACGGAAAATTTAATTGTTAAGAGATAAAAATGCAGAAACCTCCAATTTGCATTAAAGTGTAAATGACAGGAAATCGAAATTGCATAAAGTAAATAACCCAGAAATCGAAATATGCAGCAATGTAAATGACAGGAAAATCGAAACAGCAGAGATGTAAATAATAGGAAATCAAATTTGCAGGAAATGTAAATAACAATGAAACTTAAACTCGGAAACTTAACTTTCATTGAATCGACATAACTAAAAATCGAAAGTACAGAAACATAAAATTGCCGAAGATAAATTGCATCAAAATAAATTACCAAGGAAAATACAGAAAACGGTAAAGGTACTCAATGAGCATGGAAATCCAGATTGCTAGAAGCTTCATGATGTTTGTCATTTCTCCGATAGACTTCTCACTAATGGTTCTGTTCTTTGCCAATTTTCTGCTGCTTATTCCTTCCTCCTTTGCTCTATTTATAGGGTATCATTCAAACCTTCCAGGAGCAGTTAACAAAACTGCTACCACGTTCTACGTGCGTGTTGCGGTTTATCTTCTATGGTTTCAATACTGTACCCACATTCTCACGATCTTCAACTTCTACCATGGTTTAGAAACTGCTTCCCGTATATGCGCTTGACTGTTCTCCCCTTCACAATTTGGCCGGGGTTTCGATATCCACGTAAGTTAGCCTTCTCCTCGACTTCGATTTTATCGAGAACTTTGTATTACTTTTGGTTTCTTTTAGCCTTAACATCATATACTTCTAATTTCTTGGTTTGTTCCACAATAAACTTTTAACTATTATTCCTCGATTCCTATTCTAACTTTCGATTTTGTGTGTCACGCCCTTCCAATTGGACATCGAATGATTTCTCATTCACCTCTTCGTGTTATCGATCAATCACATGTTTCTCGATCTTTATTTCTTTCATTTTTCGATCGCTTTTCTCGATTTCCTCCTAACAAAATGCCCCCTTGGAAGAATATAAATAGTTTCTGTTTATATTCTTTCAACACGATTCCCGCCTTAGTGTTTGGAGGCCCACAGAACTTAGGGTTTAGGGTTTCTGGGGTTCTAGGGTTTAAAGGGTTTTGGGTTTCTTTTTTGCTTTATGTCGCTGTCTCGTCAGTTTGCTGCCTTACAGTACAAGCCACATTAATTGCCTTTCGCTTCCGTCGTTTCCAGCTCCCTAGGTGATTTTCCCCTTAACCTCTCCATTGGTCTTTCTCTGGTTTTTACGCGAACCTTTACCCTTTGTAACTTCATCTTCTTCCTTGAGCTCTTG